TATTCCTCTTTACCTTCCTTACACTTGTGCTACGCTTGTGGTGGTTTAGCAAAATTGATCTCAGATCACTCCATGTTAATACTAGGTGTCCTGCAAATTCAACATCGATCCTATCTACGAAAGGACTTGAACATCATGTCGAGAATTTATTCTTCTCGATATTTCGAGTCTTTGGAAAATTGACCACATATCATTTTATGTTGATATTAGATATCGTGCATATCCAATATCAATCACATCTTTCAAAGGTTTGAACATCATCCCGAGAATAAATTCCTCAAAATATTTCAACTCATTGGGAGTGATTTCTCTATGAGTGCCTCAACAGAAGGATTAAGGAAGCAGGTTGCACGCTATATATGTAGAAACAGAAATTTTAGAATTCAAAATTCGACACTACAACCACTCAAACAAATCTGTTTCGATAACGATCTAAGGATGGAAGACACAAAATCATTTCAAACATTGGGAGAGGATTCCTCTTTATAACTTAAACCCTAATGAATGGCATCATTTGTTTCTATAGAGAAAAAGATCGCAATCAATGGAAATGGACTCCAAGGAGCTACTAGGACAGCTGACAGTTAGGTCACTAGACAGAACTCTAAAGCTACGATTCCTACTTCTAACTCTTTCTTTCTTCCTATTCGAATTCCTTCGCTATATCTCTTTTACTTTAAATACGTTATCCGAATTGGATCTTTTATGAATTGGATCTTGTACCATGTGCTTATTGATATGGTATCAGAGCCTTCTGTAACCGAGAGGTCTTGTGTTCGATTCCCGGTGACCCCCATTTGTTAAGAACATGGTATTCTTGTCTTCAAACCTGTGCAAATTTCAAGCCATTGTGAATGGTTTTCGTTTTAGGGGGACGTGTTAGTGTTGTGGTATATGATCCACGATTGAACCTCTCCCAACAACTCGAGTTATTGGGAGCAACTGGTCCTTGACAGTTTCCACCTACCATAAGAGATCACAATTGAGTACTCACAATCTAACAATTCTCCCCCTGGAGGCTAACTTTATACCTTGCTCTGTCTCCTTATCAGAAGGAAGAGCCCATTGGTAACATCAAACCATGGACAAATCCCATATGATAATTTGAAAAAAGATGTACACTTTTGAAAAGGGTAGGTGTTTAAAACATTCCCTTTCAAACCGAATCCAACGAAATGAGATCAATTTGGATCAAATACATGTATAACTGGATTTGGTATCGTAAGTTAATGAGTAGTGTAACTCATGTGGCTCGATTCTCGTTTTTCTTACTTTCAATATCTTTCTCCCGTATTCTGACACAAAGTCGGCTGAACTGAGTATATTACATCCGATCATGATAATGGCTTCGAGCTCCAATAAGTTATCTAAAATTTGATGAATCGTTTCAAAAATAATGAGCCACATCAAAATCGTAATATAAATAATTGATCAAATCACATACATTTTGAATATGGTTTTGAATCATCCTCATATTTTATTTTATTTTATTTCCATTCGGATCCTATACCAATTCGATTTGATTCCGAAACCATATTGTTGTCCAGTTGTCCACCATGAAAAGGGTTGAGAGAGAAATTGCTATTTCATTATAGCATATAGGATAACAAATCAAACAATTGTGCAGGTCAAATTGAAGCACCTGGTTAAGGAAACTCTTTCTGCTTGATATTCAGTAAATGCCAAACCAACCCTTCCTTGGGAGCTTGTCTCTGAATAACCTACCTAGCTTTGGCATTGAAGTTTTTGAAGGAGGACCAAAACATAATTTTCCACCGTTTGAATTTCAAATGACTGAATAACTAAACTTCAACAACAATTGCTGTCATGAAATGAAGATTTTCAACAGATTTACCTACTTACTTACAATGTTTCTCCCTGGGTAGTTAGCCATAGGGGTGGCAGTTCGGTTTCGGTTATATAGGCTTATCGTTTTCCCCCCCTTTAACGGATTCGGTTAAAACCGAGAACCGATAAAAACCCAATAAGGGTTACTGCAATCAAGGATTCGTTTTTTTTGGTTGATTATGATCGAATCTATTAAGAGCCGGTTTCAGTTTTAAACAATTGGCTGATTCGGGTTTCGGTCACCCCTAGTTTGCTACAGCCTACAGATGAGAACATGGAGGGGAGAAGACAGTGACCCATATATTTGGGTTTTTTTGAGGTAGCACAAAGGAATTAATGGAGATGGGTTGTTCCAAAGCAGTGGCTGGCCTTGTCTGGTAGCTTTCTTTATGTAGCATTTACAGTACTGCTCTGTTCTCAGAATATGAATAAAGCAAGCTAGCTAGCTAGGGCATTTTCCATTCTTCAGTCACTGAAACGAAGTTGCAGCAGAAGCAACGTTCTTACATCTCTCTAAGCTTCCTGTAATGGTAAACATTGTACCGTTTGTCCTCATTAATGTTTAAATGGGAGACATATAACGACCCTTTTAAATACAGGGTTTTGTTTTTATGTATTGTGTTTTGTGAGTTTTCGGGGTCTGAATCGGAAATGGATCGGGAAAATTCAATGGATCATGGTTCATTGGTTCTTCATTAGTCGGTAGTTACTCGTTTGTAGAACAATTTAGTTTTTGTAAAATAGAAATATAAAGCTGACATATAGAAAGTTATTTTCATTTCATATGGAAATTATCCTTCCTCGTAAATAATTTAAGATTCATTTCATCTATCACCAAACTTTTTAACAAATAATTCGTCATTTTTTTTTTTTGTTTAAAATATCAAACTTTCGAACCGCTAACACCGATTCATTGTCTAGATGTTTAAAACCATTCCGTCCTCTCTGCTAACTATCCAAATAAACAAATTGTCCTGTTTTTTTAGTCACTTGGCGTTGGCGGCTCTACTGGTCGGTCTTAACCATTTGGTATGTTTCTAATAACCATTTGATATGCTCCTAATTAATAACAAAGGGTTGAAAAAGTAGCTATTTTGACTTGCAAGAACAGGCAAAATTAATTTCATGTGCACGAAAATTGAAACTAATATTTATGGTTTCTTTTCAGCCATTGAAGCCGGAACAAACCCTAAACCCCAAAATTTTGGGCTAGAGAGAGGCTCTGGAGTTTTGAAATCTGAGATTTGAGAGTGGAGGAGAATAAAAAGGTGAAAATTTGTCACCTTTTCCATGTTTTCTTGCGGGCGGGACCAAAATCCTTTTTGGTTGTCAAAGATCAACGACTTTTTCAAATATACTGCAGACCTTTCTTCTCTTGTATTTGTAATTTCTTTTTCCCAAAAGACAGATATTGGTATATCTATGAACTCCCACTTATCAGCAATGTAGCTACTACAAAACGAGTTAGATCGGAGCCGATCATCAACATACCACAATCGTGTCGAACCCAACTAATATTGGATTAGAGTTTAGACTTAGAAGAAGTACTATAAATAGTTTTCATATCTTTTATGTAATATGTATTTACTCGAAGTATAGCGAAACTGGCTCTCTCCTGCCCATGGACAACTAGCTAACACACATTGTGTTAGTAAACCACGTTAAATCGTATGTCGTGTGTGTGCATTTTTGCGCTTTTATTGTCGAATCATCCTATTTCTCGATCCGCAGAAAACAGTTCGTGACATTCACAAAATCTTCGTCCAATTCTCTTCCTATTTCGGTCCCTTAATCACATCATATCACCTCATGTTCAAGCAGCAGAGTGCCCTCCACCAGATCATCATGCTCTGTTTTTCAATTTGTGCGGCGGCAAACACCATAGCGTGCTAAATGCTAGTGTGCTACACCTACATGGGTTACTACTGGCTTTACATAGTATAATAGTGCGTATGATCGGCCGTGCGCGCACATAATCAAGGGCTTATGTCTTATAACATCAATTTCCAAAGAGGCATCTGAAGGGATCGACAACCCTCCAAGAGCACCGAAACAGAGTCCTCCGGAAAACAGAGTGCTAACCCATCTTTTCAAAAACATGCACTCCCAAAGTGCTAGCCGACACAGTTTTTCTGGGGAAAGGCTGTTTCAGCTTTTGGGTAATGTATGTGACAAGCGGAAGGAACAAACAACCGACTCCTAGATGGTTTTGACATTTTCATCCACCATCATCATCATTTCCTGATGAAGCCACACCAGTCGTACCTTTTTGGCTGTGATTAGAGCTCTGAAAATTTCAAAACCCTAAAAAAAAGTTTCCTTTCTTCTTCCTCTGCCCAATGAGAAAGCTAGGGGTTGGTTGGGACTCGCGTGGCTTCTTGTTCTTGACACAGGCCGGTGGGTTGAGTCTGCATTGCGTCACTCCTTCATGGGTGCTTGACCTTTCTGCTTGGCATGCATCATGTATGGGTCGGTGTGTGATAGACGTTTTAATTATTTGGGTTTATGTTCGGTTTGACTTATTCTGTTCGGGTTTATTTTGGTTATTGGAAAATAATTTGGGGGATTAATAATTTGGGGTAGCTAGTAGGTAATTGTGTTTGGGTATTTAAACTATTGTTTACGTATGAAAGGCAAGCAAAGATTAAACCTAAAACATAATTGCTCTCTCTCTCCCTCTCTCCTCTCTCTTGGCCACCGAGCCTTCCCCATCCTCCCTCCAAGCTGCCGATCGGCAGCACCCCTTCTCCCTCCTTTCTTCTCACTTCAATCCTCCCAATCAGCGGCGGATTCAGAACACAGAAGAGCACTGGGCCGCATTTTATTAGAAAATTATAATCATAAAAAATTTAATGATTATAGTTTTTTTACAATGTAAATTGTACACGACGGTATCTTAATTTAGCAAATGCATCAATAATGTAGTCCACATCCATATCAATAATATACACTGTTCCAAATAAAATACTTGACCAATTGGCAAAAAATTCATCGCTCATTTATTGTACAAATAAGTTTTACATGTTTCTTTGTTCAAAAGGTTCTCTCTATAGTAGTTGTTGAAACAAGCAGCGTCAACACTAGACAAATCAATATCAATTTGCATTATGTGTCCATCCCTATACCACCAGTTGTCTAGTAAATTTTCAGGGTAAACAACCTCATATTTCTTTTAGCCTATTATACTTTAGAATTTTAGATTTCATTATTTTTTTAGACGAAAAATCTTTGGGGCTAGAATTTCTCTAGGCTAAATTTAGAGTAGTGATATGTTTATCTAAATCAATTTGCTAATTATATCCAATTTTATTATAAACTAGCATTGGGCCGAATACCTAAATTGAAAAATTCATAAGGTCTATACTAACTATGGATCCAGAGGAGGGCTGGGCCGAGGCCCGGAGTGGCCACCCCCTGGATCCGCCACTGCTCCCAATTCACCCCTCCCCAATTCCTAAATTCCCGGATCAATCCCTAGTTGATCCCTAATCCCCAATCTCGATAAAGCTTAATCCGGAGCTCTACCAGTGTGGGTTGTGAAATTGGCGATTTCAATAACCACGTGGGTGTTCAATTGTTGTTCGGTAACTCAAAAACTCGCCTAATTGTCTTTTCTTGAATTCGAGTTAACTAATGAGATTGAGGTTTGTACAAACTTATTATATTTTGGTTAAATCGGTTATTAACCTTCGTCAAGAGGAGTTCAAATATCGATCGTACATATCATTACTTCATCCAACAGACTAAAACTTAACAAAACCTCATGTATCTGCCATCACTTACCCACATTTCATCGACAAGTACATGTTCGAGTGAGGGCGGGCCATTTTCCCTTATAACCGATCAAGTGCTAGGTCAGTGGTGGAGCTACGTATAGTTTATGATGGACTATAACCCCCTCTAGATTTTATCTTTGGTTATAATTTATGTATCATACGAGAAATAAACGTTGATAATTGGTAGCATGAGGACTATCAGCCCCACTCACCCAATATCTTAGCTTTTATTTTTTCAATTCCCCCTCACCATAAATTCTGACTTCGCCACTGTAATTGATAAGTGATATCCAAACACCGGAGAAAGTTTTGTTGTGTTTTCTCTTGTAAATGTTTCGATCTATGCCCTCTTCACTTGACTGGTCTCTCTTCCTCTGGAATCTAGCATTAATGCAGCAGTGCAAGTTTTATCTTCACCAGCAAAGTTTGATTAAGATCTCCAATTCCTTGCATGACTCAGGTTGACCATTAAACAGTCTCAAATAGAGAGTTTGGAAGAGTATATATCATGGAGTAGTAGTAGTAGTAGAAGACAAACTATCTTACCTCCATTATTATGTTCAAAAAATTTGTCTGATGTTGCCATCTTCTTGCCTACTTTTCCCTACCATATGTTCCCCACCACAGCACTACTGCCTTTCATCCCAATTCCCACCAAGTAAATGAAACCAAACTTTTACCCATATGACACTATGGTGCAAAATTTTGAGATGAGTCCAGAAGTAGCTGTTTGGAAGTTGCGATTGTTAAGTTTGTGCGTACTAACTTACCTGACAATAAAATTAAATTTTCTATAATCAACTAGAATTTATCAAAGTATATGTCTCGCTCTAAAGAAAAACATCAAACTAAACTTTGTTGTACACTAAACAAATTCAACAACATTTATATAGTCATTTACATATCAACCAATTACAACTACACATCACAATCCATGCACAACAAACCGTCAAACCTTGTCCATCAAGTCACTCTAACCCTAGCTAGTCCCACAAAATACCCACTTCTTCATTAGTCACAAACCTAACCAAACTTCAACTACCCATTACAATACCCATCTAGTTGTTACAAAAGGTGGGAACTTTTAGACACCAAAATGACAATTCTAGGTCAATTCCAAATCTACCCTTCTCACTTCCTTCCTCTCCAAGTCACCACCCTCCTTGTCCTGAAATAGGAATTGGATCTCCTCCAAGCTCTTCCCTTTGGTCTCCGGCATCACCACATAGAAGAAAACCGTCCCAACCACCATTATCCCACCTAGCACGAAGAACATCCCTCCGAAACTTATCTTCATCGAAACGGTCAGAAACGTCATCGAAACGACTCCGCTCACCAACCGGTTCACCGAGATCGCGAGCCCAGATCCCTGGGCTCGCAACCTCGATGGGAAAATCTCGGAGGAGTAGACCCATGTGATGGGCCCGAGCCCGATTGAGAAGAACGAGACGAACCCGCACACGGCGACTATGCACATCGTGACGGCCCATAACGGCTTGGAGTCGGAGTGCTGAAGGATCTTGGACCCCAGGCCCAGTACGAACAGCGAAAGGGCCATTCCCGTTGAGCCCAGTAAGAGAAGCGGCCGCCTGCCGAATCGGTCTAGGTAGAACGCGGACACCATCACGAAGGCAGCTTTGGAGAGTCCCATTATGACGTTCACGCCGAAGAGCTGCCGCTTGTTGTGGATCCCGGCGGCGCGGAAGACCTCCGGTGTGTAGTAGATCACGGCGTCGTTCCCCGACGCCTGCATGAAGAAGTTGATCCCGACGGCGGCGACGAGCATCCGGCGGACGGGTTTGGAAGGTTTGAAGAGAAGCTCCTTCCATACGCCCTGCCCACGCCAGGTGTTCGATGAAATGCCGCTGTGAAGAAATTGGAATTCCCTTGACGCTGAATCGGTTATCTCCTGGAGCCGGAGCTCGGCCTCTTGGGGGGAATTCGAGATTCGGATGAGAACCCTTTTCGCCTCGTCCGGTTTCCCTTGCATCACGAGCCAGCGAGGGGATTCCGGCATGGCCATGACGCCGAAACCGATGACTAAAGAGGGGACCGCGGCCAGGCCCAGCATGATTCTCCAGTTTATGTTCGACGGAAGTCCTGAGAGAGCGTAGTTGACGATGTAGCCTACGAGAATCCCGATTACGATGAAAACCTCAGGGAGGGAGGTGAGGAATCCGCGATTCATGGCCGGGGAAAGCTCAGCGGTGTAGACTGGAGCGATCATGAGGGAGTATCCGACTCCAATTCCGGCGACGACTCTGCCGGCGAGGAGGAAAGGGTAGGAAGGTGCGAAGCCCATCAGAACCGCGCCGATTAAAAACGTGGTCGCTGCTAAGACGATGGTCTTCCGCCTGCCGATGTAATCCGAAGTCTTGCCGGAGGCCAGCGAGCCGAACAGCGAGCAAATGTTCAGCACGCCGACGAGAATCTCCACTTGGACTGACGAGATTTTGAGATTCTCCTTGATGAAAAGGACAGCCCCACTCATCACACCAATATCTGCAATCGAATTGAATTCATCATCCCAATCCCACAAAGATTCAATCAAATCTGGGTGGAAAGTGGGGAGAGAAAAAGCTGATGCCTTTTTGGTTTAGTCCAGGCGTACCATAGCCTAAGAGAGTGGAGTTGGTGGAGGCGAGAAGAGCGCAGGCGAGAGCGTAGCGGTTGAGCCCTGCCGCTTTGCCCTGGCTGGGAACTGCAGCATCGCCGCCGCTGCCGCCGGCGTCGAGTTGCATTTGTTGTTGGGAATGGGACTTCTTGTTGTTGTCAAGCTGAGCTGCTTCCATGTGGGTAGTTGAGTGAATCACTACTGAATTGAGTCTGTGGTGTGAAGATGAGGTATGAAACGGCCGGCTGAAAAGGCGCAGGGGAAGTGATAATAGGCTTTGTTTGATTGCAGAGGATTTGTCTTTGCCCTCCCTTTTTTGGGTACCCTGAATTCAGTGGGTTCTTTCTTTATCTTTACAGTGTGGCAGAGAGAAAAGAAGAGCAGCTACCCAAATTCCATGGGCACCGATCCCATGAACTAAAACAGGTAGGCCTTCTTGTTTGTCCAAAATGCAAACCCCTTCTTTCTCATTTTAGATTCTATCACTGTTAGATTAGACACAATTTGTTCTTTCTAACTACTTTTCCATTTCCTATGATAATAGGTTTCTCATACAACTAATCCTCAATTAGCACGTTTCTTGGCACTTGTTGATACTAAATTCTTTGTTATGCGTTTCGAACTCTCATAGAGTTGTATATATGCTCGAGGTGATTCCTCACCTAATACTACATCCACGACTCTCGGTATATATGGATGCGATGAGCTATTTTTAAATAGTAAAATGTACTTTTAAGGAACACGTGAGTGACATGAGCCAACTTAGGTGAGAGGGTACCGGATGAAAGATCCAATTTGACTCGAGCACACTTATTTGACTTTTATCTCTTTGACTCGAGCACACTTATTTCCAATTTGAACTGTGGGATTCATAAGTCCCTTATGAATCCCACAGTTCAAATTGTAATATTCATTCAGATTCTTACTCCACCATATCATTATGAATGACTGAATAGAAGAATGTATAAAGTTCTGTGCACTTACAACAAATAACGAATGTAAGTCTTTAAATCACAAATTGTATTCCAAATGTACAAAAAAGAATGCCCAAGAATTTTTGCTACACTTACCTCTGTAAAGTACAACAAAAAACCGACTGAAAATCAAGAAACAAAGAGCCTTCGACTCTCATCATCTTGATCCTCAAACAGAAGCCCAATCTCCTCCAACGTCTTCCCTTTCGTCTCCGGCAAGTAACAGTAGAAGAAAACCGACGCCATCACCATAACCCCGGAGAGCGCCAAGAACATCCCTCCAAACGACATCGCTTCGGAGACGCTCAGGAACGTCATCGCCACCACCCCGCTCACCAGCCTGTTGACGGAGATCGCCAAACTGGACCCTTGAGCACGCAACCTCATCGGAAAAATCTCCGACGAGTACACCCACGTAATGGGCCCAAGCCCAATCGAGAAGAACGACACGTCGGCACAGACCGCCACGATGCACAAGACAATAGCCCAAACGGGCTTATCATCCTGGCACCGGTCAAGATACTTCGAGCCCAGGCCCAACAACGCCAGAGAAACCGCCATCCCGGTCGAACCGAGCAACAGAAGCGGCCGCCTCCCGAACCGGTCAAGAAACAGAGCCGAAACCAAGGCGAAAGAAGCTTTAGCCACTCCCATTATCACCGTGACTCCAACCAGTTGTCTCTTGCTCGAAATTCCGGCGTCTTTGAACACTTCAGGACTGTAATAAACCACCGCGTCGTTGCCGGAAGCCTGCATGAAGAAGTTGACCCCGATCGCCGCGATCAGAATTCGTCGAATCGCATTCGACCGGGGGAAGATTAGCTCCTTCCAAGATGATCCATTTGAAGGCAAGTCCAGTGAAGCCTTCACCATTTCGTTGACCCTCGAGTCAACGGATTCAACCTCTTCCTCCGACGAGGACGTTTTGATCAGGACCCGTTTCGCCTCGGCGAATCGGCCTTTCATCACGAGCCAGCGGGGCGATTCGGGCATGAAAACGACGGCGAATCCGACCAGGAGAGCGGGGAATGCGGCCAATCCGAGCATTACGCGCCAATTGAGGCTCGCCGGAAGGCCGGCGAGGAAGTAATTGGAGATGTAACCCAAGAGGATTCCGACGTTGATGAAGACTTCGGGGAGGGAGGCGAGGAATCCGCGGGTGGAAGCAGGGGAGAGCTCGGCGGAGTAGACCGGAGCGATCATCAGGGAGAATCCAACGCCGATTCCGGCGACTACCCTGCCGGCCATGAGGAAAGGGAACGATGGTGCGATTCCCATTAGGATTGCGCCCAGGAAGAATGTGGCTGCTGCGAGGAGGATGGTGTAGCGCCGGCCGATTTTGTCGGAGGTTTTACCGGCGGCTAAGGAGCCGATTAGGGAGAAGATGTTGAGACAGCCCACTAGGATTTCTTCTTGGGTTGATGAGATTTGGAGGTCTTCTTTGATGTAAAGCGCCGCGCCGCTCATCACACCGATGTCTGAAAAAACGTAGTTCCGATCAATTAGGGCTATAGGGAAAATTAGGCCAAATACCCAATTGGGTAGTCCAATTGATTACAATCCTCACCGGAAATTAATAGACTTGTGCTCGAATTTCATTATCAGCGACCAAATTTCGGGAAATTAAACCGGACGAATTTGTAGAGAAGGAAGAAATAGTAAACAGGGGAACTCACCGTAGCCCAGGAGGATGGAATTCGTGGAGGCGAGAATCGCGCCGGCGAGAGCATAGCCGTTGACGGAGGTTCTCCGATGACTGCGGGATGGGCCTCCATGTTTGAGTGAATTCCGGTAAGATGATTCGGAATCAGGGAGACGGTCGTAACAGTCTCCTCCGCCGCCGCTGCTGCCGCCGCCGCCAGGGTCGGATTCCAGAGAAGGAGGACTACCGGTGAATTGCATGTCTCTGTTTTCTGAATCGAAAGACTGGAACTTTCTTGAAAAGGGTTAACGAAAAACAGAATTTGAGAGAAGCAAAAAATATTGAATTGACAGAGAAGCCCCTTGAGGGTTTTGTGCCTTAAGCCGGAAATAGCTTTGTGTGTGCTGAAGCTATGAACAAACGCATGCCAGCCACGCTTCTTCTCGAACAATAATAAAAAAAAGAAAACAGAGCAAGAAGACAGAGCAGCAAAACACAAGCAAATCCTTATTTGCTTGTTTGTTTGTTTTTTGTTATGGAATTGGGATGTGGGTGAAAGCTTTGCCGTTTTGGTGGAGGATTTGAATGGAATATCTGGCTTCCTCGTCGACATGGAAACTCAATCCAAGCTCCAAACTTGAGATATTGTCATGATGTTGGGCATTATTCAGATTTGGGTAGATTTTCTTTACCATATGCGATATCGTTTAGTTGTGTAGATTAATGAGTTCCATTTTTGAAGTTATTTCCATAAATTTCAATTTTGTACATGAGATTGTTGTTCAGGCGAAGTCAAAAAATTGGTCAAGGGGTGTCTTTATCATATCATCAAAAATTACTTATGTAATAGAAAAGTAAACTCTAAATGAAATAAAAAGTCAACAACACAATACTCTAAATTCATACGATTGCATGAAAATAGTTTCACGTACACCGGTTACAACGTCAAACAAATTAGTTCAGTACATACAAGTCATGAATTACATTAATCAAATATTACAAATTAGAACTCAGAAGTACCTTGGAATGGATTTTCTGAAACAAACAAGTGAACTTCAATTGGTACTTCTTCACTTTCAGGTTTGTTTAAACAAAAGACAAGAAATTTTTTTTATAGAAAAAAAAAAGACAAGAGATTCCTCTGCTGTGGAGCTACAAAATAAATGAGCAAGTTTAAACAAAAAAACAACAGTTTCTTACTATAAATAAAGACAGAAAGTGCATTGCATAACAAAACTCAATCGATCTAGATGGTAAGAAATTCTCCTTACAACTGAATATAGTCACTGTTTCGAATTTGTCCTACCGGCGGAATTTTTTCCCAAACCCAAGGAGAGTGCAAGCACCCCCTTCTCTCCAAGTGGCTCCGCCACTGCTCATGCTCTCACACGACAATAGCATGCACATATTATCATAGTATTCAAATGAATTGATCAAGAGAAAATAAGATCAAATCTATGAAACTAATGAAACACTCTCGAAAAGTCGTTCGAAACTCTCTTGCTCTCTATAACCAATTTGAATACTTAACCGTCGCACTCTTCCCGTCTTCAGGGCTGGGCTCAGAAATCGTTGTCCACAGCAGCTAGAGAAACCCTGATCAAATCTGTTGCTTCGGCTTTACCGCTCCATGTGATGTCCTGCTTTAAGTTGTCCCTCTCGCTCTATCGTACATTGGATAGGCTGGTTGCCCGGTTTTGGTGGGGAGTGGAGGATGGGCACTCACGCATTAGATGGATGTCTTGGCGTAGGATGTGTCAGAGCAAGCACGAGGGTGGCATGGGGTTTCGCCGTTTTGAGTTTTTCAATCAAGCTCTCCTGGCAAAAATTGGGTGGCGGATTCTGACTGACCCCCAGTCCCTCCTGGCACAGGTTTATAAAGGGAAGTATTTTCCTCGTGGTGATTTCTTGTCAGCATCCCCTCGTTCTCGGCCTTCCTGGGGTTGGCAGAGTATCCTGCATGGGAGGTAATTGTTGGTCCAGGGTCTGAGATGGCAGATTGGAGATGGGCGGGGGGTAGCGGCTCTGACAGAGAATTGGATACCGTCGTTCCACCCTGATCCCCCTAGTTTTAATCCCCGGGTTCTAGCGGAGGGAGTGGATTTGAAGGTGTCTGAGTTTATTTGTCCGACTGAGAGGTGCTGGGTAATGGATAAGATCGAAGTGTGGTTCCCCCCGAATGTCTGCCGTGCTATCCGTCGGATTCCTCTGCCGCGTCGGCCAATGGAGGACAGGGTGGTATGGAATGAGACGGGTGATGGAAACTTCACTGTGAAATCAGCTTATCATCTGGCAGTTCGGTTAGATAAGCAGTCGGGGGGTTGGCGGCCGGAGGTGAGTTGGATGGATCGGGGAAGCTGGAAGCATGTGTGGAACTTGGCCATACCGCCTAAGCTAAAGGTGTTCCTGTGGCAAGTTCTACATAGGTTCCTCCCCACCACGGAAGCGCTCATTGGCAGGAAGGTGGATGTTCATCCTCGATGTCCTGTGTGCTGGAGTGAGTCAGAAACTATGGAACATCTTTTCCTAGATTGCCGGGTGGCTCGGGCGCTGTGGGATTTAGTGGGATTAGAGCACGTGGGCCAGGGCCTGCCTCGTCGTAACTTTTCTCTCTTCCTTAAGAAACTCCTGGAATTTGTTAGGGACTCTTCCCAGGTCATGGCCATTGTTGTGGTGCTATGGCGGATCTGGAAGTCTCGGAACTGGGTAGTTTTTGAGGGGAAATAGTTCGATATGTCAGCTCTTGTGCGCCAGTATCACCAGCAAGTGGAGGAGTGGGAGTCGCTTCCTAGAGATAATGGGGGGGGTGGGGGGGGTGCCCCTCGGCGGCCTATCACGGTTGGGCCGTCTGGCAACCCGGACTCTCTCATCTGTAGATGGGATGGAGCTGTGCAGAGAGGGTCTCATTCGGCTGGAGGGATGGTGCTGCTGTGCCCTGATGGGGCGGTTGTCGGTGCAAGGGGGGTGTGTTTCCCGGAGATCGATGACCCATTGCTTGTGGAAGTGTTGGCGCTCAGGGACGCAATCCTCTGGTGTCGGAGCAGAGGCTTAGTCTTTGTCCGATTTGAGGGGGATGCGAAGGTGGTTGTGGATAGACTGCTGATGGCTCAAGGGAGTGATGGTCTGGCGGGAGCCATTTTCTGGGAGGTGTTGCTGTACTTGGCGGAGAATGATGGGTTTGGTGTTCGGTTCGTTGGTCGGCGTAGTAATAGGGTAGCCCACTTGGTGGCTAGAAAGGCCCTCTCTTTGTACCCGATAGCGAGTCGTTCGTTTGATTTTGTGGCCTGATTGAAGCAGGCTTTATAATGATCTATTTTTTTAGTATCAACATATGATTATCTTTTGTTAAAAAAAAAACCGTCGCACTCTTGCTCTGTCTCTTTTGTCTCATTTTTCATCTCCGTGATAGTGAAAAACATTAACTCGAATGCATAAACTGTTAAGCACATAATGTTTGGCTTATGAAGAAAATTCAGAGCCACGTTTCCCATTTTCGTTAAACAAAACGTTGATAATCTCATCCACATACTCTCTTGCCATGATAACCACATCTCTGTTCTATAACACGTTTCTTCTGTCACTTTCTTCTCCCCCACAGCAAGAACAAAAAACAAACAAACAAAAGAGTTCAACTTTCCAGCCAGAAAAAAAAAAGAGTAGAATCCAAGCTTTCCCATGGACCACAATTAGAAGCAAAAAGGGTCTTTGCTTAGATTTTGATTGTAAGCAAGATAGATAGTTGTGTGAGTCTACTTTGTAACTCAAAATAATTTAAAGCAAATTGTTAAATATATACAATAATAATGGATTTATATATACTCATTACTCATTAGTACTCCTACTCAATCTTGATAATTAAATAAAATTATTTAGATGATAGGCTGGAACTAGACGTGTTGTAATTTGATTGATGCGTGTGTACAAGCTGATGGATAATGAAAAGTATTTGATAATAATTTAGAGGAATAATTAGACCTGAAAAAAAAAAAACTTACTATAAAACAACCTCATATTACCAGATAAAGCTGGAAGGGATTTTCTTCTCTTTGTATGTATGGGTGGACAACGGAAAACGGGTATTTGGGTATACCCGTACCCGTCCCGTTTTTTAAGGGTTACGGGTACCCATATTACCCGTATTATTATAAACGGATGGGACTTGTGATTGTATATTCCTAATATGGGTACCCGCGGGTTACCCGTTTGGGTAATGTGGGTACCCGTTATACCCATTTACCAGAAATAGCCCATAGCCCAACACCCCAACCCAATTCACTAATTCATAAATGTGGCATTGGGCCTTGGCCATTTCGGCCCTTACCCTTAGTCGACCCTTACCCTGCCTGGCTGCCTATTCCCTTTCGGCTTTCACTTAACTGCAAGACAGTCAAACAGCGAGAGTGTGAGACAGCGTCCTCCACCCAGCGCAGCCGCAGCGCCAGCCTCAGCGACAGGCCGACAGCGAGACCTAGCTCGCTAGCTCCGCCTCCGCGTCTCCGCCGCTCCGCGCGCTTCCTCCTTCATTCACCGGCGCGAGCCGCGGCGGCTTTCTTCTTCTCACTCTGATGCGCCGCCTCCAATAGCAGACCAGCAGCAGCCAACTTTCCCAGCCAGGAGCGGGGGGAATATCAGCAGCATCACCATTCACCCGACGTTGTTATCTATTTAGGTATGCAGCTGCCATTCTCTTTTCTTTTCTTTTCTACTTACAGTACATATTCTGGACTCTAATTACTAGTTAGGTTTGTTCTGCTAATTACTAATTATGTTTCTAATTTCCAGCATCTGTCTATTTGGTTTATGTTGATTTGGTTTATAGTTTCCATGGCTAATCAAGGGAATGAAACTTTGGGTATTTATGGGTATTATGGGTACCCGTTATCCGTCCGGTACGGGTAATGGGTACCCGTTTTCCATATGGGTTTGGGACATGGGAAGGACTTTGGCCTCCAAATGAGACTGGGTACCCGTTGCCCACCTCTATGTACTAACCATATGCACAGAAAGTGGGAAGTGGGTCCATAGTGTTATGGATCAGTACAAGGAAGTAAAAAGAGAAGTTAAAAGATTTGAGGGTAGTAAGTTCTAAGTGCTAATCTTCGTCGGATTGTATGTTGACAGTATATGTCTATACGATGAGTTATGAATGTATTAGATCGCTGATCACCTGTACAACGTTAGGTTTAATGCGTTAACGCTCGATGGATTACACGTTGAATGTATACTGTGCATACTAAATGTACATGTTAACCAATAGGCTCATGGTTCTATATATACACGTGGCATTCCTCAATAGGCTCATGGTTCCTATATAGACACGTGGCCCACGCTTCGCCTCTTGCAGCTTCCCCGCCGGCCGCCGCTCGCCTGGGAAAATGAACTCTCTGTTTCTTCTCTGCATCACAAATTTCGTTTCGATTCGGTTTTCTGTCAGATAATTGGAAGCGGTAAAGGCCAAAGGGAGGAGGATGACCAGCGTCGGAAGGATGAGGTTCCTCCGGTCAGTTTCCGGCAGGTTCGAGTCCAAGTTCAGAATTACTTTCATCTGCATTTTACACTCGTCCTCTGTTTCAGGGACAATGGCGGCAGAGGCTACCCTCGGGAATTCCTGGAGGGAAGGCAAATGTGCGGAAAGACTTCACCTTTACAAGACTGATCTAGTTTCTCTAGAACACGAATTTTTCATTATCCATCCACAGGGCGCTCTGCAATTCTGGATGCAATTGAATGAATCGTTTATCAACAATCACGAGTAAGAGATCAGGAAATCGATCTAAAACCCGAAAATCATCTTCCACAACCAGATATCCTTTGCAAAGACCCGTGAGAAGAGCACGGGAAGCAGTGCTAGAGTTAGGCAAACAGTTCAATACTTCAATGTCCATCCTGAAGCTTTCTCTATTGGCCAGGCGGTGAACCACCGGATGCCGGAAGGTGCCAAGTCGAATTCCTCCCTGAGCCGCCTCCCCATATCCCGCATGTGCGCGGCTCCATAGAGTATGGCGATCTTGTTGTTGCTGCATCCCTTCTCATCCATTGCTTTCCATGTATGTTGTACTTTGAATATTTCTTTGCAAGTTCAGCACATACACAAATTCTCAGCCAAGTTCCGAATTCCATCCCGATCCTTTGCCAACTCCATAAGCACCTTGATCCTTAAAAAGAAACAAAACTAGGCTTCTGTCCCATCTCCACCATTTCCAAGAAACAATTCTCGGCTTCCGCCAAGTTCCCCATATCACAAAGCAAATCAAACAACACATCAGCTACCAAAGTGTAAGACCCGAAACTCTTATCCACCATGTCACCCCACAACTTTAGTGCCAAGTCAACCCTCTCGTGCCTCCGACACAACCTGATAAGGAACATACATGACTGTGTGTTTGGCAGGCAACAAGCATCCATCATTCTCAGGTACAATTTCCACGAACTACGCAGGTCATTCTACCAATAAAACACACGGAAGAACAGATTGTACGGCTCTGCTTCCTCAGCAGACTTCCACCCGGACAAGAGTATGATGGATGTCTGCAAATTCGGCTTGAAATCGGTCTTCAACCTGTCCGACCCCTCACCAGCACACCACTACTGCAGCTGGAAGCTATATAGCAGCAACTAAATCGTGGCAGCAACGTTGACCTCTCACTCCCATTCGCATATGCCTCTCTACACTCAAATGCCACCCTCCTCACCTGCATCCAAACCCTTTACCTCCTCATGATCGTATGCATTCAGATGATTCCATTTTCTCTAAGCCATCTCGACCCCGAAGCCCCCTGTACTTTGCCATGTGCCACTACCCACTCCATCGCGCTTTTAGCAGTTTTCTTGGCCACCACCGACACCGGCAAAACCTTATCTTCGAACACCCTCTGATTCCTTTCCAGCCATGTACACCACCACACCGCATGTAACACACACGAGGAAAACCATTTCTTAGTCTCCATCCGAGCGAGTATCCTGCTGCCCAGGCCACGACTTAATCACAGTGGCAACATCCCTTCCCTCTTCTCCTGGTCTTCTACTGTTACAATAGATGAGTCCCCATAAATCCTTCACAAAAGTGCACCCCACAAACATGTGCCAAACAGATTCCCCTTCCCTTGAACATAAACAGCACCTGTTAGCCAAACTCCAACCCCTTTTCTTCAAATTGTCCAGCGTTAGTATCTTGTTAGGATACACAAGCCACACAATTCGAGCAAGGAAAAGCTCTGAACTTTGTGCTGCGCCTTCATCTTTGTTTCCATTCGAGTAAGGAAAAGCTCTGAACTTTGTGCGTTGTTTGGCAGAATAAAGTAGCAGCGAGCTTCTGGAAGAAGAGGCATAAGAGACGCAGTCTCTGCATCCACATCCAGAAGAGCTGTCGCTCGCCTCTGGAAATGTTTACACTTATTTCTACATATTTAGCAATCTCTGTTTTCTGCATCTTATAATTTGCTGCGATCAATTTTTCGTCAGAACATTGGAATGAGAAGACCAAGCGGAGGTAGGAAGCCTGCAAAATCGTGAGAAGACAATCTACTTTTCTACAGTTTTCATATCTTCCAGCTGCTGTAACTTTGGACATCAATCAATAGAAACGCTTTCTAGTTTGCAGTTCAAATGCTCGGGAGAAAATAAATATTTCAGTCTATCAACAGGGTTTGAGATATGTACACACTATTTGTGTATCCAGTTGGATGAATCGATATCAACAATAAAGAGAAAGTAAATGAAGAAGAAGACAGGGTCTGCACTGTGGATATTCTGATTCTCACACCAGGTATTGGCCAACATATTCGTTGACCGACTCGGCAACTTGGGACACGAAATTCACTGAAGAGCCAAAGAAGAGCTCCCAGAACCAGAGATCCACGGCCAGGACCGTTGAGAATATGAGCAATGCCAGAGTTTGGTACCGGTTCAACGGCCATCCTGAAACTTCAGCCATTGTCTTCAGGAATGGAAGGGAATTGGTCTTTACATCGCGGTTCTCGATCGACCATGCGGTTATCCACTGGACTCTTGAGGGAACCAAATCGAATTCTTCCCTCAGCCGCCGTCCTAAATCCGGCATGTGGCCTCCACCGTACAGTATGGCAATCTTGTTTTGGCCGTCATCCATTGCTCTCTTCAGTGCTTCCAGAGCTACTCTGTTCCTCTCTCCGATGATCACTGACTTCTCCTCCACATCAGCCGTCACCTGGGTGAACCTTCACAAAACAGAACAAAAATGTTGCCTTTTTGGAATTTGACTGAATCAAATTCTTGAGCTAATGCGAATTTCAAACAAGTAACTTACTCGGATGTGAGTCGCTTGGCAAGAAACACCTTCATGGCAGCACCAAAATCGAGCCTCGAAAGGGCTTCTACTTCAGAGTAGTCTGAAGCAGGACTTCCCACATTGCAGAGTGTTCCAATAAGGCAAAGGCCAACGAGGGGCATAGGAAGAACCCGAGATGCCCATAGAAGCTTGGATCGCAAAGGGCCGAGATTATCTGGTATAGTGGGCTGAAGCATGGCTTTTGTCGACTTAAGGGTCATGTCTCTAGCAAATGTGAACAAGCTTTCACCCTTTTCAAGCTGCAGTAAATAACCAAAGTGAATATACACTCATGTGGCATCTGAAAATCAACAAGCATGAACAGATGAACCAAACCTGAAGTTGTTTGAAAGTCTCAAAATCGAGATCAGCATGATACCAATTCTCTGCTTCATAATCAAGACAGTCTAGTTGGAAATCAAGGGTGAGAATTCGAGCCATTTGGCGCTGAATGAACCCTAAAATGTTAAACCCTCTTGACCTGGGGCCTTTCAGCCTTCTTATAGCAGTTGGGTTTCTTCTGTTCTCTAAACTTTCTCTACTGGCCACCATTTCATACAGGACACAGTCATAAGACTCGAGCTCCTTTTGAAGGGCCGAGAAGTACCTGTAAGACAGCTTAAATTATCAGTACACAAGAAGCTCTATCCGCCAAGAACACTCTCCACTACAGGATTCATTCAATTCATAGTAAACCCAACAAGCAAATTTTGGATTTTGGGTTAAAGAGCATGATGAGCTTACTCTTTGTCAGCAATGTGAATGGTGGAAACCAAATCAACCTGTAAATTAACCCAGAAAGTCAGCTAATAGGTTGAGGGGGGTGTAAATGACCAAATCGATTTAACAATTGACGACAAGCTTTTAGCTTTCACCTGAAGAAAAGGGCTGAGAATAGACCAAGGGAACCGCTTCCGGTACCGGACAACCGCCGTCTGCAACTCGCCGCTCCCTCTATCGGGCCCTCTCTTGAACCTCATGAAATCGGCAATCGAATTGCTCTCGAGGAACATCTCCGGTGACCCATCTTCGTAAGGCGAGGACGGGGAGTCAGCGGCGGAGGACGAGGCCGAGATTGCTGAAGCTCGGGAGCTGCGGAGGGAACCGGAATTGAGTGGACGGGAGAAGATAAGATTGAGTTTGTTAATAGGGTTGGGTTTCAATTTCAATGGGTAGGAGGAGGTGGAAGTGGAATCGGCGGCAGTTGTGATTGAAGCGGCGGGTGATATAATCGAGAAAGAAGCTGAGACCGCCATCAATTGGGAGCGTCTCCGTGGTTACCCGCCGGCGGGAACAGAGGAAGAGGCTTTTTGAACTGAGAACCAGAAAATTTTCCTTTTATCCAGCAGGGTTTTCTTCAGCTCCGGGGCTATGCCAGTCGACAGCCAAATGAATGGCAAATATTTTCTGAACCATTATAAATTGAATAAATAAAAAATAAATAAAAAATCTCCCTCCCATTTCTCTGGTTTCATTTCTCAAAGCTTTTTACTTATTATAAATTTTCTCAAAGCTTTCGGCTCCTTTTGGAGATTTAATGAAGAGTTGATAAATTGTTTTCAGTGAATAAGTTAAATAACTCAAATCTTTTATGGTGAATACAGAATACTCTAAAAAAAATTCGAAAAAACGAGAGATATTTTTTTGGGTGTAAAAACGAGAGATTTATTGATCAGACGAAAGAAAAATTGAAGCGAAATGCATTTTGGCCTGAAATCAAAGAAATTTTGTAAGAACTATGAATTTTAAAAGGGTTGGAGATAGATTATTTTTTGGGAAGATATCATGATGCATTCCAAAAGCAGGCGAGACTAGATAAAAAAAATGGACAATATTTTGACCAGAGAAAGGATTAATGTTACAAGTAATATTAAAGTCTCTACGGGTCTTTCTTGAAAGATTATAGAGCAAATTCCAGTAAAGACGTCGAGTTTCAAATGAAATGTAATGTAACATCTTAGAAAAATCTCATATCAACAAAAGCACGAAAAAAATATTCATTAGACATAAGGAACAATCCAACATTTAACTAACAAAAAGTAATTTGAAGTAAAATAAAGAAATTCTTACCAAAACTCTGAAACTAAACTTGCTCAAAAGAAGTGCTAAGATTTGTGATTTCTGTAAAAGTTGTCATAATACAGCTAAAAACAAACTCTTGATTTCATTACGCAGATACTTGGATTAGCTTTTGCCGCCATTATCCATCAAACAACAACCAATATTTCACTACAAAGACATTTCCTCTTCCAAATTGATAACATTTTCTAATCTTAAGCAAACTTCGTTAGGGGGATACAAACTTGGTAAGAAATTACACTCTGCAACAACATTCCGCCACAGCCACAATACAGATCACAACATAACATCTCTGGAAAAATAAATGGCTGATGGATCACAGCAGCTGCTTTGGTTGGGATGACCATAAGAATGAATGATAAGCCTAATATAATGAATTCTGGCAAAACAATACAAGATTTTTTGTTGCTGTTGCTATATCTACGCATGAGTCCTGCTTTATACCAATGAATCAATGGCAGCTATCCAAGAATCGAAAGTAGAGAGACACTATAGTATTACCAATGGGCATCGATGAAGTTATTACTGAGACAAGAGCCGCAACCCTGCTTCCAGATCCTCCAAGGTGATCGTCCTTAGTTTCTCAGTGTCGATGCAGTCGAAATCGAGTCTGAGATCCAGATTCTCCCTCGCGTTCACCAGCATCGTGTCGACTAGCCCTCCGTTCATCTCCCTCCGCTGCTTCTCCGTGGTCTCACTCTCTATCAACCTCGAGATGGCATCGGTGCTGCACGAGGGATGTAACTGGAAGCCGTAGAGCATGCTGGATTCCTCTTCTTGATCAGTCATCTTGAGGTGGACGATCTCGGCTAAATCTTGAGAGGTGAAGTCGTCGAATGTGAAGAATTTGGTCACCCTTCTGCAGAAACCTTCGTTGGAAGCAATCACACGCTTCATGGGTTCGGTGTACCCTGCAAATATGACCACGATTTTGCCACTGTCCATAACCGACATGATCTCTTCCAAGGCTTCTAGGCCGTAGTCCTTATCGTCTGCTTTCTGCATTGGGATGAGACGGTATGCCTCGTCCACAAATAGAATTCCTCCCTCGGCTTCTTTGATCTGGAAAGCAAAGCAACCTTTAGAATATAAACAGTTGTTTTATATCTTCATGATCTGCAAAGAAAAGTAGTAAGCCTGGTTGAAGGGATACCTTCTTCCTGGTTTTTGGACCGGTATGGCCAACAAATTCACCAACCAAATCAGTACGTTGTACTTCGGTTACTCGGTCTGTAGGTAGAATACCAACCAGATGAAGCAATCTTCCAAGAATTCGAGCCACCATTGTCTTACCTGTAGCATAAAGGAAACACTGACATTAATATTTGAAAATGAATGTTATGAGTCTTAATTACATGCTTCAATTGCATGAAACAGCAAATATCAATTTCTCACACAACCAAACCACATTTAAGTGACAACTAAAATCATAGGAAACCAAGAAAAAAGTTTAGAAGTTCGAAAAACATAGAACTCAATACCACTATAAAGATCAGGCAACCAATTACCTGTTCCAGGATTTCCAAGGAAAGCCATGTGTGGAGGCCTTCGAACACCCAATTTCAGGCCGAGCGCCCTGCGCCTCTCATCCAAAAGCATTCCCTTGGCCCATTTTCTTAGTTGAACCTTGAGTTCATGCAACCCTATTATGCTTGACAATGCTTTCTCAAGTTCTTCCATTTTAACTTTTGACTCGCTACATGCTTCTAGTGCTCGCCTCCTTCTCTGCTCCTCAAGATGTCGGTTTAATAAGGCACGCAACTTTTCACTGCCTGGACCTTGCGAGATATGGTTCACAGGAGTCATGCCCTCCTGCAATTAACATAAAGACAAGCAATCAAAACCATGTAACCCAAAATTGAAGTTAGGAACAGAATAGATAGCGATGATAGATTACATCGTCCTTTGCACTACAATCAGCATTATGCTCCAGCAATGTCTTGACGGTCGAACAATCATCTGATCTTATAGAGTCCCACACAGCTAGGTGCAGTGGAGTCATACCATTCTGATAAGACACCCAAACGGAAAAAGAAGAAGAAGAAGAAGAAAAAACAAGTTAGTTCCTTTCCGCATTGGCCAGCTAGCATGAATTCCCAACTAAAACAGAGAGTTGAGAAGATATTTACATTAGCTTTAGCCTCAATGAAAGCGCCATGAGAAAGGAGTAACTGTGCAGCTTCATTGCACCCGTTCTTCGCTGCCATGTGCAATGGAGTTTCTCCATACTGGCAAAGTTGAGATTAGAGAGCAAAAGTCAACAACAAGCAGGATAATCAGCATGGAGAAATGACTCTATAACCTCCAGGGAAGATAATAATAATAGGTAAAATTGAGCTCACCATGTTCTTGGCTTCCAATTCAACTTTCTCGGCACCCTTCAAACTAAGCAGAAATTTGACAATCTCCCATTTGTTATTACCAGCAGAAACATGAAGAGGGGTCTGTGACATCTGCGGTAAACGAAAAGAAATCAAATTACAAGAGAAGTCTTTCATGGAAAGAAACAGAAACCCTGTTCTAAACTCTCTGGTTTAGCATTCCAAGATGCGTTAAAGGTCTAGCCAAAGAAGATCTAAAGCCTTAGAAGTTAGAGGTTTATTCATCAAGGTCAATGAATCCATCAACAACCAAATCCCTCCTACCTCCACAATCTAAATCTTAGCAACAGCGCAAAAGCATCACTAGTTTCATTCAATCTCCATAAGAGCTTTCATGAACTAAAACAACGAATTTAACCTCGTAAAGAGAACAGTCCAAGAACCTAAGATTGATTCAAATGCCCAATACGAAAATGACCAAAATTCAAAGCTAATCTTGAAACGAACGCTGCTTTATCGAAGTATGAATCCTCCCCCAGAAACCCCAATTGGGAAGAAAGGAAGAAAGTTGGATTCTCTAAGCAGTGAAATGGAAGAAAGAAAAAGGGGGAAATGGAATAGTTGAGAATGATCTCACAACTGGGTTCCTCTCGTTGAGAAAAGAAGGGTTGTCACGGAGCAGCTTCTGAACGGCGGGAAGATCGCCGGACTGGGCACAGGCATGAATGGTGGCGGGCTTGGAAGATCTCGACCGTTGATCCTGGACAGGCTTCTGCATTTTGTTTCCCAACGGTGGCCGCTGCGGGCAGCGGTGATATATGTTAAGGTTTTGGCCGGTGGCGGCTTCTTCTCTCCCGCCGGTGAGAGAGAAGGAAGAAAAGGAAGAAGGCTGGAACGCGGATTTTGATGTGGAAGAAAAAAAAGGAAGGAACTAAAGAAGAGGCGAAGAAAGAGAAAGAAAATCTGAAAATGGCTGCTCTGATTTTTAATTTCTACCGCGAGTCCTTTTGCCTTTTTGGCGGCCACCATTTTATTTTGATCTTAGGACTTTAGGTTAACCCTTTCTAATTCAATGTTTTTTGGTGGATATCTAATTAATTTTACAATTGAACTTTTTTAGGTGAATTATTTTTACTATTGTGGGGAAATTGGCTTGGCTAAATCTCCATTAATTTGAATGAGGGGTTAACAATTTTATACAAGTAATCGAAACTCCTAAAAACGAAGGTGGATATTCAAAAACTCATTCGTACGAAATTTAGAGGATACGAATTTTAAAATTTTAAAAGATAAGTACAAGATAGAGCGATTCACTTCAGATTCACCCTATTGTTCTCATGTATATCTTTTGCATTGGACTATCTTGGACTCAAAATATCATATTTTAATTAACACAAAATCACTCTAAATATTATACTCAATAGGATATGATAATCATTAAGAGGAAAATAAAATGAAAGTGCATCTAGTCTAAATCTACCTGCTTAATTACTCTAATGGTGTGTAACAGCTCATTGGTCATTTGCCAAAACTAATCATAATCTTCTCCCTTCAATAATTCCTCTCCAAACAAACAAACTAGTCGCATGTTACAAATTATTGGAAGTCTATTTGAGCTATGAAGAAAAAGTAAAACCCTGCATTAGTTATATATTATGATATTATTTATTATCATATTTAACGATTAGAGTGAAATTATCATTAGTTGTATTATCTCTAGAATTCTTGGTGTATATTATGGATTTATCATTAGTTCTATAATTGTTACGTAAGATTGTCATACTTTACGTAATCATTACGTAATGCCTATTGTATTATACGTAATGCGACCTGTGAAACTTGTTATAACAGGTAAAAAAATTCAATTTACCTTACTTCAAATTACCTTAGAGGGAAATATGAAATGTTTGTAAGCGAAAAAAAGAAACCACTCAACGAGGGAGGAAACAAAGAGGCGGGATTGGGGAAGTAGTACAAAAAAGGAAACAAAAATTGACAGAGTAGAGACGAAACTGGAGATGGTAAGGAAGGCCACAACACTTCATCCATCCAGTCTTAAATCGCTTGAAACTAGGGGTGGCTATACGGTCCGGTCCGGTTAAATTGGCCCAAATTGATCCGGTCCAGTCCGGTCTTTTTGAAAATATAAGGACCGAAGATTGGATTGGATACAGTCCGGTCTTGATCCGGTCCGGTCCCAATTCGGTCTTGATTTTACATTGAGATTGTGGGATTTGAGTGGCCTAAGGCCTTAAAGGGTGAGGAGTTGGTTAAGTTTTGTACTAAGTGCAAAGGTTTGTGACCGTTTATGCAAATTACCCTTAAATTTTGGGTGTTGAGCTCTCTTATCCGGTCTTTATCCGGTTTTTTACCTCAAATATAAGCCCAAAGATTGGATTGGATTGTTTACTATCCGGTCCCGGTCCGGTCTCGGTCCGGATTATACGATCCGGTTTCCGATTTTTAATCCGGTCCCGGTCCAAATAGCCACCCCTACTTGAAACGGTTAATCTGCAGCACGACCCAATGGCAGCAGCATCATTGCTTTGAAATTCTACAGCCAAATTTCAGTCGTCGGCCTGTCTACCTTATTGGCACTAACTAACCAACTAGAGAGCTTACTACCAATCCCGAAACACACCACCTGCGGCGTGTAACACACTTCATTCTTTCCTTTTTCAAAAAGTTAAAAACAAAAATATTCGCACTTATTTTTCTTTTCATAGATAAAAAATACCAAAATTTCCCACTACTTTCTCTTCCCATAAATCAAAAGCATCAAAATTCCTCTTTTTTCCCAAAAATTGAAGCATCAATTTTCCACTTTTTTTCTCATCCCAAAAAGTTTAAAATATCAAAATTTATGAGTTCTTTTAAAATAATCAAATTATAAAATAAATTACTTTACTTTTTTATATTTAATTGATAATTTTGTTGAATAGTTAAACTCACCAGGATTTTAATGTATATGTTATATTAACGTTATACATTCTCTCAAATTTTTTATTTTTCAATATCAATATTTGTATTGTGTTGATTTTATATTTTGTATTTATTTTTAGTTTTCTTAAGAAATTAATATTTAAGTGAACTTCATGTTTTAGTTTGTGTAATTTTGTAAGAAATACATAATTTCAAGTGAATTTCATATTTTTAACTTTCCTTTACAAGATGTAAAATAATTTTAAGTAGGTTTAGAAGAAGAAAAAATCATTTTGAAAGACTATTATATATAGTAATTTTTCATGTCAATCGGGTGGGTCACGGGTTAGTCGGGTTCAATTCAAATGGATTAGTATTAATAGGGTTGCGGGTCAATCAATTGGGTTGCGGTTCAGCCGTGTTGCGGATTAATCGGGTTGATGGTCAATCGAGTTACGGGCCAGACGGGTTGCGTGTCATTGAATTTTAGTCAATTCTAGTTGCGGTTGGGTTGACTGCGCTGATTACTCGGATTAGATTTTGTCTTGACACCTCTATTGGCAACGGTATTCTTACTCTTAGTTGATTCAATGCAGAAAATCAGCTCTGTGAAGTATTGGTTGCCACTTGCCACGATGGGTGCAACAACTCAGTAGCACGTGGGAGGTGAATCTCTCAGTTGAGTGATAGTTCCCTTGAAAACGTTAAAAATCTATTGTTGGTCGAAATTGCTTATCTGGTTGAAGGGAATGCTTTTGGATGAGAGGCGCAGGGCTCTCGGTCTGAAATTGGGTGTTCGAAGGCCTCCGCACATGACTCGGTATTGAAATCCTAGAACAGGTAAGTTGTTGCCTAATCTTTATAGTGGCATTGAGTTCTATGTTTTTCGAACTTTTATACTTTCATGGTTGAAACTTTTCTCTTGGTTTCCTATGATTTAAGTTTTCACTTAAATGTATGGTTGTGTGAGATATTGATATTTGTTGTTGATGCAACTGAAGCATGTGATTAAGACACGTTGCATTCATTTACAGATAGTAATGTCAGATTGCTACAGGTACAACCATGATATGCTACCGTACGACCATGGTGGCTCGAATTCTTGGAAGATTGATCCATCTGGTTGGTATCCTTCCTATAGACCGAGTAACCAAAATACATCGTACATATTTGGTCCAGACCAAGTAACCGAAGTACAACGTATAGATTTGGTTGACAGACCGAGTAACCGAAATACAACATACATATTTGGTCTAGACTTAGTAACCGAAGTACAACGTACAGATTTGGTTGAAGGGATACCTTCTTAAGAATTCGAGCCACCATGGGCATACATGTAGCATATCAGGAAATTCTGGCATTAACATCTGTAAATGAATGCAATGTGTCTTAATCACATGCTTCAGTTGTATGAAACAACAAATATCAATATCTACACAACCATACATTTAAGTGAAAACTTAAATCATAGGAAACCAAGAGAAAAGTTTCAACCATGAAAGTTCAAAAGTTCGAAAAACATAGAACTCAATGCCACTATAAAGATCAAGCAACAACTTGTATGCAGTATGGATCATATGTCGTACTGCGGCCCCAACGCTCCTATCCTCAGAGTGTAGGTTCCATGTCGGAGATACCCGTACCCCCAAAATGGGAGTTGATTCGCTAAGTCATGATACTGCTTGAGTCACCCCACCTCGAAACCCACTGAGGAAGGTCATTACGCACAGTTTTTCCCTATTAAGATCATTGTTAGTACACTCCCTATTTTTTCTCTTGGATCGCAAGGCTTGAGCTGAAAAAGCAGCAGTTGTAAAACCAAGTTACGACGTACAGCTTATTCACCGCATTGATCTTCCTTGGATGAAAGGTTGGGACGGGAGCAGTGAGAAGCCTCATCGAACAGCTATCAAAGCTTGCCTTAGATGTAGGGTGGTTCACTAGCGGAGTAATGTTGAGTAGTGACCGAGAGAAGAGATAGGGAGTGTATCAAGAGGAATAATACACGTTCCTAATCCATAACCAATCATTAACATAATGAAAAAAAGATCGAAGTGTTGCGGAGGTTGACACCGATGTTGGGGTCGCTGAGGGAAAACTGATACATATCTTAAAAAAAATTCTTTAAACTTTTATAGCTATAGATTATACAAGTTTTCCCTTTTGTCACAACTTACCTCGAAAAAGATTTTTTTTTATTCTCTCACGCATAGTTTTTCCCACCTTAATCCACGTTTTCTAGTTGTCAATTAGATAAATTTCCCCTTTTGCTAGGAATTACCTTAAAATGATTTTATCTTCTCTCATGTATGTTTTTTCCCTTATCCCACGTTTATTTATAGTTGTCGATTAAACAAGTTTCCATTTCTCTAAACTTACCTTAAAGGGTTTTTTCCCCTTCTCTCGCGTATGATCCCCCCCCCCCCCCCAATCCACGTTTTTCTAGGTGTCGATTAGGCAAGTTCCCACTTTCTCTATGACTTATGTTAAAAGGGTTTTTTATATTCTCTCGCGTTTTTTCTCATGTATATTAGACATTGTCCCCCTTTCTCAAGTCATAAGGGGCTATATTACTGTACATATATTTTGTGGTTGTTCAATAAGTGCTCAAGTTCAAGATAATTGTTTATAAACATGCCACCTGATTGTACTCGTAATATGGGTACCAAAACTTTATCTTTCTACTATCAGTTTCATATAGCACCAGTCTATACATATACATCGTATCAACAATAAGCCGACCTTCCTGCCAACATCCCTTCACAAGTAACCTCTGAGGAAAAGGGCCGAGGCTCGTATGTTTGATCCAACTCCATTGCTCATTAGTGCTGCTCAGCAACCATACTTCACAACTTGCATAACACAACTGTTTTTTGAACAAAGCAACTAATTGTGATATAATTCGAGTTTACAACTTAGAATTATATAATCAAAAGAGCAGTATATCATATGAAAAACATTGTTCCCTATATCAAATGTCACTTCAGAAGCCTTGCCTGCATATTTCTTAAAGAGCCAATAGAAGAAACCATCTTGGTATATTGACAAGTAAACATGTAGCATCTTAATGCCATCATCCCCGTCTAGTACAGGTAGCTTCCTGCTAACTCCCTCCAACAACTTCTATGTAATGTATACACAAAAACTTGCATGGGGAACCGAGATGAAAGCAAGAGGTTGTAGTTAGCATCGTAATAAGCATAGTAACAAACCAGAACGACCTTGATATCGTTAGCAACTAAATCTACCCCCAACTCCGCAACAGTCAAAGCAATCCAATCAGAAAGGTGAGCTAGCATGTATCGAAGGAGGGTCTGGAATAAACCTTATTCTCAAGTTGGTTGGTTCCACATACGGTAATGAGGGTAAGACTCATGTGCCACAGATGACACTCTCAAGCAGACTTTCTATGGTTCTTCACTAAGTGCTCAAGTTCAAGATTTATGACTAATTAAATCTTAGTTGCAAGTTTTACATATCACTACTCATTACTTAGTGTATATATTTTGCTATGACTAGGATAAATCGGTTTATTGGTATCTCAAATGCTAAATAACGAACAAAATCAATCTCAATACGAAATGTTTCAATATGGTATATAGTATAGACCAAATACTAAACTAAATAACGTCATATTAGTATGTAAATTGCGCAAGTTTGTTTAAGAGGTCTGGTGGAGTGTGGGAGGGTGCACTATAAAACTTGCTATGACTTACCATAAACATGTCATTCCTTAGCTCCGGGAAGCGGTTCTTTGGTGCTTGGAGCTTGGCTTTTCGAGCGTTGTGTTTGAAGGGGATGCCAAGGTGATCATTGATAAAATTAACCAGGCAGATGTTAGAGACAACCAGACGGGGGCGGTTCTTGAAGAGATTTTGCAGTATTTTAGTCCCCCATCCGCGTTTGCGGTTCGGTTTGTAGGTCGGCGTTGCAATAGGGTAGCCCATTTGGTGGCTCGAAAGGCCCTTTCTTTGTACCCGAGTACGAGTCGTTTTTTTGATTTCCAGACCTGGCTGTTTTCCAGGATGTAACTATCTCTTGGCTTGATTCAATATATGATTATCTTTTGTCAAAAAAAAAAACATGTCATTCCTTAACCCACGGTTTTCTAGCTGTCCATTAGGCAAGGTTCCCCTTTCGATAGAATTTACCTTAAAAAGATTTTTTTATTCTCTCATCTATGTTTTTTTTTTCTTAACTCACGTTTTTCTAGCTGTCGATTGGACATATTTCATTTTTTGCTAGGACTTACATAAAAAAAATTTCTTTTATCACATATATGGTTTTTCCCTCTGAACCCACATTTTTCAGTTGTCGATTAAGTAAGTTTACCTTTTTCGCTAGGACTCATATTAAAGGGTTTTTTCTCTCACCCTTTTTCTGTTATAGATTGGGCGAGTTTTCCTTTTCTCCATTCACAAGGAGTTATATTAGTGGACATGGGAGGGTGATATAGGACTTGTTAACACTTATCTTAAAAATATTTTTTCCCTTTAACTCATGTTTTTCTACGTGTTGATGGACAAGTTTCCCCTTTTGTTAGAACTTACCTTATAGATGCTTTTGTTTAAGTGCTCTAGTGGGATACGAGAGGTATATCATAGGACTTGCTAGTAGATACCCGTTGAACCTGTCCCGAAAGTGGTCAGCAAAAGCTTCTTTGATTTCACCGGACTCATAAATCATCCTCCCATTCACCGTATTGGAATTAATTTTGTTCCTTCTATTGTTCGCCGCGACTGCCATGCGAAAATAGCCACAATTTTTGTCACCCGCAGTAAGCCATGACTCCCTAGATTTTTTTAGGGCATAAGAATTCTTCCTCAAATAGAACTCTCTCCAATTCACATTTAAGCAGGCTTCTCTCAACACTGCAGGAAGCAGGTAAAGCGCCTTGTTCTTCTAACATATCAATAACCTTGATTTTTTCCACCAAACTTGCAATCTTGACCTCCACTCTCCCAAATTCCTCCCTATTCCAAGTTTGTATCAGTGATTTTGTGACCCGAAGATGCTGCCCAAACATGAACAACCCTCCAATACCAACAACGGAATGCTCCACCATTCGTCCATCCCACAAGACTAGATTCGAAGGCCTCCTTTGTCAACCACATGTTTTCAAACTTTCATGGCCGCCGAATACGATTAGAGCATCCCATTTTAACAAGATCGGATTAAGATCCGATTCAACGTGATCCACAACAATAATGGAATCCGGCGATAACTCTTCCTCAACCCTTGCATTCACGAGGGCTCTACCAATTCGGGACAACGAGCTAGATCCATTACTCTAGGTGAATATTGAACCGAACAAAGGTAACTCTAATAGCTTGTAAGAGTTGATAAAGCTATTGAATTCAAACATCACCCATGTTACAGTTATTGTCCTAAATGTTCTTCATAAAAAAGTTATTGTCCCAAATGTTTGTCCAAAACATATATATGTTGTATGCAAGTATATTTGTGAGTGAATTGTGTTTTTTTTGGTCATATTAGGCATATTTAATATAGGTTATGAACTTATGATTCACATTATATTTTTTATTGTGTCTACACAATTTTAGATGAAAAGTATTTTGTATGTTTATGGAAAAAAAAAATTACATATATGTTGAAACAAATTGTACTTCATTGAGATTCATACAAGTTCTATGTATTTTGGTGTTATTCGCTTTGGTTTATCTGCTTGAAATTGTAATTAGTTGTATAATTTATTAGTGTTGAGTTGAATTTTTACCCAGCTCATTCATAAACAGTAAGGTTTTATTTTTTGGTGAGTTTGAATTTAGTATTTTTCAAAACGAAATTGTATGAATCGGATGATTAAAAATATTAAATTGGAACCTGATCCAACCTCCAGGTACATCTCTAATTATTTACACCAAAACGCATGATAATGCTCAAAATGAATGGATATGCGATCTCAATGTCTATACTCTATACATCAACATTTGACATCTAGCTGCATTCTGGTATTGCTGATCGCCATGATCAAGGTAACAATCCACTTGTTTCTTGCATTACACAAGTCTTTTTACCACTACAACGAGAATTCCCCATGTGATGATACTTTGAAGACGTTAACCTAATCACACTGACAATCTGTCTCCATAGTTGCAGCCGAGTAATTTCAATCTTCAGAAGAAAGAAGTCCCCAACAAGATTCCAGAAATGATAGGCTTCTTTGATACCTCTACTTGCTCCACATCACCCCAAAATCCAAAACCCTAAACACACTCAACCCACTAAACAAGCGGTTAATCACATCAAAGCGTGCAAGGCCCTTCTTCTGTTCTTCATCCATTTGGTCTCTTCAGCCCATTTGGCGTCCAGCCAAGCTGCCCAGAACTGGGGAAAATGACACGATCATACAGACCCACGACGCCACGTGTACACTAGATGAGGTTGCTTTAACGTGTGGCCATCACAATCTTTTTTTTTCCTTCCCTCTCCTTTCTCCCCACCACCTCGTTCCCCCAGATTCCAGAGTTCTAGATATTTTTGAACTTTGTCCAGTTGTAATCTTCTTTCTTCCTCAGATATTTGACTTGCTTTGGAAAAAGGATAAGTAACCAACCAACCATTGCCTATAACACCCACCGGAGAAGATTTTCCTGCCTTTTGCCGTACTATATGCTATCTGGGGTTGGATTGGGGTTTCTCTAATGGCTGGCGTTGCAATTGCTAAGCTCCATGTCTACCCTGTCGATCACTTGGCAGCTTGCTGCGGTGAACGGCAGAAGGGAAGTTCTGGGTCCCTTAGACCAGCAGTAGCAGGGCTTTTTCGTGTCCAGAAGGGAGGTTGTGGCGGAGGACAGCCGTTTTCGCAACACTGCAGGTCTTTCAGGTCTGAAGATGGTGGCGGTGGAAGGGAATTCGATGATGGGGAAAAGGAAGAAGGGAAAGTTGAGATTTTGAAGGGGGGAAAGGCAGAGAAGTTGAAGAAGGGAGATGGGTTGTGGGTTCCTGGGGTTGGTAGGTTGAAATTGCCTTCAAAGGATGAGTATAGTAGAGGAATTGCTCAAGTGGAGGAAGTCTTCTCTTCGGTGAGTTCCTGAATAGTGACTAAAGTGTGGATTTAGTTATGGTTAAGATGTAAATCTAACTGTACATCTGACGAACCAGGCTGCAATCCACGTTGGGAGATACATTGTGACCATGATGAGCACTGGAGTGGTACTTGCTACTGGTTTTCAGTTGTCAGGTCAGTTTCAAGTTTCTATTATGTGTTCTTTTCCAGTTTGGATGATATCGTGTTGTATCTGAAATGTTCAACTGCGTACAAATTTGTGTGTGAAGGTGGAGACGGTCAGATGAATGATCTTATCTGGTATAGCTGGCTCGGAGGAATCATAATTGGGACAATGACAGGTGCTAACATGGTGTTAGATGAACATTGTCGAGCAGGCCCTCGTAATGTTGTCATAACTGGAAGGTATATATAGTTATATAGCCTTTGGCAATGCTGCTCAAGATGCTTTTGTGCCTTATCTTTTCCTGAGATGAGCCATGTTTGTTAACTTCCCAATTCATTTCATGATGCATGTTAAAACCAATAGCACAAGGGGATTGGGGAAGGCACTTGCTAGGGAATTTCTTCTCTCTGGCGATCGTGTGGTTGTTGCATCACGAAGGTTTGTCCATTGATATCCTGTCACTCTGGAGAAACCTATCTTCTTGGTTATATTATTGGTACTCGCGATCTTACCTTGTTTTGTGCTTGGAAAAATGCAGCCAGGAATCCGTCGATATGACAGTGAAGGAGCTGGAGGAGAACCTCAAGGAAGGAATTGTCTCAGCAGGAGGTTCATCAAAGCGGAATCTTTCCCATGCAAGAGTAATTGGCATAGCCTGTGATGTCTGTCAACCATCTGATGTGAAGAAACTAGCTAATTTTGCAGTCAGTGAGTTTGGTTCCATTAACATATGGGTGAGTACTGATTCTCCCAAGCTGATGTTACTCATCACTTCCGTATGTATATGTTCATTTGGCTCTTCTGTTTTACATATGGGTGACTAGTTTTGGCAACTTCCAATGATACAAAACACAGATAAACAATGCCGGGACGAATAAAGGTTTCAGACCCTTGCTGCAGTTCAGCGATGAAGACGTAACTCAGGTAAGTGAAACTGCATTCAGAAAGCTTCAAAGTTACACTGTATAGATGGGGTTCATCTGCTATGTGTTATTGTGTGACTGACATTATCTGGTTCTGATAGATTGTCTCGACGAATTTGGTGGGATCAATTCTGTGCACCCGAGAAGCCATGCGAGTGATGGAAACCCAACCTAAGGGAGGCCACATTTTCAACATGGACGGTGCAGGTTCTGGGGGTTCAAGCACTCCTCTTACTGCCGTGTAAGAAATTCTACTACTACACAGTCAACAATGGCTTTGTGTTTTCAGTATTAACAGTTTACATAGAAGTTGAATGTATCAAGTGATGCTCGGATCGCATTTCTTTCCCTTCCGAACTTGTAGTTATGGAGCCACGAAGTGTGGTCTGAGACAGCTTCAGACATCACTTCTGAAGGAGAGTAAAAAGTCTAAAGTGGGAGTGCATACAGCTTCCCCAGGCATGGTCCTCACGGAATTGCTCTTGAGGTACACTATGGAGATTCTATGTTCACACACTCCTGATCTCTTGAGACTCTTGCTTTCTTCTTTCGCTGACTATATACTTACTGTCTCTTCTGCAGTGGATCAACACTGAAAAACAAGCAAATGTTCAACATAATCTGCGAGCTCCCGGAGACCGTTGCTAGGACATTGGTCCCACGGATGAGGGTCGTGAAAGGCTCGGGGAAGGCCATCAACTACTTGACACCTCCCAGAATCTTACTTGCTCTAGTCACTGCTTGGCTGAGGCGTGGTCGGTGGTTCGATGACCAGGTAATTAGTTGTCAATTTCCATTATCCACTAAAGAAACTCCTTCACATCAGTAATGAGCACAAAATGTAAACTCAAATCATCATTCCCTTTGTGCATCATTCAGGGAAGAGCATTGTACGCAGCAGAGGCAGACCGGTTACGAAACTGGGCAGAGAATCGTGCTCGGTTTTCGTTCACCGATGCCATGGAGATGTACACCGAGAACACATGGGTATCGGTTTTTTCGCTCTCTGTTGTCTGCGCGTTCATCATACTGTCTAGCACCAGCGGTGTATCTCCTGGCACCTAAGTAAAAAAAAAAAGACGTGCCCCAATATTGGGCAAGTCTGAAAGAGGATCTTAAGTAAAGCACCAAAGTTACAAAAGATTTTAGGCCATCCCTTTTTCTTAAAGTTTTTAGCCATTATGGAAAGGGTCTCTGCTGGTTTTATGTTCATACTGGCTGGATGTCGCGTGGAGCTGGTGATTGTCACCCATCTTATTGTTGTATACACAGACAGTCCTGTAAATGCGAATTGCTGTAACAGGCCAAGATGGTTCTATTGACGTGTAATGAAATGTAAGAAAGTTGCAGTCTTGTAGGACTTTTACGTTTCTCTTCAGCTATTCATGGTCGGCAATGGTTGTCTATATAGTAAGCTATTAATCATGTTTAAGAATTCACGATTTTTGGTTCCAAGTCAGCTTTTGGGATGTTGAGTTTATATCACCAGCCATGAAACCTTCTCCGTTACTACTGTATGAGGCTTCGAGCCCATTTATATGTTGTTGGATTTAGCCATTTGGGCCTGCTGACGAAATCTGCTGCTGATTCTCAGTCAATAGTTGTTTATCTTTCCGATTGATATCACCCTTCCAAGCATCTACGGCGAATCATCAGAGAGAGAGAGAGGTAATCTGCTTCCCTACACCGCTCGACCTCTGTCTCCCGCAGCTGGGTTTTCTCTTTGTAACTTGCCGGGGGCTTCAGTCCGGCGATCAGCGGATTCTTCGCCGATGTGAAGAGAAAAAAGGAAAAAGGTGGGAACTTTGACTCTATTTCCAGTCCATTTGCACTTCTATTTGCCGATGGAATTTGTAAAACTGTCACTCGAATTTTTGGCAAAATTGGATTAGGTACTTCTGTAGTTGTGTTTCCCCCAATTCCATTTTACGGTCATCCTTTTGTAGCTCGTTCTTTTTTATCTATCGATAATCCTCAGTTCTGTTCATTTGGAATTCAATTATCAGTTATACCCGTCAATCACCCTGCTCATTTGCTCTAGGCATTGCCGGGTTATCCTTTCTATCTCGCCCGGGAGCTTCAACCAGCAACTGGCTCTTGTCTTCGCCGAGGTAAACAAAGCAAAAAGTTGCAGACTTTGACTCAGTTTCCACTTCATTTTACAATGAATCTGCAGAACCGTTAGATTGACGAAGTTGAGAAATTGAGGCATCACAAAGTTTTCACAGGTTCTAGCTTTCATCATCCTCGAACCGATGGCTGCTGCAGAACTGAAGACCGAGAATGTCGATGTCAAACCAGTGGGGAATGCAGCAGCAGCAGCAGCACCATCAGTTAACGTAAGGGTGTTGTTCTTTGCCAGAGCTCGAGACCTAACTGGCGCAGCAGATACTTTGTTGGAGGTGGCATCGGGCAGCACAGCAGGCGACTGCTTGGTCGAACTGATTGCTAGATTTCCCGGGTTGGAGGAGATTAGAGAATGTATGGTGCTCGCCCTGAACGAGGAGTACACATCGAATTCTGCAGTCGTCAAAGAGAACGACGAGCTGGCCATCATACCTCCCATCAGTGGTGGTTAGGTACATTCACCTTCCAAATTGTATAAGCACGCGATTGTGCTCGTTGTATGATCAAATGCTTCCTGTATGTGGTGCAAAAGATGTTCAACTTTTACATAGACAATGTCAAACCTTGTGGAAAAAAAATGAAAATAAGATTTCTAGCTAGCAATGATACGACTTGGCAAAGCTTGAGAATGTAACAGCTTAGGCAGCTATTGCAAATGTGCACTCTATTGCTAATCAGATTCTTCTGAGATTAATATAAAGGAGGGGGGAAAACGCATCCAGAAAGGTTCCCCTGCTTCTGTTTCCAATTTCCGGCCACTGTTTCTCAACTTGGTCGTAAACCCCTAATGCTAATCAGATTCTTCTGAGATTTTGCTTTCCTTCCGCCCTTGATTTTATTATGGATTCCTTGGTTCTTCATGGAGGTGAACAAACCGAGCTCATTCCTTCAACTCCAGGTACAAAATCCATTAGAAAAGAAAAAAGATAAAAACAGGAAAATCTGTTTTTTTGTATTTCTGTTTATTCCCCTGTTTCTATCTTTAGACTCTGCCGTTCCTTTTTTATGGAGCAGGCCTATAGTCGAGGATGTGGCAGAACTGTTCATATCGCTCGCGGTGGTGGTGGTGCAGACGTCGGTGGTGGTGATCGAGAGCAAGGCGAAGAAGCAGATGATGGCGGTGATCAACAAGCTGATGTGGATCGCCTGCGTTCTGAAATATCTGAACTTTATTGCAACTCTGGAACAAGAATCCATGGGAAGGACAGAAATTAAAGCAGCAACAGCGAGCGGGAAGAAAGAATGAATGAAGCCCACGAAGGGAAAATCTCAAAGCAACCGCCTGCTGTTATGCTTACAGAGACAGAGAGAGAAGCACCTTGCCGGACTCGCAACTCTAATCCGCTGGGAATCGATCTTCCGACGTTTTCGACCGCTATCTCTCTGGTTTCTCCGATGTAAATAAATTTTTCAGCAGAGGACGAAAGGTTAGTTTGGAAGTTCATAGTTCTCTGTATAATTCGCTCTATTTTTCGTGTAATTTTGCAGTATTTTTCTGCTCATTTCGACTATTTCTCGGGAATCTACGCTACCCGCATGGCAATATATCGCGGAAAACCAAAATATCGCAATATATCGCGATATATCGCCATATATCGCCATATCGTCAAAATACCGTCAATTTCAATTTATCGTCAATTTCTCGCGTTTCGATTTCAGTTTTGAGGACAGGAAACGTTTCGCGTTTCGACGTTTCTCCAGCCGTTTCACCCCTCGGCCACACGTTTCTACAGCTTACCGGCTTTAGGGCCAGGGTTGGCCGAAGTTGGGCCCGGCCGAACAGGCCCGATTCTGGCATCAGGCCTACAACTCAAGCTTGGGCTTGCTCACTTCGGCCTAGCCTATACAATGTTGTGTAGCTTGAATAGTTCTTCTGGCCCGTCCAAATAATGGGCCAGTGGCACCAGCTTCAGAGAAAGAACGAAACGCATTGAGACAACTCAGAAACGCGGAACGGCAGGCCGAAACGCGAAACGTTTCGGGTCCTCAAAACCGAAATCGAAACGCGAGAAATTGACGATAAATTGAAATTGACGAGATCTCGCGATATATTAAAATATCGCGATATTCAACGATATTTTACGATATTTTGACCGGAATATCATTTCCGACGATATTATGACCCGCAGGGGAATTCATAAGCCAGAAAACTTCTCCGGCGAGCGATCTTTGCCGTTCTTTCCTTCCCTTCCGCCCGTTCAACTGAAGCGTTGATAATTTCGCGCCGGATTCCCCTATCTGTTCGCCTCAAATCGCTAATTGAAAGATTCCAAGATTTAGTTTCGTGGTCTCCGTAAAGCATCAGCAGATGCAGAACCTTGAACCTTTCAAAGCAGAGACATGGCTGCCGCAGTAAGCCCCGCCGCCGTTGATTCCCTCCGGATCGAAGCTGACTGAGCAAGGGAGAGGCGAGAGATTTGTTTGAGACGGATGATTTTGGAAGGGGCGGGGGGTGATATGTGAAAAAAGACGAACGAAAACTGAAAATTAGGGATTTGCAATGCAGGACAGAGGAAAGAGGATGAGAGGAAGAAGACGACGACGACACTGAAACTACGGATTTGCTTCATTCTAGGGGCCGGGTCATCTTCATCATTCCATTCCATCTCTTCAAAATTCAAAAGATAGATGGGCTTCAACCTTCAAGAAACACTAGTCACTAGCCCACTAACATAAAAAGATGCGGTCCATGTCAATTAGGATCAAAATAAGTCATCATTTCGAGTAAAATCCAATCAATAGAGACTAGAGAAAGGTAATAAGTTTGGTACGATTTTAGTATTTTAAGTATATTTGTATCGAATTTGTCGAAATTTATATTCTAACTTAATCTAGACTCCTTCACTTGAATACTTTGTTCATCCATATCCTAAAATATTATAATTATCTCTTAGACATTAAATTTTTTTATTTTTTTAAATTGACATGTCATTAGCTTAACGGTCTATTCAGCAGTTCTGTTTGCCACATCAGCAAAAAATTGACAGAGTTAACGGAGTCTGACGGAGTTAACGGAGTCTGACGGAGACTAACGGCCGGTGACTAACGGTGAAACGATTCGTAAAGTTAGTGGTGAATAAGAAAGAAAAATAATTCGGGTGGCAAACGGTGAAACGATTCCTCCAACAAGCCACACCTTGGCTCGTTTAAAGGAGTTGCAACTGCAAATTGCTGCTGCTAAAAGCCAAGTCAATGCGTGCAAGGATTGCATCAACAGCTTCACTTATGAGAGGGGACGGGTTAGCATGCTAACCCCCTTAAGGGGTTGATTTTTTGACACCCCCCTTTTAATTGGTCAATTTTTCATTAATCATTGACAAGTATTAATGAAAGTAAACATAATAAATGTTCTGTTATTAAATACAAAGTAAGCATTAAATACATCACATTAATTACTTGTTTTTAAAAAAAATCTAAACATATACAAAATACAATTCTCTCTCATCTTTGATATTTCTCACTCCTATCTCTGATTCTTCCTTTCCGAGCAGCCTCCGACCACCAAGTTTCCTCCGACCACCACACTTCGCCGGTAAAATCCGCCGACAAACTCTCTCCGGTCACATGCAAAAATATACCACTGCACTGATATGTTGTACCACTTTACTAGTATTTGTACCACTGCACTGATACTCAGATATGACATTGGTATCAGTGCACTGATATCGCTACCAGTGCAGTGGTATATCTACTAGTACAGTGGTACAACGTATCAGTGCAGTGGTATATTTTTTGGAGGTGGTCGGAGGGAGTCTGCCGATGGGATTTTCACAAGAGAAGTGTGGTGGTCGGAGACTGCTGAAAAAGGAAAAATCAGATATAGTGAGAGAAAATGTATTTAGTGTAGGTTTTAATTTGAAAAAAAAAACAAATAATTAATATGGTGCATTTAATTCCTAATGTGTATTTAATGTGTGTATTAAATTCTATAGGTGTATTTAATATACTAGGGGGTGTCATTTTTCCAACCCAAGGGGATTAGCATGTTAACCGACCCCCTTGTGAGAGTGGTGCTTTGAAGAGAGCTGATCATCCTTGTGAGAAGTATTACTTCTGATCTCGGTGGCGTTCCTCGCGCTGTCGTTCGTGGTGGTCGGCGATTACCGTGGCGATCATCGGGACGGTGATCATGGCGACCACCCTCGGCACGATGTGTTATTGGGTGATTAAGCACCGGATTGAGGTGTCCAATTTGAGAAGCATTCGCCGGAATTCTATGGATAGTCGGTCTCGATCGTTCTCAGCTTCGTATATGTCGGATTCCGAGTTGCGTAATAACGAGTTCAAAAACATGTACGCCATTTAGAACCGACTCCAGCCCCTGCACATTCTCATCTTTTGCTTACACCTCGTGTATATTTTTCTCACCGAACTAAGCATAGAAATAGCGATGCAAGTAGAGGTGGCAATTAGTATCCAAATCCATGAATCCAATCCAAATTATCCACCTAATCTAATTCAGTTAAATCCAAATTCAAATGAATTGGTGGATTCATGGATCAATCCATGTATCCAAATGACAAATTACGATTTGGTACATGTATTTTTTATATTTTACATTTTGGTACCTAAAATTTATATTTTTATACGAAAATAACATTGGGAAATTACATTTTGGTACCTAAAATTTTTCATCGTGGCTTTTTAGTACCTAAACTTTTGAAAAATTACATTTTGGTCCAAACCTTGGATGTCATTTGGATTCATAGATCAATCCACCAATCCATTTGATCCATTGATCCACCAATCTAATCCACGAATCCGATCCATTGCCACCTCTAGATGCAAGTATTGGAGTAATCCTAGCAGCAGGATTCAATAAAGGAAAGAAAGGAGGTTTCAATCCATGTACATTTCTAGTATGTCTTCAAGCGAAGTTGGTATTATACATTGTTTAGTTTGTAATAACTAATGACATTCTGTCACGTGGTTGTCTAGATTTGTATTTCTGGTTTAAGCTGGCGAACAACTACCCAATAGAAACAGAGCAAACCCTGCACTTTGAGGGTCGTGCATTCCACAATTTCTTCCAAAAGTTTCAAACATACAACATTCGTGATACTAACTTAATTATCGTTTCGATCTCGATAATAGCAGAAAGCGACAATGATGGACCGCAGGACTACCATAGTTATTTGAAAAAATTTATGTGGACTTCGATATCAATTTATAAATCACATATACCTTATATTATTTTTCGACTAAACAATTAAGACGATCTAAATCTAACTTTTGCTCTTCTATAGACGGGACAAGTGGGCATCCACCCAATGGATTTCAAAACCCAAACGAATAGTCACAAAGAAAGTATGAACACGAGGCCCATAATGTCACGATTATAGATCGTCACTCATCAGCCGAAATAAGCTAAATTTATTTAAAACTAGAATGGAAGCCCGCGTTTCGCGCCGGGATTTACGATTGTTTGTAGATCACCTAGGTTCGGGTCTCATTGGAATTAAAAAAAAATCCAATTAAATATACCCTTTCTACCAACTTGACAAATTTCTCGGGGAATTTTTTTTTAGTAAAGTGCAGTTTTATTTAGTTTGAAGGGTATGCTATCATCGAACGACCGATAGTGTACCAATGTGATACGATCAAGCTGTAACAAACAATTTCGCAGGCAATAAGCATTTGAAGCAACAATTTTTAATAATTAATTTAATCCGTACAACAAATTTTAATCATCCTCGCAGTACACCTTTTTATTTTAGGAATCCAAACTCATGTTCATTCTATCTTACAAACCCGACACTACAAATTCACTAGTTTTACTTGTCCACCGACAGATTATAGATAACTTTGTGACACACATTAACCTTGCATTATGTAAACAACTATATATTTGACATAAAATCGTATCTCTAGTTGTTTATTTTGAGAATTGAATTCTCCACCCTCAAGCAAAAATCCGTCGACAAACTACGAAAATCCATTGTGATTATTTAAATATTAATAAAATATATTTTATATTTTTATTTTTACTTCGGACCCACCTTAATTAAAATCTTGGCTACGTCACTGATGACATATGGAGTTGTAGCTGCGGCAGTCTAGGAGCGAGGTGGTGAGGCGAAGTCGGCGACGCGATAAGATTGAAGGAGAGGCAGGTCGGAGATGGAGTAAATTAGGGTTGACGGCGCGAGAAGAGAGATGAGAAGAGTGTGGTGGTTCGAGGTTGGCTTGCGGACGACTGATGCAGAGTAAGGTGAGAGCCGAGAGGGGAGAGGGTTGTAGACTAAAGAGTTAGGCTTTTGGTTGGGCTTAGTGATTTAGGGTTTCGTTTGGGCTTAGGGAGTTAGGGAGTTTCATTTGGGCTTAAGAGAGTTGGAAGGAACAAGGATGAGTTTTGGGCTTATGTAATATATTTTAGTTTTTTGACCGGGAATTTAGAATCTCGATTCGATTGAAAGAACTCTGATTTTCAAACTATTTGTATTTCACTTCCAAATTCTGAACCGAATAGCAGTATTTCAATTTTTATGGTTTAGTTCGATTTCGGTTCCGATTTACTAAATTTATGCCCACCCATAGTGAAACCGATCCTATTGAGAAAGAGCAGCAACAAAAAAAAAAAAAAAGGAGTAATAGCGAAACTTGCTGGAATGCACCATGGCTGACGTGGAGGCCCGCTTTTTCCAAACGCTTTTAATATTTTGTAAGAAAGACTAATTAACCGTTACAATGATTCTCTTGATAGCCCATGGCCCATAACCCACCATCATGTGGCTCCAAAGCCCATATCCGAGAGCCCGCGCCAACTTCCTTCACACATATAAACAGAAACCCTAATCTCAACTTCCATCGTGACCACCAGCAGCACTTTCCTCTTCAATCCCTCTACCGGCGGCCGAAGATCCAAAGCTAGGGTAAGCTCTCTTCTCCTCCCTCGTCGGCGGCGAAAATGGGTCGTGTTCGCACCAAGACCGTAAAGAAGTCCTCCCGCCAGGTGATCGAGCGCTACTACTCGAAGATGACGCTCGACTTCCACACCAACAAGAAGATCCTGGAGGAAGTCGCCATCATCCCGTCGAAGCGCCTCCGCAACAAGATCGCCGGCTTCTCCACCCACCTGATGAAGCGGATCCAGAAGGGTCCCGTCCGTGGCATCTCCCTCAAGCTCCAGGAGGAAGAGCGCGAGCGCCGCATGGACTTCGTCCCCGAGGAGTCCGCCATTAAGGTCAACAGCATTGAGGTAGACAAGGAGACGCTCGAGATGATCAGCGCCCTCGGCATGGCTGATGTCGGTGGGATTTCAGTCGTCGACCCTGTTGCTGCCTCCGCTCCGCAGTTTGGGTTTGGCAGAGGCAGGCCGAGGTATTAAGCGACAAAAGGAAAGGGTTCAGGGGAGGGAAAGTCAGTCATGGCTTTCTGCTTCTTCTATCTGCAGTTTCTTATTTGTGTTTTTGTTCTTTGTTATATCAGAATCTGGAGAATTTCTGTTTAGTTTATCTTACTGCCAGAGAAGTTTTGTTAGACCATGCTACTCTTGTTGAATTATTGAGATGAATGGATGGTAGTTTCTGAAATGGGGTTCTTCCTGGATATCGCATTTGTGCTCTGTTTAGCTGATATGCAAGTTTGTCTATTGTTGCTCTCTATGTTGTCTATTGTGGTTGGTGATTATTGATTACTAAATGCTAGAAGTTTCAGTAATGATGGAACTACATCGATGATGGTTTCTGAAATGGGGTTCTTCCTAGCTATTTGGATCTGTGCTTTTAGCTGCTGTGCTAGTGCAATTTGATTTGCAGTTGTTGGATGGATCGGTAGAGGCGTATTAGGCTCTATCATGTGCAGCAGCAGTATGGAATATGTTAAGATTGGAGTGGTTGGGGCTTAATAGTCTCGTTTCAGTGTGTTCCGTTAGTTTCGATTTCAACATTTGCTATTCTTGGGAGTCTTGGTATAGCTGTAGGGATGCTACTTTCTGAGTTGAGTGTTGCTTTGCTAACTGTGGATGTGAAGTTATTTGGATGAAGGTTTGTGCATTGTCGCAGCATTTTAGTGCAGCACTTGCTTGAAAGGAGGTTTTGTTTGTCATTCACCGGGGTTGAGCGAGTTTGAGCTTTAGGCTTAGTGTTGAATCCTTGATTCTATCAAGATGGTGTAGGGGATGCTTATCACTTGAGATTTGGGATTGGAGCTTAGCATTTTCGCAAATGATTGTGATTTCATAAGCTTAGATGCATCTGATTGGACGTTCGCAATTTGGTGTTAGGGAATGAAAGTCGAAATGAAATGCAGCAGCCTAGGGATCCATCCTTTAGTGCACATTTATCAGAGTAGGGCTTAATTATACTGCAGAAAGAAATGTATCGTGTTAGACTTGCAGGTTTCTTGCATCTTTCAGTGTTGGTATATCTGTATGGATATATCTGATACAATATCAGTACATGGAGAAATTTGGTCTGGTCATCTTTCTATGATTAGAATTGGGTTGGTGCATCTCGTTTTGTTCAAGGATTCATGAGACAGAACTGCTGGTCTCACTGTTCCATTTTCTAGCTATTGAACGCAAGAGATCCAAGCTAATCAAGCTATGGACTTAGCTTGACAGGATGTGACTTATGAGTGTGATCGTCAAAGAATATGAACATACTAATTTATGGATTTCTTGACAGTGGTGCATCATACCATACAGTTTGCGTAATCACATGACAAAACTATTGCATACCTTCATAACTTGACCAAAATCATGGACAGTCAGCGCAAGCCCATTCTTGTGCTGTATTAGCTTGATTTAATGGCGTTGGGAGTTGATGCCTGATGGAGCTATTGGGGTAATTGAGGTTAGTAGGGGTTGCTATGGGTAGGGATGAGTATTGAGATATCCGTCGTTTCATCCCACTCGTTTGCTTGTCATCTCTAATTATGGGTAGTGGTGGATTAGTTTTGAGCTCCAAATTCACTAATAATGTCAGGGGTTAGGCCCCAATATGATCAAAGTATGTCACAACTAGTATCCCAAAGGAAAGTAAGGAGAAAAAACAAGTATAGCGAGTGTCATAAAAAGCTAGATAGAAAGATAGACTATAAAATATGACCTATCGACATGCTCTATCAAAAACATGTCAACAATAAGCTAACAAACGTGTAATTTTCGTCACCATAACAGAATATAAATGAGTCGACTTAGCACGTGATGAAGGTTAGTAGATGAAACTATTGGTCTCTTTCTATACAAATACAATGTGTTGCTAATTACTTTCTATTAATATCCTAATCTTTATTAGCATATTAAGTATTAACCCAATATGACATGCTAGTTCCCAAACAATTTGCAGTTGAAATCTGTGATGTTCAGCATCTTGTGAGACCAACAACATGATTGGTTTACCACGTTAGGCATTCCCTCGCTCCCCATAGTTTTCATCCTTGAAACCAACACATCAAGTAGCACTAGTGTATGACTTTCACTTTTAGAAGGTTCACTTGTGGCATTAAAGAAGGGAGGGAACCCTAGAAAGTAGAAACCTTAATTAGGTTTCAATTACTTCAGTTTGTATGAGTTAGGTAAGCAAAAACAGTTTCTTATTGATGGGTATTTGTGGCTAAACATCTAACAAATTTTATTATTATTATTATTATAGTTATTATCGTATCTATTTTGTTGTCGAGTATTGATTCTACTCAGTAAAATTTGGAAGAACTAGAGAGAAAAGATGAATCGTGAGGAGTTTGGAAGAACTGGAGAGAATTTTTATTTATATTTTATATTATAAGTCCTTTATAGTCATTTTACACAACCGTTCATATTGAAAAAAACACTTCTAATAGTTTTAGAACCAAACACTAAACTCTTTTTTTTGAAAAGTACTTATCTAAAAGCTCCAGCAGTCCAGCCAGAAGTTGCTTATGCAAAAACTACTGCAGGGCCAAACTTAAAGCTTATAATCTTACTTCTCTTGCCTACTTGACGGAAACCAGAGCTGGCCTATGGGCTTGGGCTTTGACCTGGGCCTCGTTCTTCATACTGATTTTTCTGATTTCCAATTGGCTGGACAGAAAATAATGGCTGGATAAGGGAATCAATGGACGATTATTATTAGGAATTGAAAAGCAGCGAATGTCATGGCATTGATTGTGAGAGAAAATTCCAAACATAATAAATATGATTATATTCCAGCAAAGACTGCCCTACATCCCCAGAACCATGTGCTAATTTGATTCTTTACCCACCCTTCAAATCCCTTAATTTGTTAGAATTATAGGACGGTGGTCCAACATTATCCTTTCAACCTCCAAAAATCTCAACTCTATATATCATGTCAATGTTGTATTTTCTACATAAAATCAGTCGATCGAAATGAGCGGCGAGAATGGTTGACGCCGGCCGGCTGCCTTGTTGGGTCATGATGGTTGGTGGGCCCACCGAAATTATTCAGCACGACCGATTCACCAGTCAATATTGGGCCAACTGTGCCGTAGAAAATAGAAAAATGGAAGTTTCTCCTCAGCAAAAAAATTATATTTATTTGTTTTTATCTATAAAAAGCTCCACTTGCACCGTCTTGCATGGTTTAGGAGAGAAAGTCTTACCATCCATTCTTTTACAAATTTATTTATCTCCTATTCTAAATTTATTTATTTGTTTCTTGTTCTTCCATGGCGCATCTTCCTGTAGAGAGGTGTAAACAGTAGCATGCATATGGTACATCTTTCCTTCCATGGATGCCAATGCTGACTTGTTCTAGATTCAATAGGTTGGGATATAAAAAGTTGTATGAGTTTTGAAAAATTATGTTTAAATACGACGATAACAGTTTAGAAGTGTGTGAATCATGAAATTTGTAATCGCTTCTATATATAGAAAGACGGCTTGTCACGCTTTACGAGTCATTTGGTCGCGGTTTTAATACCCAAAAGTAGCAATATTATTAGTTCTATTTTTTACTTGTAAGATGTAACTTTGACATAAAGTCGATTTGGTCACTTAGCTTTCGTTAGTAGGTTCTAATTTGTAAAAAAAAAAAAAAAAATCAGATTCAAACTACGCCAATATAATCACTTAACTTTCATATTTTGATTTTACGACCCTTCAAATTCAAACTATACCAAATAAATTATACTTTGATTTCGTAAATCTTATGAATAATTTGAATGTATAATGAATACTTTAATTTTATTTTTTATAGAAAGTCGATTTTGCTTCATATATTTAACCTTGTCAGGCTGACGATCAAACCCCTAAATAATATAGTCTCCCAAGCTTTCAAAAGTGGAAAAATATTCTAATTGAATAATTTATATATTGAACATATTGCATACTTGTGTGCTAAAATTTTATTTTGAGAAATTTTAATTATCTAAAAACATCTTGTCATGTTATGAAATTAGAAAAATAAAACTATACATTTTTTTCCCTTTTTACAATTTATATGTTAAAAAAAAGTCAGCCCCATCCCCCCAATCCTAGCTCCAGCCTTTACTTTCTCTTGTTATATATATAAAAAAAATAATTGTTCACAGGAACTAAGGGGTTGTTTGGAAGTTGTGATTGTTAAATGGATGTATTGTTGTGAATACATATATAATATTATACATGTATTGTCGAAAGTGATGCATTGTAGAATACAACGTTTGGTATGTCTGATTGTTTATGTCACATCAGCTAAAAGCTGAGACAAAACAATCTCAACTCAACTATCTCAACAATCACAACGAAAAGTTGAGATATAGCAATCACTCATTTTGAGTGATAGTTTCTGTCACATCACGGAAACAATCCATGCATTGTTTCTGATAAAAAAACAAAAAAACGATGCATTCTAGACAATACATGTATAGTAACAATCTCAACAAAACAATCGTAACTACCAAACCACCCCTAAAGTCCCAAGAAATTTGGAGAATATTCTGAAGAAACACAAGTAGTGGACTTAATCATGCAACGGACTACTCCTTGCGGAAGCACCTCCCATCATCAACAACGACACAAATAACAATAATTAAGCCATTTAATTAACTTGCTACGTAAACTAAAAAAACAATACAATTAATATAGTGATAATTATATATACCCACTAATTAATTAAAATAATTAAAGGAAAGTCGAAATGTGCGCATGTGGTAGGAAGGAGGTAAGTAGAAGTTGGTGCCCTCCAGCTGTTTTGTATCCTCCTAGCAAGCAAGCTACTACATCTGGCTATTTGGCCCGGATTGTTTGGTTTTATCCGAAATCGGACCGCATAATTCGGATCGGGACCGGACTGAGATCGGGTAGCAAACAATCCAATCTCATATTCGGGTTTAGATTTGAGGTAAAAACCTGGATAAAGACCGGATAAGAGACCCCAACACTCAAATCCCCATAAGCTCAATCTAAAATCAAGATCAAATTGAGACCGGACCAGATCAAGACCGGACTGTATCCAATCCAATCTTTGGTCCGTATATTTCCGAAAAGACCGGACTGGGACCGGATCAATTTGCTCCAATTTAACCGGACCGGACCGTATAGCCACTCCTCCAAGCTACTACCTTAGTTAAGAGTAAAGGTCACAGCTAAAATATAAACTCCTCCAATTAATTACTTAATTAATTAATCCGGCTTAAAAAGGCTGATTAACATGACTCACCTAATCCACGACAATACATAATTCCAGTTTTCTTCCTTGGCTTGCGTCATTCATTCATAAAATTCTGTCCACTTACTGATTTGATTTTTGGTATTTTCGGTCATCGTAAAGTAAGATTTCGATATCTAAAACATTAGGGGTGGGATCACGGTTGCGATTTTGTGGTTAAACCGCAACCGTACTGAATAAGAGCGGTTTGTGGTTAACCGCAAACCGTTTAAAGGGGCCTTTATTCGGTAACAGTTAGTGAAATTGGCTCTTTTGCAGTTTGAGGACTAACCACACACCGCACCGAATAAGTAACTCCATCAAATAACTAACCGCGTAAGAGTATACCCAGCCCAAGCCAAATCCATCCAACAGCCCAAAATGCATTTTCCTTATTAGAAATTAATGCGGATTGTTTCTTTTGGATGTTTAGAACTTAATTTTGTTTCTGACTTTTCCAGGTGCATTTTCCTTGTTTTAGTGTTAATTTCTCAAGTGCATGTTGCTGGATTTTACATGTTAATTCGGTTTTTGTTGCGGTTTTGTTTCATTTCGCGGTTTTTTACACCGTTTAACTCTTAATCGCGGTGTGAGGTTTAAAGTGCAGTTAATCGTAACTAACCGCTAACCGTGATTTGTGGTTAACCGTAAACTGTTTGTATTACGGTAACGGTGGGTGATTTTCCCCTTGTGTGGTGGTGGTTAACCACGCTTATTCGGTGCAGTTAACCACAGTCGCACCGTTTTCCACCCCTATAAAACATACTTAGTAATTTGGTTTGTGATTGTGCTTTTCTGCTGGAAATGGGTTGTCGATTTGGTTAGTTGTCTATTTCAAGCCCAACCCATACTCAACTTCCTTCCACACTCATATGAACTGGTTTTCTCCCTTTCCTGTCTCTTGCTCCAACCCTTTTTGTTTGTATTGCAAGGACAGTTTGTTTCCCATTTCTTTTCTGTATATTAAAGTGGATAATCGAATAGAAAAAAGGAAGCTCAATGAACCAGCACAGCGGGGTTTAATTAATGTTGTAATGCGGGGGATCAATCATGTCACGGTAGTTAGGAACCACGTCCTAGGTTGCTAGCTAGGAACAGGGTCAGATTGGTTGCCAGTCGGATCGACTGGGATGAACCAAATTCACGATTGTTAGGAAGTCCAGCCAGCCTGTGTTTTACTCTCACTGTCGATATTAATCTAGCACGGACTGGATTAACCGTATGTGCGGGGTTGTCCCCTCTTGATTTGATTATGGTTTCCCTCAGTTTGTCTATCTTCGTAATCGATCGATCATCAAAGAAGAAGAAGAAAAAAGAGTTTGCTTCCCCATTGTATACAATGAGTAGAACCAAAACTCAACTTTCCCTTCTTTCTCTCAAACCCGGGGTTGCAATTCGGCTTTAGAGTCACACACTTGGGCTAATCTCACATCTGGAACCATCGATCACAAAATCTAAACGGGTGAAGTACCCGTCGAGTCTATAGTTGGTTTACTGAATAGAGATTCAAAGTACAGGGGGATTCGGTAGTTGCATTTTCGACCGATATATTTGTACACCAACCAACATCTCATCCAATTTCATCCACATTTGTCATGTTGGCAGTTGGGCCCCTACACTCTGGAGTGGCTGATCCCTTCTTGGCAGAACTGCTTGCAGCTACAGATGCCATTTGGCTAGCTTGTCGTCTCCGGGAACCTGTCTCATGTAGGTGTAATCGTGGAAGGTGATTCCGATGTGGTGATTCAACAGCTTCGCCGCCAAGGTGTAACGAGCATTAGCTTCGAGATTGTCTTCAGCCCATAGAGTGGCACGTAAAGCTCTACTGTTGTCTCCTCCTGAGTTAGTTTCCTTCGACTTTATAGGATGATTCGACTGAGATAGTTGCTTTGGAAGGGTTCCTCGGTAGTTTTTATTGTTTTCTCTCTTTCTATGAATCATTTTGTGCAGTACTCCATTTAGACTAGGGCTGGCTATTTGGTCTGGACTGTTTGGTTTTACCCGAAACCGGACCGTATAACCCGGACCGGGACCGAATAGCAAACAATCCAATCTCATATTCGGGCTTAGATTTAAGTTAAAAAACCCGGATAAAGACCAGATAAGAGACCCCCAACACCTAAAATCAAGATCAAATTGGGACAAGACCGGGTCAAGACCGGACCGAATCAAGACCAGACTGTATCCAATCCAATCTTTGGTCCTTATATTCCCGAAAAGACCGGACTGCACCGAATCAATTTGGTCCAATTTAACCGGACTGGACCGTATAGCCACCCCTAATTTAGACTACAAATATTATTGATAAACTTGATGGTTCTAGGCTTCTATCTACGCTTTGAACCGTTATATTTATCCCTTGAGGGTCATCAAAATGGCACTAACCAAAGTGGTGGGTCATTATTCTATGTATAGTACCAAATCTTGAATGGCTCCAGAAAAAAGAACTAACACCCTTTTGATTGGCTTGGAAGTTGGAAGGGTATAAAAAGAGAAGGAAGTGGACAAAAATCCCATTTTATTTACCCTTTTCCCAATAGAACACCAAATCCAGTGATTCCATTTATTAATCAACCTAAGAAAGGCGATTTGGCCTTTGGAAAAAAGAGGATTCATTCCATTGGAGGAGGAGGTTTAATTTACATCCATAAATACAACAAACCAACTGGATAATAGTGTCACGTATTTATTCATTTATTTTCTTATTTTGGATGAATCTAATTTTCTTTTTTATGTTTGGCAAGAATGGATGCTGCCGCCAGCATCCCAGTTGATAATTGTTTTTTTTTATATATTTATCGTTTCGAAAATTAAAGAGGAAAAATAAGATAATTCTTAATATCGAGAAAACGTAAATCACACTATGCAACTTGTATTAGGATTATTAATTATTGTTTCCCTGTACAACTCTAGCTGGATTTACGTTGCACAAAGTAAATTTTATATTTAAATTTCCAGCCATTTTTACATTTAATTCAATTGGAGAAAAAAAACCCGTTGACCTACAAAATTCCAATTAAGCAAGTCAGAGAACAGAAATTCCCCATATCTCTATTTATTTTTATTTTTTCATGATCAATTATTATTGATTAGGCAACGGTGGTCGGATATAAAATAAGCGGAAAAAAAAACAGAGAGGCCGGTCGGAGACGGACTCGGCGCCGCTTCCGGTGCCGGAGAACAAAAAACGCGGCCCCGCGGGCCATCCGTGTAGGTCCCACCAATTTCGAGATCCCACCATTTTTGTCGCCACCGCATTCCGCAGCCAGCCTGCTCCAATCACGCGCCGTCGCTCTTTTTTTTTCCCAGTAAAAGAAAAAACTAATTATAATTAATTTAATAATTATAACAGTTGTTACCTCCGAGCAGAATTGCAAGCTAGCTGGTGTTTGCCGCTTTCATCATCTTCTTCCCTTTTTCCTCTCTTCTCATCTCTCCCATCCCCACATGCGAAGCTGAAAAGCAGACTGCAAAAAATATCAGAGAAAAAGCGCCATTCCCATTCCTCCACCATCACAGAACTCACTTGCCCAACAACAACAACAACATTCCCACAAATAAAGTCTCTCCCTTTTCTCTTCTTTGCTAATCGGCTAACCAGGGAAGAAGAAGAAGGAGGAGAATCCCGCCGGGCGCGATGTCAGCTCCGGCGCCAACCTCGCCTCCGTCCACCAACTCCACCGCTCCACCTCCCGCCACACCCTCCGCGCCGCCTCCGGCGACCCCCTCCGCGCCACCTCCTTCCCCTCCCGCCGCCGCCCCTCCGCCGGCCACTCCCTCCGCTCCTCCGCCGGCCACTCCTTCCGCTCCTCCCCCGGCGGCGCCCGCCACTCCTACAGCTCCGGCGCCTGCTTCCCCTTCTCCGCCGACGACTCCTTCACCTTCCCCGCCTTCGCCTCCTTCCACCACTCCTTCGCCGCCTTCTTCCACCACTCCGCCGTCGACCCCCACACCTGTCACCCCTTCCACGCCGACCCCAATCACGCCGTCTACCCCCGGGAGCCGCACGCCTCCGTCATCCCGCTCCCCGCCGTCGTCTTCTTCCGGCGGCTCGCCGCCGAACTCTTCCTCCCCTCCCTCCAACTCGTCATCGATATCGACCGGGACGGTGGTCGGGATTGCAATTGGAGGAGTGGCGATTCTGTTGATACTGAGCTTGTTCTGTATTTGTAGAAAGAGGAGGAGAAGAGGCGACAATGAAGCCGCTTACTACGCTCCTCCGCCGCCGCCTTCTTCTGGCCCTAAAGGTTCGATTTCTTTCCCCACTCTTCTTCTTGCCCCCCCTCTGGATTCGAAACTGGAATTGGAGAATTTTCTCGGGAGAAAGCAAATTTTCCCCTCCCTCGGTTTGACTCGGGTCAAAATTACTCAGATCTGCTTCTTCTCCAATGGCGTACGAGATTCTAAAAATTTATGGGTGATTTCTGATTAATGGTTGCAGTTGACCCATACGGCGGCCAGCCGCAACAGCATTGGCAGCAGGTAGCTCCCCCGCCGCCGGATCGAGTGGTGGGATCAATGGGAAAACCGCCACCTCCGCCACCAGCTCCGGCGAGACAGCCACCTCAGCAGCCGGCTTACCTGAGCAGCAGCGGGGCGTCCAATTACTCCGGCACCGAAACCCCGCTCCCGCCGCCTTCTCCTGGACTGTCATTGGGCTTCTCGAAGAGCATGTTTACATATGAAGAGCTAGCGAGAGCTACAGATGGGTTCTCGGATGCCAACCTGCTGGGGCAAGGTGGGTTTGGATATGTTCATAGAGGAGTTCTTCCAAATGGTAAAGAAGTAGCCATCAAGCAGCTGAAGGTAGGGAGTGGTCAAGGGGAGAGGGAGTTTCAGGCTGAGGTGGAGATCATCAGCCGAGTTCATCATAAGCATCTGGTTTCCTTGGTTGGTTACTGCATTACTGGAGCTCAGAGATTGCTGGTTTATGAGTTTGTGCAGAATGATACATTGGAGTTCCATTTACATGGTATGTTTCTGCGTTTGTGCTTAAGCTTCGATTCGTTGGATGTGTTAGCGCATTGTAGCTGATGAGTGGAAATGGTGAAATTGATGCAGGGAAAGGGCGACCTACGATGGAATGGCCGACTAGGTTGAAGATCGCTTTGGGGTCTGCTAAAGGGCTGGCCTATCTTCATGAAGATTGTGAGTTAGGCCGATTTTGAATTGGAGAATTTGTTGTGTTTGCTTTGCAGCTTTTTTCTTGGAGTTTGTCAATTCACATTGTTGGCAATTTGCTTTTGTTGTTATGTTCTTCAGGTCATCCTAAGATCATTCATCGTGACATTAAGGCAGCCAACATACTCTTGGATTTCAAGTTTGAGGCTAAGGTACTTTAATCCAAGCAAAAGCTGTGTGCTTTCTGAATGAATATCACAACCTTGATTGCAGAACTAACTCAATGTGTTAAACCCTAAACTGTTTCTAGGTTGCTGATTTCGGATTAGCGAAGTTTACGTCTGATGCTAACACTCATGTCTCCACCAGGGTGATGGGAACTTTTGGGTAAGTGCTCTAATGGAGGTTATCATTTTTTGAGTGTAGGTTATGCTAGTTAGCTCTTCTAGACTGAATTTGCTCATGCATTTGATTTCACTTCTGTAGATACTTGGCTCCAGAGTATGCTGCAAGTGGAAAGCTCTCCGACAAATCCGATGTGTTCTCCTTCGGAGTAATGCTTCTAGAGCTGATCACAGGGCGCCGCCCTGTTGACACGACTCACACTTACATGGACGACAGTCTGGTGGACTGGGTAAGTTTGCTTAGCTTGACCATGAAGTTTTTATCTGCAAAGCAGAGTTTCAACTTAGTTCAGAAAAGCTAATCTTTCTATTGCTCTGTAGGCTCGGCCCTTGCTTTCACGAGCTCTGGAGGATGGAAACTACGACTCCTTGGTCGACCAAAAACTCGTAGACTACGACCACAACGAGATGTCTCGCATGGTCGCCTGTGCTGCCGCTTGTGTTCGCCACTCTGCTAGGCGTCGCCCACGCATGAGCCAGGTAAAATCATCCGGGTTCTTTAATTTTCCACTTCCAAAGGTTGAAACTTTTGCTTCTGTAACTTGACATCAAACCTCTGCTCAACATCACCAAAACAGGTAGTGCGGGCCCTAGAAGGAGATGTATCGCTAGCAGACCTCAACGAAGGGATCAAACCAGGGCACAGCCTAATGTACTCGTACGAAAGCTCGGATTATGACACGAGCCAGTACAACGAGGACATGAAGAAGTTCAGGAAGATGGCACTCGGCAGCAAAGAGTATGGAGCGAGCGACGAGTACAGCGGCCCTCCCACGAGCGATTACGGGCTGTACCCTTCTGGATCGAGCAGCGAAGGGCAGACGACGAGGGAAATGGAGATGGGGAAGGTGAAGAGAAACAGCCAAGGTTTCAGTGGAAGCTCTTGAGTTGAGCCTTCTCACCATCTCTCTCTGTAAAGCCAATCCCTTCTTTCCCCTCCACTACTCTATTTTCTCGAATGGAATTTTTAATTTCGGTTTTGAATTGGATCATTGGATGTCACATTGATTTCCCAGAACGGTATGTGTGTTCTTGGTGTGATCAACCAACACATGAGCAAAAAGTTTTTTTTTCTTCTACTTCTTCCCTTCCTGATCAGGTTTTTTTCCCCTTTCTCTTTGATTTTCTACCAATGTATTTATTAGTAGCGAGTAAATACTGGAAAGACAGGCTAAATTGACAGTATAGTAGAAGCTTTATTTTGATTCTTTGATTCATTTGCTGCTTATTTGAATGGAATGTGAATACATGCTGCAATGTGTATTCGTTTTGTGTCCTTGAAGATGCTTCTGTAGTTTCAATTCAGCGACTAAGCCGGTAATGACTCGTGCACAGTTCGACGATAACAAGTTTATCACTGTAATTTGAACCGTTAGTCTTACCGAGTAGATCTGTTGTAAGTTTTCGTACTATACCCCGTTTTTGGTGTAAGGAGCACATTCTATTGATGTGTGTGAGCAGGACATGGCAACCATTGAGAATGAATGCAGTGCAAGGGATGAAACAAAAAGCTAAATTTGTTTGTTGAGATTTGGGGTTATGATGAAGGTTTTAGACCAAAGTTTGTTGGTTAGTCTTGAAAAGGCTTCAAAGTCAGAGAGGAAGGTGGTGTGGAGTTGGTTTGAAGCTTTGGGAGAGGAAGGAAGATAAGTAATGGACAGCTCATCTTTTTTGTTGGGCCTAACTTTGTCATTCCAAATGTTGGATGACAGCTAGTGGGCTCAAAAATAATATCAAAATTTCATAATAACGTAAAATTTTGGCTCAATGTTTGTAGTCAATTTCCATGGGTGAAGAACATTTCTCATTTACTCTCCAGAAAGCTCAAGTCTTACACAGAGCATTGTAATGTAGTCAAGCCAAAGAGAAATGTACAGTGAAGTCTATATAGAATGATGATAGAAGCCTACCTTCCTTTCCTCTCTTCTACAACACCAAAAATGCTCCATCATTCATTTTCCTGTGTTACACAATCAGTAGTAATGGAGAAACAGGTAGACCGAACCCGAGAACGAAAAAGAAGAAAGAAAATGGTTGTGTGCTCTACAGATTTCCTAAACGACCAGACCCAGATCCTCTCTTCCTCCTCCTCCGCCTCTGCCGAATCCTCCATATGCTCAAAAACAACAACACACCTGCCACACCGGCACAAACAAGAAGGTTTGAGTAAACCAATGCTCAGTCAACTAATGACTATCCCAAGTATGAGAAAGATTCTACTGAATACTTCACAAACCTGTAATGGCTATTGCTGCAGGGACAAGCCAATGGCTCCCTACCAGAACGGGCATATCAAGCTGCGTATGGAACCAATCAACAGATTATTAAGTCGCCATGATTTCAGGACAACAATGATGAAAAGGGCAACCAGATAACACGTTCTTACCTCATCGCCATTGAGAATGCCTAGGAGATGATTCCCTTGTGTATCTCCCTTGTTTCTTCTTTCTGTAACTTTTGAATGCTTGACCTTGAAAGGGTTGGGCGTAGTAGAATTCAGACCTCTCCCCAGATCTATGATAGGGTAGCCTGGAAGTCTCCGGTTTCTTCCTCTGACGTGCAGGTTGTAACCTTTGGTACCCCACACTTCGAATCTGGAGTCCCTCCTGCATATCAGATCCTGGCCCAGCACTGCAGAATAGGAAGAGAAGTTTACATCTGTTCTACGCGAAGGTAGCTGGTTGTCATCCACGTAGATGGCCATGTCTTGCTTTGCAGATTGAGAGAAGAGCAACGGATCTCGAGCACTAGAGCTGGTGAAATCTAGTAGTTTTTTGAGAAGCCAGTAACAGTTGGTGACCATGTGGCTACTGTCCAAACAGTTGGAGTCTCCGTAGACTGCAATTCGCCCTTCGCCTGCCTCCACAAGGCCTAGAATTGGAGAATCCGCCTGCACAATATATTACAGCATAATAAACCCATCAAAATTCCAAACACAATTCCATATTGCAAAGATCCTTTCTTTTCCTGTAGAATTGTGGACTATTTCATTAAAAATTATTTGCTGATTGCGACAAATATGTATGCAAATTGCTCCAATCGAGGCAGCAGATTAAATTGAGACATAGGCTGTCTGTTTCAGCTTAAAGGTATACACCCTTTAATTTCAGCAAATACCGAAGTGGTAAGAAGACAACGTTTATGGAATTCAGATTCTTTTTACCTTCCCTGATCCTGAATTCGACAGCACATTCTGAGTTGCACCACTCTCTGAGCTATCCAGTAAAGGGAAACCATGCATGTAACCACCTGATGGAAACCTCACAATATCAGTTCCTGATGCATACCGACTTTGCTCTCCATCAATGGAGAAATCTCCGTTCAAAATCTTATCCCCAAAAGCAATCCCAAACGGAGCCAAGAGATCATTCAATCCAGGAACATTCGCTCCTCCCGTAACAGGTGTCCACCAGCTTCGTGTGTTATCGTCAAAGAATCTCATCTTCACCATTGTATCCACATTATACCATTCAGCAAACACAGCTAATCCTAAACCACTGTTAATAACATCGTCCCTCAACTTCTCAATCTCCTCTACAAAGTACTCGTCTTCGAGATCCACAAGTAGAAGTGTTCCATAATGGCGAGCATCAAAGCATGTGAAAGGAGAACCAAGCGTCTCAACATAGTATCCAGCATCTCTTAACATGTTAAACATGATGTGAAAATTCGTGTGTAGATGATCTCCATGCCAATCAAGAATATCATTCCGAACATCTAAAGAGTCTCTTGGAATATATCCTGGAGGGTATTTGATGTTGTGAAATTGGTCCCACAAAATCCGCTTCGACCTAGGTGGAGTGGGGACCACCTGCAGTTTCAGGTGAAGCACACACGTGCTTCTTCTTTTCGTCTTCTCACCAGGAGATGGAGGACTGTAGATCGTGAGAGTTACATTACCCTCGATTTCTCCAGAAAATTGGGCACCTTCTTCTTTGATTTGCATGTGAAGTGCTATGTAGCCTGTCCATGGCCAGATGATTTCTGAATAGGTGAAGTGAATGCTTAACAGATTTCCATTTTCATCTGAGGGATTCCATATGGGGGGACTCTCAACATAACCAATAACGCCCATGCCATTTAGAATCGTGGCATTGAACATAATTGGCATTGCCCCGGCGTATAAGGGTTGGCGGCAGAATGGCCAAGAGTAAGGGCAATCTGAAAAATCAAGAATACCAGGGAAGATGGTCGCCCGAGGTTGATAAATCTTCAAGATTTCATAGGACTCCAACCTGAGAAAGAAGGCAAAGTTAAGACAATATAGTTGCTCGTGTAGTAAAGCAGGAAAGTGAAATACCATGAAAAAGAGAACCTACAGATTTACTCTTCCTGCACCCTGCTCATACAGATTGGGACCAGAAAGCTTGGCAGCTCCTTCAACCAGTGCTTGTTTCATGCTTGCAGGATTTAGAATGGCCTTACGGTCACTCTCAGGAATCACACTAACAAGTAGGCAGACTACACCAGCAACCACAGGGCTTGCCACACTAGTCCCTGATAAGCTTTTACACCCTGAACTTATCTTTGATCCCATGATATCTTTCCCATATGCAACGACATCTGGCTTCACACGGCCATATCTATCAACCAAAATTAGAAAAAGGTCAAGGTCTACTGCAAACAAATAAAAAGAACAACGGGCTACATACTAATAAACAGATCTCCACACGATCGCAACTGCTGCTCATACTTGGCAAGAAGAAATGAACATGTAAATAGGTCAGGACTCCTGCTACCTTTCACGTCCTAATTGATAAAGTTTCAAGGCAGTGCAGAAAAGTATATTAAACAGAAAGCGATCAAGGTCAAAAGATATCTTCCCTCTACTCTATTTGCATCAAAATACCATATCAGAAAAAGGTCCGATCTTGCAGTGCATCTATGGGCAAACTCATGAATATTTGGAAAATATGGTGAGTCTACAAATGAATTCAGAACACAAATACTTGAATAATCTGAAACATGAAGCAGTCAAATGAAAAGCGTAGCATTCAAGTCTTCTCCCAACAAGAAATTTGGTCAACCATAAGCTATAACACAAAGCCGTTTAGAAGAGTAAATAGATTACCCATGAGGAATCTCCCAAGTGCTCATGCCACGTGATGAAAATGGGGCAATATGATCATTGTAATCTATTCCACCAACGCCAATTACATCACTTTGGTCTGCTGGATTGTTTAAAGTGCCATAAAGAGGCCCATCATTTCCAATAGCGGAGACCATAATTATGTTATTGGCTGTTATCTCCCATATCTGATGGTCAAGAGACAAAGGAACACTGGGATCAAGAAAAATAGCCAATAAAACTAATGCTAAAGACTTTCGTAGGAAAATAAAAAGAGTAAAACACCAATGCTAGCCATACTAGAATGAATAATTGCAAATAGAATTGCAAGACACTACACAAAATGATACCCTAAACCAATGTCCAATTGACCCACACATATACTTGAGATACCACGTCTGAATATCAAATGATAAAAACACGATGATTGATAGGGAGTTTGTTGTCCAATAAAATTTAGAGTGTGTGCACGGCAGTTGCTCTCTCCTGCCTATGCCTATACAAGAGTTAACAAACTCCCAAAACAACTCTTACCTTTTCAACGAATGGGAGGTCCAGGAAATCAGGGCCACCGATACTCAAGTTCAGTACATCCATTTTTGTTGCAATAGCATAGTTAAATGCGTCAAGGAACCATGACGTGTAAGATACCTGCAATAGGCTGAATACGAAATTCTCATAATCTTGGTAAGTCTAACGACTTAATCAAATTGCAAAAAGGAAAACGGTAAAAACAATTTGAATATTCACTAAAACATATACAACAGTCTACCAGATACTTCTCGCACCATACTATCATCAATCTAACCCGTAGAAAATGATTCTACTGTCCAATGAAAATATGGGAGCCACTTTTGGACCCTAAAATGCAGTTGGCTTTTGTCTCCATGCACTCAGCTTGATAAATATTTCATACTCTTAAGGAAAAGAAAAGGATAGGCTGCTATAATCTTCACCAAACCGGTAAATTTGAAAACAAAAAAGTACTTCTAGCTAATAATTACCTGAGCATCTGTGAATACCCGGAATGCATAAATCTCAGCATCAGGGGCAAAACCAAGACATTCTTCATCTTGGCCAGCGATAACACCCGCAACAAATGTCCCGTGTCCCAGGTTGTCATTTAAAGTATCCTCACTTGTCCAGTTAGTACGTTCCTGAGACAGTATACAAAAAATGCACATCACGGTTTCACCTTCTCCCCAAAACCAAATACTGAAGAATGTAACCTTTGCACTGGAGTAGAAGAGAAACATAAAATGAAAAAAATATAGTTCCTCGCGATTCCATACCTTGATGTTACGGAAATGTGGGTGATCAAATCGAATTCCAGTGTCAAAAATAGCCATCTTCACCTTAGCACCGGTGTACCCTTTAGACCAAAGAACGTCAGCTCCAAATAAAGAAGTCACCTGTGACTTCTGCTGCAGAAACAGAAACTCACAATAAGAAGATTTGGAGAAGAAGGGAAGTTTCCTGCTCCTAGCAAGGGAAACCACTCATTTTGGACAGTTTGTAAAATGAACCAGCAAGCAAAGTTAAAGCAAGAAAATCACTCCGTAGCTAACAAGTGTACCATCAGATAACTACTGGCCCGGAGAATTCTACCAGCCACCAGGTATCTTATGAAATCAAGTTTGACTTTGAAATTTCAGAGTGCAGTTTGGAAATGACGGGCTGCTGGCATCGAATCGATATATTCACATCAAACTGCATCTAATCTCCATTCAATTGCAAGCAATACGACAAAGGGAATTACGAATTCCGGAAGTTCAATCGAATCAGAATGCACCAAGAACAGCATTCATTGATTGATTCATTCAGGAATCTACGTTTATCAATTTGCCTATCCTATGACAAGAACTCACCTGTGCTAGCAGCTCCCTTCCCCAATGAATAGAAGAATTACTGGTTTCGGCCACCGCATGATGCCGCTCCTCGTCTTCACTGAAAGACATAGAAGTGAATATCTTCCCAGGCCGTTTCTTCCCATCGGAAAACGAACCACCGCCACCTCCACCGCCGCTGCCGGAAACGCCAAGCAATTCCCTCTTATAGCTGACATCCACATTCACATCCTTGACCATTTCCAACTTCCCAATCTCCCCCACCATTCTCTCCGCCACACTTCCCTCCACAGCCACCAGCCCAAAGTCCGTCGCGAACTTCATCGCCGGATTCCTCCTCTCTATCCATTCCCACCCTCCCCCCAATCCAAGCTCCGATTCCAAGTACCGCCGGTGGTCCTCCGCCTTCTTGTACTCCCTGAATCGCACTATGTAGTTGTTGTTGTTCCGCCCGGTCTCGTTCTTCCCGCCCTCGGAAACTAGGGTTAGGGTTTCCTTCCGGGGAAATGGAGCGAAATACCGGAAGAGGAAGATTGAAATGACGGCCGCGAAGACAGCGGATTTGAACGGAAACCTCGAGGAAGTTCTCCGACGAGCGGCCATAGCTACGGAGCCCGGTTCTTCGTTGCTGCTGCAGCTGTCGGAGCTCGTTTGGTTTGGCGGGAAACCCCACACATAGAGAAATGGAAATCGGGAAAGTATCTCTCTTTCTTTCTCGTTATGATGAGAGTTGATCTGTTTCCTTCTTCTTCTCCTCCTCCAGTCTGAAAGCTTTTCTCTTTTCTTTCTCTGGGTGGAAAAAAATTCGATCTTTTCCACGTTCCGGTGTTGAGACTTGAGAGGTACCTCCCCTAAATAATTTTAAATTCTCCATAGGTCCCACTTCTTTTGAAAATTACACTTCTTACCCGATAAAAGATTGAGATAGTCAAACACATCCTCTTCCTCGTTCTTGTGAAACGTTGTCGTTTCCGCCCTCGTCGCCGGTACAAAGGCCGCAGCCATAGGAAGGGGAGGAAGTGGATGATTGATGGCGGGAGCAGGATTGGGTTTCAGTTCGTCTTTTTCAGCTCAAGGCAGGGCGACGGCCGGATTTATGGTTAGGATTCCGGTCCCTTTACTGAAGCGATGGCAGTTAAAGTTCGCGGGATTGAATGGCATTTTCCGCATCCGAGTGGCGGGTTGCGGCGTATCTTCGACTCGATTGTATAACTGCGGGAGTTGTACGGCCGAGGAACGAGTCTCGGTGGACATGGAAAGGTACAAGGAGGCTTTTTGGAGGAGAATGGCCATGGCTGGACTCAAACCTCACCATTCTATTGGTCAGTCTTCTGTTAGACTGTTACCTATTATGCGAGCATAAGACCATGGTAGTTCTGTAGGTGAATTTGGTTAATTGTGGAATTTTGTGGGAAGGGAAGGGGGGAAAGCAATTATCATTTTGGTTGTGGAGGTGGGTTTCTCAGAATCATGTGGTTTTGTTGATTGAAGCTTTCATCTTTTCTTCTTGGAACTTGTAGTTAGTAGTGGTGAAGTTGGCTGAGAGAGTTGTGTTATTTTCCCGCAGCTGTAGGAGTCTCAGGCGGCCCTGACAGTATGGCGTTGTGTTTACTAACGGCTGCTTGGAAAACTGATGGTCCTTATGCTGCTAGCCAGAGTGATGGTTATGTTGATGGACTTTTGGCCATTATCGTTGATCATAGGCTACGCGCAGAGAGCAAAGAAGAGGCACACATTGTTTCTCGCCGTGTTTCTAAAATGGGTGCATTTCGGTTTCTTTTGCGCTTTGTTAGCATGTTTCAGCTTTTTTCTTCTACTATGGCTTAACTTGAACATTTTTGTAGGGATCAGATGTGAGATTGCAGAGTGTAATTGGTCGGATGGAAGGCCGAAACAGGGTCATTTGCAAGAAGCAGCACGAGATATGAGGTTCTGTTCTATATGTCTTTAACAGTCAAGCTGTGAATACTGAATACCACTTGTTTAGCTGGCCTAGGATTTGATCACATTGATTTGCTTGGTTTCCTATCCTAATCTGCATTCCAGGTATCAAATTTTTCAGAAAGTTTGCATTCAGCATCAAATTGATGTGCTACTTATTGCTCATCATGCAGACGACCAGGTTTGAATGATGATGATGTTCTTCATGTGGATCCCAGGTTTTTACCTTTTGCTGATTAGCATGTTGAAAATGAAGGTTTGCTTGGAAAATAAATTTGCAGGCTGAGCTACTGATTCTTCGACTTTCCCGCGGTAGTGGTGTGCTTGGACTTGCGGGCATGGCATTTGCTTCTCAGTTTTTCTCTACAAGCACGGTTTTGCATAATGAAGGTTCGAACAATAAAGGCCTACTTCTAGTGCGTCCACTGTTGCACTTTTCTAAAGAAGATATGTACAAGGTTAGTGCATATCGAGATGCACTTTTACAGAAAGAGAGAGTTTCATTTCTTGAAGACAATGATTTTTGCATATCAAAGCAATCAATTGATATTACATGTGGAAATGCCCTGTATCTGAAGTACATTCCTTTCTTCTCCAGATATGCCAAGCAAGTAATCAAGACTGGGTGGAGGACCCAACAAATCGAAGTCCAGCTTATGCTCGGAACAGGATCAGAATGTCACTGGGAAATTTGTCATCATGTGAGCACTGTGGCGATTAATTTTATTGCACATAAGATATTTTTTAACTTAAAAAGAATTTAATCTTTACGATTTAAATGCTATTGGTTGGAATTGTGATTTGTGTCGTCTAATGTTCCAGATACTTTCCAGTCTGAAATACAAGAGCTAATATCTTCATGTCGAAAAACACGTGCATATGTTGAACACATTTCAAATGAATTGATTGATCAGGCTGTGACCATTATGGATGTAAGCATAGTTTTTACTGTTGAATTATGAAAGTTTTATTTAGATACTATCCTTGTCATGTTACTGAAAGTTTACATCTTGCTGGTTATTCTTTTGAACGGCGTTGGGGTCCTCGATGTTTCCCAGCAGCAAGGTTATGCTGTTATTGATTTGATGGTTCTTAGTCCATCCAAAGTTCCAGATATGTGCCTTTCAAAGTTTATTGCGTTGGTCTTGCAGGTAATTGTCATTTATATTATCTTCTTGGATATGGTTTTACCTTTTGGTCTAAAATTGGCTAGTTATGTTCCTAACAGGCTAATAGTAATTTGTCATCTGAATGCCTCAGTTTGTCTCTCAAAAGCACAGAACTGTCAGAGGCGCCACTAGTAAACGGTTATTGGATTACGTTCGCACTTTCCCATGTAAGGCAAGTTTACTAGTCTTAAAATTTTGATGCAGTTATATTTTGGTTATTCTTGGTCAGAGTTAAGCTTTTCCTCGTCTTTCTGATGTACTTTGAGTACCTTGCAGACGTCTTTTACTGTAGCTGGATGTTATCTCTGCCCTTCTCCTGGTTCTAGGGGGACGAAACTCTTAGTTTGCTGCTCTGTCAATTGCCCTCTGCCTTCAACAATTGAAGTGAATAACTCAGACTTTGATAGAGAACCGAAGCAGTATCCTAGCATGTTGGATGAAATCATAGCCGAAGGGAAGTCTTATGTGGATCAGTTTGTACCAGATGTAGTAGATGTGAAGTTCTTGGACATGACATGCCAATCAGTGTTAGCAGAAGCGAAAAGAATCGGTATCATCAGCGAGTCAACTCATAACAACATAACCTTACTGGAGAGGAATGAAACAAAGTATTTCAAGCCTGAGAATAAGGTACACTTGGAGCAAGAGATCATAGAAAATCCCAGCACCTCAGCATCTGAAAGTGAGCTACTCCACCCAGGCAAAGCATGTTACTTCATGGACAGATTCATGGTTACTTGGAATGAAAGACCGCTCAGTTACTGCTCATATTTGGTAATTGATCATCGAACAGCTGCTGAAGTACGCTATATGGCCGAGTCTGATTGGCTCTATCTGGCCAAATTGGCCAGGTGTAAAAATTTGCATGATTTGGTGCCACAAAGAACTGATGCAGACAGTGAAGTAGAGCAGATAGCAGGAAAGAGAAAACAGAGTTTAGAATACATGCAGTTATCGGCAATAAAATCTCTTCAATCTTTGAAGTCCATCCCAGTTGCTGCCAGAAGAAGCCTGCCTGTATTAGTAAATCATGAAGGAATCCTACTGACTATACCTGTATGTTTTCATCTCTGAAATTTATGATACTCCATTCATAAGTTTTGCTGTCAAATTGTTCACGGTTATATAAATCATTAAACCTTGTAATCCTTACCTCATTCGTTATCTTTTCCCCCTCTCTTTTTGCAGAGCATTGGATTCCAGTGCTGCCCTTGTTTGATTGTGTCCTGCGCATTCAGGCCAAGATTTCCACTAGGGGGAGGTCACTCTTCGTTTCTGTAGTTTATGTGCCTTAGCTAAGAGCTTATGTATAATAGAGGCCTTCAATTTTGGTGTTTGTTGTTACTCATTTGTACATCTTTAGACTAGAAAGAATAAATAGAAAGGTGGAAGCACAAATCCAACCATGAACAAACTGTATTCCACATTATGCAGTAAGAAACATCAATAGTTTAATCTGTCAACTCACAGGATTCATTCAGATTCTTGCATTAAAGCTCGGGAATGAATTATTACGGTTGATACAAAATTCATACAGCAGCAGCAGCTAATTCAATTCCCAAATCCAATCTTAAAAAAAAAAACCTATCCTGCTAACTCTTCTCATGTTACAGCGAAGAGAGAGATTCAAAGAGGAACATAGTAAAAAATGATAATAAGGGAGGAGAACATAGTCATCATTATCATAATCCACCTTGCCCTCCTCTCTCTTTCAAAATCTGGAACGATTTGAACCACTGTTTCCATGGAGCATCTTTTTGTTGGTCGACCCATGACAAGAAAGCACTGTCTATCAAGCAAAAGAAATTGACATAGAGAAGTTGGTACTGTACTGGTACATATCTGAAGTTAGCCACTTGAACCAGTGGCCAAATACCGCCTTCCAAGACTAACGACGGAAGGAAGTCCCTCTTCACGTCTTCTTTCACTTGAGCAGCACTCTTTCCTGTAGAAAATCCAATGTAGGTGAAGAACACTAGCAGATCCAAGGGCCCAAAGATTATGCCGTCAGCTGCCACTTTAGCCGCCACAAACCGAGCTGATTTTGGTGCTAGTTTAAGTCTCAACCTGATAAACTTGTCCAAGTACTCGTACCTAAATAAGAAGTAGGACTCGAGTTAAGTTAAGAACTGATTGAAGAACATGACTTGCTAAAGCTAAATGATTGGCAAAAATACGAAGAGGCAAACCAGAAGTGGCCAACTGGACCAACAAATCCGAGGCCAAATGCACTGGTAGTAGCTACACGCTTCCAATTTATTCTGAATTCAGCCTCTTTATCCTGCCACATGAAATACAGTTACTCATCTTCCTGGAGTTTAAAAACTACCTTCAGTAATCATTGCAGATAACAGCTTCAGCTTAACAAAATGGCTACTGAATTCCCAGAGGACCACATGGTATTTAATGATCTCAGCCACAACATGAAGATGCTATAACAGTAACACAGAGTACGCAAAAATGTTGGTGATTCAAGTTCTTAAGGTGATGAAACTCTGGCAGCAATATGCAGTCTCGTGATTAGATTAAACTACGTACAAAAAGCTCCTCATGGTGTCAATGGAGCAGACACAACTAAGTTAGGTCAAAAGAAGGTACACATACAAATTGATTTTGTTCCTTTTTCCCACCTAAATAATGTCTCCAAGTCACGTTTCGTCTCAGAACCAAAGCTGAAACTCTAAATTATTTACACATCATGATTTCTGATTGTTGACCAAACAGCTAACTAGCGCGAAATAATATAACCATTGGCATAATGTTCAGGTGCAATATGCAGCTACCAGACCATGAACTTGCTGCAATCATGCCAAGGGCATTGCAGAAACTACAACAAGTAAGCCATGTTAGAAACAAGCCTGTGTTCTGATAAGCTTCAGAACTGTACTCACACTGGAGTTCAACTACCCAGAAAAAGATTTTCATCTAGGAAAAAGGAACACAGTAAAAGATTCAAAGTAGACCTTTCCAGCTTTCCAATAGTAAAGGCTACCAAAAACTTCAACGCCGAGAACAGTGAGACACGTCCATTCAACAGAACCAAAAGCATTCAAACACATTAAAGTCGAGTTGGTCAAAAACCCCAACCAGCGCGGCGGCGGCGGCGGCACCAGGATTGTCCCCGGCAACCACAACAAAGAACCATACGGAAAGGACGAAACTTGTCGAAACCCAGTTCAAAGAACAAGCAATTGAATCGAAATCCGAAACAATCAATGATCCCCAACGAAGCTAATGATGAAATGCGAACAAGAAGAAGAGGAAGAAGAAAAGAGGGTTTACTTACGGTACACTGAAGACGTTTAATAGCAGTGGAGTGAGTGACGTATTGAGCACCGATATCGCCGGCGCCCCAAAGGAAACCGGAGCTGATGACCTGGGTCTTCAACGGATGAGAGGTTAGGCAGTTGCGATACCAGCCCCATAGCTTCAACAACATTTCTTTCGTATAGGTGAAGAAAGGGAACGGAGACGGAGAAGGAGAAGGAGAAGGAGAAGGAGAAAACTGTATACGAGGAAACAGTTCCTATTTATACTGGGAGGAAAATTGTAAATAGTCATCGAACTTTGGTGTTTCTATCAAAACAGTCATTAAACTATTAAAATGTAACAGATGAGTCACCAACTTCTTCATTTTGTAAAAACATGCCTTCATTTGGTACCCAAATTGCGTAATTTATAACTAACTCAAATTCGTTGTAGTTGGTTTAATCCAAAATTTCTAACTTCAAAAGTCGGGACAAACCACAAAAGCAAAACTCAATGCATATCATCCTCTTTTACTTTCAATAAGGCGAGCTCTTGTTGAACTAAAGAATCCAAGAATTCTAATCTGACTAGTCCAACGAGAAAGCTAGTTATATACTTGTATGCCTTGATCTTAGCTCATGAAAAGATTGTATGAGTCCTTAAATCCTCATCAATCGATCATCTTGTTTCGGTCCAAGAGAATTGATCGAGTTTTATAAAGCGATCTAATAAGAAATTCTAGCAATGGAAACTCCTCACCCATAAAAGTGTTTCAGTGGCTCGAACTGGAGTTGGAAAATGAGTATTTGAAAACCTTGATCACCTAGGATCTCCACATTTGCTTATCTCACTCAGAAAGATCTAGGATATTACTATTATCTCTTAAATTAACCACAGTGATAATTGGCTCAATCCATTGAAAATGGCTACCGTGGCACTCTCTGGTCCTCCAAAATCCAAATATTAGTTAGTATTTTATAGGTGGTAGCAGGCCAGGCATAACCCTTGTTTGCATGGCCTCACAAAAAAATGGGCAAAAAATACTATCCACAATCTATTTCTGATAAAATTAGTGGATAAGAATCCTCTACGCTCGCTTCTTTCACTACAGAACAAATCCCTTCTTATTTTTCTCCCCAATCAATTGTGTATTTCTCCAGTTGTGCTGCTCCTACTTGTACAGGTCGTCTCATATCAGCCATGCAACTCCACCCCATTCTTCATTCTCCCACCTCCTAGCTTCTGCCCAATCCAACAGGTAACTGCCCATTTGAGCAAGTTTCTTGATTTCCTGTGTAGCAGTCTAAAGTAATGAACTTTGATATGCATCTTTGCGATCTGGCTTCGAAATCGGTTCCTTTTGGTAATTTTGCGTTTTGGGTTCTTGCCTGTTTCATGTTCTGCTATGAATCGTTGAGAAAGGGTCAGTTGCCAGTTGGGTTCACTTGTTGAGGTTTCTTGTAACTGAGTAGCAATTGCTTATTTATCTTTTGAACCAGTTCTGCTTTGATTGGGACTAAGTTGTGCATAAGAGGTCTTTATCCTTCCTACTTTGCTATATTAAGTGGCTTCTTGAGGTGTGTATAGCTTGAACATGATATAGAAGTTCTCCGTCTTTGGAATCACATTTGAAAGGTTGTTTATTGATTTTGTAATGACTGTCTGGTGTGTTTCAGGAAGGAAGATGGCTAGATGCCAAGATGGAACAATCACAAGCAGCAAACTGGTTGAAGTTTCTCCCATTGTGGTAATACATACATTCTTGTTAATTTTCCTTAAGTTAAAACCATTCATGATTTGGATCTGTTGGTTGTTAAATTCTTCTGGAGCATAAGCAGTTGAATTCATTTCTGTGGCGACCAATCTAGAGTGGTTCTGCTTTAAGTTCTGGTGCATTGTTACTTTACTGTGAGCAACAAGAAGAAAGGCCTTGACCTTGCTTATTGATGTCTTGTTTATCTTAGACATGAGATAGTGCCCTTTTCTTTCTCTTTTCAGTTGGGGTGACAGTCTGATGAAAAAGCTTGTGACTCATTATGAACTCACAGGACCGATTTCGCCCAATCTCTTCGAATTCACGAGTTCAATCATCCTGCCCATTCTGTACAGGCAAGAATGATAGTTGCCAGATAGTCCGGTCAAGAACAAAGCTAATGAATATTATGATCAAAAGAAGGAAGCCCAAAGAAGCGGAATCTATATTCGATGGTCTAATGGAAGATGGCCACAAGCCAACCCTTCTAACCTACACCACTCTAGTTGCTGCATTGACTCGTCAAAGGCGTTTCAAGTCCATCCTGTCTTTGATATCCAAAGTTGAAGAAAATGGGATGAAACCTGATTCCATACTCTTCAATTCGATCATCAATGCATTTTCTGAATCTGGAAATGTAAAGGATGCAATGGGAATTTTCCAGAAGATGAAGAGCAGTGGATGTAAGCCTACCACCAGCACTGTCAATACTCTCATCAAAGCATATGGGAATGCTGGTCAACCCGAACAAGCTTCAGAATTGTTGGAGTCATTGTTGAAGGAAGAAGACGTGAAGCCAAATGAGAGGACATACAATATCCTAGTAAGAGCTTGGTGTAACAAGAGAAACATTGATGAAGCTTGGAACGTGGTAGACAAGATGGTGGCATTTGGATTGAAGCCAGACGCTGTCACATTTAACATACTAGCTAGGGCTTATGCTGAGATAAGCATGACGAGCAGAGCGGAAGACTTATTGTCCGAGATGCAGAGAAATGGATTGGCGCCAAATGAGCGAACTTGTGGCATCATTGTGAATGGATACTGCAACGAAGGAAATATGGTGGAAGCCTCAAGGTTTGTGTACAGAATGGAGAAGCTTGGAGTGCATCCCAATCTCATCGTTTTCAATTGTCTCATTAAAGGCTTTGTAGATAACCTGGACAAGGATGGAGTTGAGGAGGTCAGTTTCTATACCGAGAAATGTTATAATTGCTATAGCGTTGTGTATAAGAGCTTCAACCAGCTTCATTTCTTTGTCGGGTTAATCGTCACTGAACTTTAGGGTCACTGATATATCACTCTGACATTTTGTTAGTATTGAACTTGTCATTTGAAGTAAGTGTGAATTCGTGAATAACTGGAAAAACACAACATAGGGGTAAGGAAAGAAAGTGATTAAGTTGGTTTGAGGTAATCGGTTTTGGAACTGGATTGAATATGAATTGAAATGGATTATCATGTTAGCTATTGAAATGGATTATCATGTTAGCTAATGAGAGTTTCTGTAGACATTTTTTTGTAATTACTTATATGATTTGGCTTGCTTATCCGGAATTTTTGTTAAAAACTTTTCATGGAAATGGATGAAGTGAATATTATAGTTATTTTAATTTTCAACGACAAAAATTACTATGTTACAGGCACTTGATGCTATGGAGGACTACGGAATCAAGCCTGACGTGGTGACATTTAGCACGATAATGGATGCATGGGGATCTGCAGGTATCATGGACCAGTGCCTAGAGATCTTCAATGATATGTTGAAAGCTGGTATAGAACCAGACATCCATGCATTCAGCATCCTCGCGAAAGGTTACGTGCGAGCTGGGGAACCAGAGAAGGCTCAGTCGGTTCTGGCATCCATGGGACACTACAGCGTGCGCCCGAACGTAGTAATATGCACAACCATCATTAGCGGCTGGTGCAGTGCTGGAGAAATGGACACTGCAATGGAAGTCTACAAGAGGATGTGCGAGATAGGGATTTCGCCGAATTTGAAAACGTTCGAGACTCTGATATGGGGATATGGAGAAGCCAGACAGCCGTGGAAAGCACAGGAGTTGCTGCAAGTCATGGAGGAGAAAGGCGTATCTCCGGGGAAGAGCACTATGCAACTCATTTCAGATGCCTGGCTAGCCGTTGGTTTAACAAGTGAAGGCAAGAGAATAGTGGCTGAAGGAGAAGGAGATGAAGCTGCAAATTCTAAGGTTGCTGTAGATACAAGAGATGATGAGATGCCGAAAGACCCAGATCTCTCGGCCTCTTATTCCAAGGTGTTGGAGGTGCCTGGAGATATTCTGAAAGGTCCGAATGGATCATCATCTCCTGTTGTCAAGATGAGAAGCCAGATGATTCTCAAGGACCCCAGGACTTCATCAGAGGCCTTATCGCGTAGTTTGAAATCGATGTTCTTTTTTCGCGCATCAGGTTTTGGAAAGCAGCCGCGAGTTATTTGTAGAAGGCAGGAGCAAAGCCTTTCTTGCATTCGTGGGAGGTTCACGAGATCGTGTGGCATCTTGTCCATTGCATGAAGGCTGAACTCATGTTAGCTGCTTGTGCTGGCAAGGTGTCGAAGAACAGTGCCGGTTGAAACGAACTTTCAGAAGTGCTTCCTGAAGTTGTAGATATACATTTGTTCTTGTACTGAACCACAGTGCTTAGCTTCCTATGCCATTGACTACAAAATGTAGTGTTTTTTATAGGTAACAATACATTGTTTATGTTCCAATATATTCACTTTGGTATGATTATTAGAGATATGCTAGGCGGTACTCACCATTAGACCAATTTAGCTTAATGGTTGAATCTACGGGTTATCCCAATAATTCAATATTCGGCTCAGCTCCTCCGACCAACGGGTCGGGTTACAAGCTAGTACATTCGAATATTTCCTCGAATGGCCTTGAGGCTATATCTGGATGGGTAGACATGTTCATAAAAACTATAATGTACTTTTCATTAAAATATACCTTGTATATTTATTAGATGCTGTCCAACAACTAGGATCCTTTAAAATTCTCCTTTTACTAACTTCAATGTCGTTTTTCCGCCTTTTAAATCTTAACACTAATGAACCGAATAGCTTTTAATCGAATGAAAATAAACCACGTCGATTTGAAACCAAATCTCTAAAAAAACACCTGAAAGCAGAGGCATAGTCAGAAAATTAGTTAAGGTGGATCTCAACTATAAATCATATAAACTCAACTGGTCCACACAAGATGGACCGCAAACCGTGTATATGGTCTAATCTTGACCACACAGCACCGTTTCCTCTATAATATTCATTGTCAACCAATTGGGCCTTTATAAGCTATGAATGGGCCAACGAGGAAATATTGGGCCCATTGGAAAAGCCCAAAGAAACAAACTAGGAGTATGACTCCAGGCAATTCGAGACCGGGAATCGCCACCGTCTCCTCCATCTCCCCGGACTCTGGCGCTCCGAACCTAATCCAGATTTCCAGCTCCACTGAGAGCTCCTTAAATCCTTCTGCATTTTCAATCATGATATCTCCCCAAATCGTCAATTTCCAGTCCATTCAAAACCCCAGTCTCCCTTCACTTCCGTTGTTCACAGCTGGCCACCGCCGTCTCTCTGTCCCGAATTTCACGCCGACCCACATCAAATTTCCCGTTGAAGATCGTGACTTTCGCTGGAGGTTAGTAGCTTCGGCTCGGTTGCGGAGGTCTACGACCTGTTATGGGGTGAAGGGTTCCGGGGAGGAGACGAAAAATGCTTCGGTGGTGAGCTCTAGTAGCGGCGGAGGAGGAGGAGACAGCGGTAGCGGTGACGGAGGTGGGGGGGACGACGGGGGTGAGGGGAAAAGCAGTGGGCTTTTGCCGGAGTGGTTGAATTTCTCTCTGGATGATGTCAAGACGGTGGCCGCGGCGGTGGCGATCTCGCTTGCGTTTCGGACTTTCGTGGCCGAGCCCAGGTTCATTCCTTCGCTGTCGATGTATCCAACTTTCGATGTCGGCGACAGAATTGTTGCAGAGAAGGTAAAAGAAAGATGCTTCCCTTTTGTCATTCCCATTACATTTTCAGCTGGAGTTAGTCCCATTGTTCTAGTCAAGGTTTTTCCGCTGGAGTTTGTTCCTGGATTCTAGTTTGAGATAGTTACTGGGAATTCGAATTAGAAAATTTAGGGCTTTAACTTGGATGAGCGGTCTCTCTTGCTTCAATGCACTTAGGTTAATGGAAATGTTGATCAGATTATGTCTTCTCAATCTAGGTTTCTTAATGTATGAGCTTATATTGAGGCATTGAGAATGAGAATTCAAATGGATCTTTTTCAGGTCACATACCGCTTCAGAGAACCTTGTACAAATGATATAGTTATATTCAAGGCTCCTCCAGTCCTCCAAAAAGCTGGATACACGGACGAAGATGTGTTCATCAAACGAATCATTGCCAAGGAAGGCGACATTGTCGAGGTCAGATCCCTAACCTAAACAAGGGCGAGCTTTTCTTCTTCCTCTCGATATTACTGCTGTCGTAATGACTTGGTTGATTTGCTTAATCTGTCAGGTCCGTGATGGGAAGGTTATAGTAAATGGAGTCGAGAGAGATGAGAAGTTTATCTATGAGAAGCCTTCTTATAAGATGGAACCAATTGTAAGCATATTCACTCAAGTCTCTTTGTTCTGTAGCATGATAAAACTTCCTAGGTTCTCAATCACACACACAATTCACTGTTCTTATGTGTTTATGCTTGCTGCAGAAGGTACCCGAGAATTATGTATTCGTGATGGGGGACAACCGGAATAACAGTTACGATTCACATGTCTGGTAAATGTTTCCCAACCTTGGACCTTCCCTTCGAAGATAAAGATTCCAAAAAAATTACCTATACTTGCTGGTTTTCACTTCTACTGATACATCGAAACTTATAGGGGCCCCCTTCCGGCAGAGAACATACTGGGAAGATCAGTGGTCCGGTATTGGCCTCCTTACAGGATCGGCAGTACAGCTTCTGAGACCAATTGCTCTGCTGATAAACTGGAGAGCATAAGCATTCGAGCCCCTGCAATTAAGTCCGACTGACTGGCAGGCCTGCTTCTTCACCACTTCCCCTCCTTCCCATTTTGTGTAATTTTTTGGTAGATTTGTAACCAACCCATAGATCAAACCAGCCTGGTTATAACGATTCTTAGCAACAAGTCGATGGAATTTTATAGCTTTGCAGAACATTCTGTTGTAGATCTTTTATTGCCTATGTCATCACTTGACAGCACAATTCTTTGCTCAACTACAGAAGTTGCTCGAGATCATACGAGCTTGTATGTACAAGAATGCTTCTTAAGCCGAATGGGATTGCTTGTTCGAGAATCAAACATCAGGGCACAAGAGATCCTCTGTGTGTGCCTAGACTTCACCAGCTTCCCCACAACGTAGCCTCTCGACCTCACTTCAAACACCAACCTCACCGGAACTTGCACTTCCTCCTCTGCCGATCTTGTCAGGCTCGCCCCTGCGCCGTAGAGAGGCACCCTCATCCCCTTGACATTGACTGAGACCGCCTTGTGGCTCTTCCTCGGCTGGTAATACGACCTCAGCTGCAAAACCCCACACCAAAAACCATATCACAACAGTATAATACAACATCACCTCGCCTCGTGCAACCAATCCATAGATCGATCGCCTCGTCTAGCTTACCTGGCCTGTCGCGACAACGAGCTGGGAGAACAGGATACGAACCGGGGTCGAGCTCACGCTGATTCCGAAAAACGAAGCCGGGTTATAAACCTTGATCCCCACGGAACAGTTGGTGGTGAGCATTTTCGTCGGGACCCCTGTCAAGTCCGATCCTTGCCCGAAGTAGAAATTGTGAACCGTCAAGCTCTGCCCCCAATCATCATAAATCCATAGATATCATCAATCAACTGGGGCTAATTCGCAAATCGCAAGATTGAAACTTTTTCAGGGACCCAATGTAAAATCTTCTCTTTCTCTTTACCTTGACAGTAATTTGGGGGCTGAAAGGACGGCTGGCGCCCCAGAGAAGGAAACAGAACGCCGTGAAAATCGCGGCCAAACCCATGACCGCCAGCAGGACCCGGCACCTGGCCGGGTCGCCGTAGCCATCATAATCGCCTCCTCCTTCCTCGAGGATGACGTGGAAGTTCCCGGCGGAACTGGGCCACCGTCTGATTTTCCCTGTGGGTTTCCGGGTGGCGGAGGCGGAGGAGGGGTAGGATCCGCCGGAGACGCGGCTCGATGAGGATGCGCGTGAGTGGCGGCCCGGGTGGTAGTAAGGGTGGGAAGGGGAATCGATCGGAGTGGTGTTGGGCAGCGAGGAGGAAGATGCGGTGGCGGATTTGTCGCCGTCGTCGTGTGAGTCTCTGGATGGGCTCTGGACGTAGTACACCGGCCGCTTTGGGGATCGCGGCGACGACGGCTCGAGGCTGGTGAGGTCGGAATCCGACGATTTCGCGTATTTTGCGTACATTTCTTCTGGTTTGAGTGAGGGAGTGGTGAAGAAGCTGTGAGAGACTGAGAGTGTTGAGTAATGGAGTTTCTCTCTTTTTTTTGTTTGGCAGTGAAATTGTGAAACGGAATTGGGTCGGAAAGCATGTGATGCGGAGGAGGAAGGAGAGAATGAAACGGTGATGAGACACTTGTAAAGGGGAAAGGGGATAAGCAAAAAAAAACAGAGCTTTTTTTAGGTTGAGTTGGTCAGTTCATGAACTAATTTTGTGTTCTTTCTTAACTGAGTTTTTGGAGTATTTAATGTTTTTAAGTATGTCATTAAATGTTCAATTTTTATGGTGTAACTGTATATATAATTGGAAACACTAAACTTGGGAAATTACCGGTTCGATGCGTAATAGCAAAATAGTGCCTACATGGAAAAAAGAAAAAAAAAACATGATACAACGAACAAGGGTTTTGTCAAAGCATATAACAATATGTTTAAAAATTTGGCCTCCATTATAAAACTAGATAAATTTATCATTCAAATGTGAATATAAATGAAAACTCATTAATTTATTTCGTTGAAATATGTTAATCAGACATGTTTTAGTTATCAAAACATAAACAAAAATCTTAAAAAAATAACGTCATACAAAAGAGCATGACCAATGACAACAAATTAATGACGGTGGTTAGATCCATCAAATGAGTTTCAAAAATACAAATTCCGCATCAACTATATGCCACATTCGTAACATTAGCATACCACAATAGTAAGAATTTTCATACCTTGTTACGACTATGCTAAGATCCAACCAACCTAAAACCATATTTTATGTCATAAGATCATCATATAGTGATCTTAAAATTTGTGGTAAGACATAGTTGTGTGTCATATACTTGTATCATAATCTTATCATTATAGTGAGACTCTGTTCTATGACTTATTACCATAATATCAAAGATCTTACCACTATGCTAAAACTCTCTTTAATGTCACAACAACATCATATTATGAACTTACCAATATGATAAGACCAATAATGTCATATCCTTGGATTATAACCAGCCTGTTGCGTTGAGCGTTGTTTATGACTAATTTCTTTATGAATTGAGAACATTGGAACAACTTAAGTATCTCACTGAAAACACAATTACTGCAACTTTTGCAATAGGTAGTAAGTTGTGTTATAGCAATCTCAGATATGTTTTCACAAATCATGGAAAGTTACATAACAATATATAAATTGCCAAAACACTGTACATTGTAGCGATACGAAAAAAATCATGATACAATGGTATGTGGATGAAGAACTGCTACTAGCTAATTCACGAGAAAACATATATTTTAACAGATAACCCCAACTGGATATCATAGAGCCAATAGCGACTAAATTACATGGTAAATTGATCGAACACAGTTAAAAACAGAGTACAAGCATACGAACATTAGCAATCCTCTTCCGGAAGCTAAATATGCTGCAGAACTGTCTCCTTTAGCTGACGGAATTGGACCAACCCAACAACTATCTACAACATTAGAACAAGCCAGAGCAACCAAAACTGAGATTGTTGAGTCTGTTCCCCTTCCAGAGCAGACAAACCCCACTCGAAGAACCAGTATATGCAATTAGCTTCAAAATGGTGTCCATATAAAAGTAGTGAATAAACATGCAAAACAATGGCCTCATAGGGAATCCGATTTGGGTTGTCGACATGATGTTTAGATTCAGCCATATGCTTGTCAAAAGAGAAATCATAAGCCATCCTCACACAAACAACACAACAAGATTTCTCAAAGTCATGAAAAAACATTGAGAAAGAAAACGATTTCAGGGTCATCAGATAGGAGCGAAAGACTAAAAAGGATTTATCTAATCACAGTGATTACTCAGCTGAACTATGCATTATAAATCATCACCTGACCCCATTAATCAAAATCCATGAAAAACAGTAAATCTTGTTAAAAAACAAACAGAGGAAACATGGCCTCAGAAGGAAGGCAGTAGTGGTTTGTTATGCAATCAAACTATTCGTCATACAGACACAATATCACCAGTTCTCATCACAGGCAAAAAAAAAACGAAAACATTGAAAACCCAGATGGAAAGAATAGATCTTGAAATCGAATTGCAATGGCCTCATAGAGAAGATTAGGCGTATCAACATGGATAAAATTCAGACATATGCTTGTCAATTTTCGATATTAAATCATCGGCCATACCACATCGCCAGAAAAAAGAATAAAACTTTGATCTGGGTTTTTTGAAAGAGAAGAAAGTAATTGAAGGGGACTCAGAATATGGGTGGTGATATATCAGAATGGTCGTCAAGGCCTTTTACAGCCATTACGACGAACGAGACCTTTCATGATAGTAATCGTCACCGTCCCGCTACAGTTAGAGAAACACGAAAACCGAAGGAGAAGCAGTAAAGGAAAAGGCGAAAGAATCAAAATGAAAACCCTAAACCTGGAGGTAGATCTGGAGGAGATATGAGAGGAAACGCAGGCACTGCTACTTATAAGAGAGAGAGAGATGGTGGAAAGGAAGCGGCTAGGGTTTTGATGAGATGATTGCAAGGGTTTCGGATCTGGTAGTTGTTTCTTTAGCGGGTGTAGAGAGCGCGCGTAAAGATGGCTTTTTCCAATATGGGCTTTGATGTTCGACGATGGCTGGGAAGCCCAGGCCCAATATTGAACGATTCATAAGCATAGGGCCCATTCCTGGCGGCAATTTACCAGCCGGCTGGAGTACCAAAGGGGCTAGGATCAGGTGACTAAGACGGGGCCTTAGTCACATGACTAAGTCAATCTCAGTCCTTCCACCTCATTAAAATCTAATGGTTCAGATTAATCCATTTTAATGAAGGGTAATATGGTAATTATATAATTAATTTATTTAACGATTAAAAAAATAATCCAACTCTCCCCGTCCGCATCCGCGCGCCTATTCCCTTGGCATTTTCCGGCGAAGACCGTCCGCATCCGCGCGCCCGTTTCCTGGGCATTTCCCGGCGACCTGCACCTCTGTTCCCAGGGCCATGGGATTAATTTATCCTCCCAACCCAACAGCTACGAGAGAGAGAGAGAGAGAGAGAGAGAGAGAGAGAGAGAGAGAGAGAGAGAGAGAGAGAGAGGGAGAGAGAGAGAGAGAGAGAGAGATTTTGTACTGTTAGTATGCTTTGTATTGTTTGTCGGTTTATTTTGTAATGTTTGTACGCTTTGTTATTTTGTAATGTTTGTCGGGTTTTTTTGTAATGTTTGTACGCTTTGTTATTTTGTAATGTTTGTTGGTTTTTTTTGTAATGTTTGTAAACTTTGTTATTTTTGTGTACCGTGTTTATCATTTTTGTCAACCATGTTTGTAATGTTTTTTATGTATAAAAAACACCCGGGTTGACTTTGGGAAGGAGCCCCTCTATATAGGGATGGAGCCTCCAAAGTCAACCCGGGTGTTTTTTCAGTTCGTATGGATTGTCGGTATAGTTTGTCATTTTTGTCCACCATGTTCGTACTGTTTGTATGTCTAAAAAAACACCCTGGTTGACTTTGGGAAGGAGCCCCTCTATATAGGGGGCTAAGATCTGGTGACTAGGGGGTCCCCTTAGTCACATGGCTAAGTTAATCTACACCCTCGCATCTCATTAAAATCCAAGGGCTCGTATTAATTCAATTTAGTGAAGGGCAATGTAGTAATTGCATGTTTATTTTTAACTTTTAATTATAAAAGAAATAAAAAAAACATAACCCAGCGCCGTCCGTCCCCCGTCGCGTCGCCTCCCATCTTCGTTCCGATAATTGCGCCGCCAGGGGAATTCCTGGGCAACTGGGCACCATTATTTCCATGGGGAATTTCCTCAGAGTTCTTGTGCGCCATTATTCCAGAGAGAGAGAGATTCTGGTCAGAAAGATTTTCTGGTCGGAAATTTTTTTCCCGGCGACCATAGTGGACAGAGAAGAATTTTCCGGCGACAGTGCCAATTTTGTGATGTTTGTTGACATATTTTGTAATGTTTGTACGCTTTGTTATTTTGTAATGTTCGTAAACTTTGTTATTTTTGTGCACCATGTTTATCATTTTTGTCAACCATGTTTGTAATGTTTTTTATGTCTAAAAAACAACCTGGTTGACTTTTGGATGGAACTTCTGTATATAGGGATGGAGCCTCCAAAGTCAACCCGGGTGTTTTTTCCCGTTCGTATGGATTGTCGGTCTAGTTTGTCATTTTTGTCCACCATGTTCGTACTGTTTGTATGTCTAAAAAACACCCGGGTTGACTTTGGGAAGGAGCCCCTCTATATAGGGATGGAGCCTCCAAAGTCAACCCGGGTGTTTTTTCCCGTTTGTATGGATTGCCGGTCTAGTTTGTCATTTTTGTCCACCATGTTCGTACTGTTTGTATGTCTAAAAAACACCCGGGTTGACTTTGGGAAGGAGCCCCTCTATACAGGGATGGAGCCTCCAAAGTCAACCCGGTTGTTTTTTCTTTTTGTATGGTTTGTATTGTTTGTCAATCTAGTTTGTATTGTTTGTACAGTTCATACGTTTGTAATGTTTGTAAATCTGTTTGTATGTTTTGTCGCTCTAGTTTGTACTGTTCGTATGTTTGTATGGTTTGTACTGATTGTAAATCCGGTTTGTATACTTCGTAATTTTCCATAATACCCAAACTACCCCTGTCATTAATTAAATAGCTCTTTCCACTTTTTAACCATTGGATTGAAGTGTCCAGATCTAATGGCTAGGAGGGGCTTAGTCAAGTGACTAAGGACCCCCTAGTCATGGGATCCGCTCTCACAAGAGAGTTCTTCATATAACGAATGTTGGTTCTCCGAACCTCGACTAGTTTTGAATGAAAGGTTAGAATGCATTTTTCACATCTGAAAAATGAATTAATCTATTTGTGTTATAACAAATCGTAAAACATTTTCAGGCACTGTGTGAGATAATCATTTCAAACAGAGCTGATACCTACGAGCCACAAAATGACACATTATCTTATCTATACGACAAACATTTTTCACAGAGCTAAGTGTTAGAAAGAGATGCTACCAAGTACAGGGATGAAGCTACATAGTGTGTAGGGGGCCATATGAATGTTCGGAAGTTCTGGAAATTACGTATTAACTGAAGTGATTTTAATATAAATAGTTTGAGTGTATGGTTTCCTCGGGGGGCATTCTTCTTCGGTATGTCCTGTTAGCCACATTCGTAGCAGATGGTCGGCATGTTCTTGTACAAAACTTTCTCCCAAAATCTATCTAATCGGGTGCGGGTGGGGAGAGGTTTCGTCATATCGAGTTCCACAGCAAGAGAAGTCAACTTTCCTCATTCGAGATTTTCCGTATGGTAGTCTAGTTTAACCGTCTAGTCGATGAGATTACCCGGAGCTAACAGAGCCTTTGTGATAGAAGTGTTCCGGAAGCCGAATCTAGGCTACCACAGAGCGATGAGTCTTATCTGATGTACGAAATGAAGGGGACTATTGGTGCACAACCTGGTTGTAGTGATTTACGGTGACTTATGGGCCTCCTTTAAGAGCTCGCAGGTAATCTGGGTCATCACCAAACGTACTAACGTAGTTAGGAAGGTGTCATTGTTGAGAATATGGGTATGAAATTGATCGACCCAACAAACTTGCAATCAAGGTCTTCCTCTAGGGTTTTTTTTTTTTTTTTTTTTTTTGACAAAAGATAATCTTATAATGATTCCAAAGAAAAGATAGTTACATCCTGGAAGTCAGCCAGGCCTGATAATTAAAGACACAACTTATGATCGGGTACAAAGAAAGGGTCTTCTTAGCCACCATATGGGCTACCCTATTACTACGCCGACCTACAAATTGAACACTAAAACCAGGATGGAGGCAAAAATACTGCATGATTTCTTCCAGAACAGCACCCACCCGGTTATCTCTGGCGTCACCTTGATTGATTTTATCAATGAGCACCTTGGCATCACCTTCAAAATGAACAACAGTAAAGTTATTAGCCAAACACCATAAAACCGCCTCCCGGAGAACAATCAATTCCACCACCAGAGGGTCCTCCATGAGATGAATTTGGACGTCGTTTACCATAAGCACAGTCCTGGCAGGGGTTAACAGAACTATCCCACTAGCCGAATGCGACCCCGACCGAATTGCCTCATCCCACATGCATATGACCCCACTAGTCTCTGTCGACCCTAGTTGTTCACTCATAGGGAAAGAAGACTGAGGAGTCTTATCCACCGGAAGTCGTACTCATTCCTCGTACTGCTAATGAAGCTGACGCATTAAAGCAGGGAACCCAAACTGTTTGCCTTCAAAGACCACCCAGTTACGAGAACGCCAGATCCGCCAGAGGATCGCAGCCACCCCCATGAATAATGGAGACTGGTGGATTAAAGCCATCAGCTTTTTGAGAAGCAACGGGAACGTGTGACGAGGCAATCCCTCCCCTACATGATCCAGTCATGAATAGTCCCACAGAGCCCGAGCCACCAGGCAAGAGAGAAACGATGCTCCATCGATTCAGGACTTTCCCAGCAAACCGGGCATCTAGGGAGAACAGACACACGTTTACTAATAAGGGCCTCAGTAGTGGGTAAGATTCGATTGATCTGCCAGACAAATACTTTCAGCTTTTGGGGGGGGGGGGGATTCGCATTCCACAAGCGAATCCAACTAGCCTTATCCATCCAACTGACCGTGGCTTTCCAGCAACCTCTTCGCTTATCCAAAGCAACCGCCAAGTGATAGGGCGATTTGACAGTGAACACCCCATCAGTCGTGTCATGCCAAATTAGCATATCCTCCACATTCTGACGAGGAAGAGGAATTGCTTTGATAGTCTAGAGGTCTTCCTCTAGGGTTAACATAGGGGTTCTTTGAAGTTTGTTGAGACTCTCTGGCTCCCCTTGCAACGAACTGGGTTTCAGATCATAAGTTCTGACTAACGGGAGAGTAACTAAATGTGACATGTTTCAGTAATTTGAGTGACTAAATGTGACATGTTTCAGTAATTCGAGTGACCGGAGTTGGACAGAGACTACAGGAGAGTGACCAAATGTGACCTGTTTCAATAATTCGAGTGATCAAAATTGATATTAATTTTTTTTAGTGACTAAAATAACACAATTTAGTATCATTTACCCTATTTTGCATGGCAGCAAAAGAATTGACACTCAGCAACCTTCACTGTCCTTATATGACTTTAGTTCACCACACTCCAAATGATGATGTGCAATTGTAGAGTTTGATACACAACAACATGGACGTCGGTCTAATGCTTAGGGATTTATTTCAACCATTGTACAAATTCCAAGTCTGATACATTTAGCCAAAGCCATCGTCATAAGCTGAGTGGTGAAAACCGTAAACCAAAGCCTAACAAAAGCTCTCTCTCGCTCTCTCCCTCGTCGCCTACTTTGTCAAATCATTACTGCTATACCTTCCAACCAAAATGCTAACACACTCTACACTCTGGACAACAAACAAATGTTACATTCGCCACCAAATCTTTTTGATGCCAAGAATAGTAAAAGCTGCTTTTCATGGCCCTTATGATCTCCCATGTAGATGGATGATTTCCAGTGATAAACTTGGTGACTTCGATCTGCAAAATAATGGAAAACGAAAGAAAAAAGCTGTCTTGCTTTCTTCTTCAGTATCAGCTCGTGCTCAGTCTATTTCTATCCACTGTGACGTCAGAATCAAGAGTAGACAGGATCTGGGGCATCGACATCCCTCCGGAGACAACTATCTCTGCAATTACAAGGATGAATGAGGAAGAGCAAAAGAATACAAATCTTTGTATGGCCAAGCTTCTTAGTGTTTAAATATCAGGCATTGATTCAGTGGAATCCTCACCTATTCCTTCCCTGACTGACAGATTAGGTCTGATCACATCCTTAGTACTGACAAGGAATATATCACCAATGTACAGATGATTAGTAGGGACATAAACACAGCAGAGTTCCTCATCTCCAGCATAGTTCTGCACTCACAGTTGGTAAACCAGGAAAAATATTAAATGCCGTGCAAGAACTTTTAACGCATTCACCGAGAAGGATATAAAGTGTGCTGATGTTCTTCCATCTTAATGGTGTCAAGAGACAACCATGGGGGTGAAAGCAAGTTGTGACATTGAAGTAATTCCAAAACAACTTTCTTTCATGTGTTGAATTTATACCTGGAGGGTAACAGAGGAAGTGATGAAGCCAAATGCATATTCACCAATACGTGGATGTCTTATAATGGCTACTTCCTTGAAGGCCTGTGTATTCTGATCTGAAATAGTGAAAAAGTGTACAAGACCTTAAATGGCGCCCATCATCAGAAACCATAAGCCAAAATCCACCACAGATCAGCCAAGAGTAATACCTGGCGATATGGCAGCACCAATTTGCTTTGAGGCATTATAGATATGGCGGACAAATGGCATCCTTTTGATAAACCATTCTCCAAGGCTCAAGACAGATGCCCCCAACCAAGATGACATGAATACTCCAACCACGAAAATGAAAGTTATGGACGTAACAAATCCGAGACCTGGCAGCGCAGCACACACGAGGTAAGTTACTACTAATTTAGCATTAGTGAACACCTTCGACCAAATCCTACTCTGTGCACAACCATGCTGATCTATAAACAACATGGAACAAAAGGAACACCAAACATCTCAATTATATAGCACCAGAATACAAAGTCCTTATTAGAGTTTCAGAGAGAATCTTGTTAGCCCAACAACAGGATTAATCGATACCTTTAACTTTTCACTTACTAGAAGTGGCTAATATTAGAATGATATGGAGCTCCATAGAAACAACCAATCCAGTGTATATAAGCACGGAACAATGATTTCAGTAATCAGCTCCCATATGTCGTCTTTCATTATAAGACGCCAAAAGCCATGGGATATTGACCCATTCGAACTATGGTGTATACACAAAACTTTAGGTGTCAATGGTCAGAGGAAGTTCCTCAAAACTTCAAGTTTTTCCAAAGAGTACAAGTATACTAATGTTGACCAAAGTACTCACCAAATATATCGATTCCAAGTTGAGCATAGATTGGAGAGAAAAATCCATACACAAAGTGAATAAACCACCATGTTACATAGAAAGTAATAGCAATTGGGAAGAGGATAACACTGCAAAATAGTACAAGTATACTAATGTTGACCAAAGTACTCACCAAATATATCGATTCCAAGTTGAGCATAGATTGGAGAGAAAAATCCATCCACAAAGTGAATAAACCACCATGTTACATAGAAAGTAATAGCAATTGGGAAGAGGATAACACTGCAAAATAGCCAAGAATGAGAATCAGTGACCAATGAAGCTTCCAACAATTCAAAGTATCAAATAAAAAATGCATTGCTGACGGACAGAAGAGCCGAGGAAGTGCAAAACAACAAATAACAAAGAATATCAAGAATCAACACAGAAACAGAGTCCTCGCTGAAACAGAAGTAGAAGATGCTTAATCAAAAAGTTATTTTGAATGAAAATGCCTTGCCCATCACCATAAAACAAAGGATCACTTCAAATCCTAAACACAAAAGCATGAGAATCAATTATATGCTCTAAAATGAAAGTTTTAGAAGCAATATTTGGTGATTCAACTAACTTATGTTTGAACTGTTCATAGAAACATGAAGATGATATAAATGACCTAGGAATTGATTCCATTCTTTAAAATGAATGTCATTACCTTAGGTATACATTCAATATGACTAGGGACAAAAAGTAATGTGGAGGATTGTAATGAATTTAAAAGAACATGGGAATTTGTCAAAGAGAACTCAAGAAGCCAACGATAAGGCACCACAAGAAAAAAGAAGCCAAAACTGATTCAGGAAGCTCGAACAGTCAGGATCCAGATTTTATTTTAAGCTCACTTGATATCAAGAGTTCAAATATGTTAGCGCAAGTGAGCCAGAAATAATCATTCTTCCAAAACCAGGAAAAAGAAGAAGGCATACCATCCGGTCATGAACTTTTTTGAAGCCCAGCTCCGAATAACTTTGGAGAATGTCTGCATAGATAACAATTACAAACACAGATTAGCAACAAGCTTACAAACACAACCTTGGATAAATGAGGAGAAGCAGTGAAACCTAAACAACGCAATGTAGTTTCAAACTCCAGAAGAAACTTAGTTAGCCATTCTTGAGCTAATATGAAAGTCTCAAACCTGACGAAGACTCATTGCACTATAATTCAGCCAACTATACGGTAACCTATGCTCAGGTAGCAATTATACTTGGAACATAAAAAAGTACTTGGAAACAAGCTCCAAAGGCATCCATACAAGCGAAGACTATTTCTGCACTTGGAAGTATCAAACGCCAACCTATCCAATTCAATCAGAACAAACTCTGCTGAAAATTCCCAGCTCCCTGCCTCCAATGAGCCTCAAAATAGGCTGAAGAGAGCCCTCAACGACAACAGGTGTCAGAAATTATCCTGGAATCAAGTAAATTGGTCGGAGGAAGCAATCCCTCTATTTTTCAAGAACAACCCAATTCCTAGATCTAGCAGTTTCCCCAGACCCAGAAAACAAAACTCGAAATTGAACAGGCAAGTACAGCTCAAACCCAATCAAACTTCACCAAGTAAGAAAATCCACCAAGCCAGAAGCAAAGCAGTACCGAACCAGAATCCAATTCTCCAAACTCAAACACGTATAAAATGCAAAAAGGGGTTTCAACTTATTAACCTCGCGACCGGAGTGATGATGCGAGGAAGAAGAAGAAGAGGAAGGTTTAGAGTCGTCATGGCTACCGCCGCCACCGCCGGATTCAGCAACGTGGATGAGAAGCTCTCGATCTGCCTCTCTGTCCGGCTCCCTGCTGGTCATTACGATCGCCGATTTCTCATCCCCCATCACTCCAACCTCAACCCAAAAGCAAACGCCGCCGCTGTCTCTGGCTATCCCCACCAATAAATATTAAAAAAAAACCCTAAAATCCCCAGAGAAAACACTGAAAGATTACAGCAAGAAAAAGTCCCTCCTCCGCCAATGAAGAGAAGAAGAAGAAGAAGAGACGATTCCCTCAGACTTAGCTCCGTCCCAAGCAAAGGGGGGAAGGGCTTTGTTTTCAATTCGTAAACAATAATAATCAGAATAATCAGTCGAGGAAGATGAAGTTGCCGAGTTCGATATTTCAAATTGCTTTCTTATTAAGTAATAATTAGTTAACAAACTCAATAAATAAATTCTGCTAATCATATCGGGGAAGAAAAAAATAAATAAATTAAAACAGAAATTCGGTGGAAGGGGATGAGTTCGAGGAAATTTGTCTCCTTTATTTTAACAGTACAACAGCAATTAGCTACTGTTTCTAAGATGCTACAGAATATTGAATCGAAAAAAACTATAAATTTATTGAATCGAAAAAAACTATAAATTTATTGAATCGAAAAAAAAAAACAACGAATGAGTAGGAAATAAACTAATTATGAATTATTAGTTTCTCATCTTTCTACGTTGTTAGTTTTTCCCCCGAAATAATGAACCGGTAAATCACTTAGATCGCACTGGTATTTTTTCGATTGAACACACCTATCATTAACAATCGTTTGATCCACTAACAATCGTCCAAATCGACAAAATCGACGACCTATTACAACAATCGGTTGATGTTTTTACTCGTCTAGCCCGGGAATCCGGTGTGCTGTGTAAGATTAGGCACAAACATATAATTGTGTGGCAATGGAGGATGTGATGAGGAGAGTAGTTAACTGGTTATTATGGCTTTGATTAGCTGTTTGCACATGTGTAAGACTTTAGGGTAGGAGAGGGTTTGACAGGTTGTTGCCAAACAGGGCACAACTGTTTGCAGTGGAAACTAAATCTATAAACTACTCGAGATTTCAGCTACTTTTAGCCCTTAATCTTCATTTAATTGGGGGAAATGAGCAGATTTCATGGCTGATAAAAAAAATCCATAACTATAAAGAACTTATATTAACAAAATAATTACTGGCCGTTAATAATGATAACCAATGACTCCACGAAATTTAACGTGATTCAGTCGGTATAAGTTTAGATCAACGGAGAGTTGTTAGTTTCTGATCATCAATCGTATGATTTCTACAATGCAACTATCCCTTTTCTCGAAACCTTATCGTTTGTATACATTGTTGTTTGCAACGTAAACAACTCCTCTTATGGACCGAAGAAGAACGAAATTGAAAGGCGAAACTTGCACAGTGAAGGAATCAAAGAGTTGGTGATTGGTGGAAACATACGAACATCAAATCGTTTGGCTCGAATGATATGACATGCAAAGTGACAATCATGAATCGAATGTTTTTGTGCGAGAGCGAGAAGACACGTGATCCGAGAGCAGCAGCAAGGTTGTTAGACCAGAGTGTGTTAGTGGGGTGGGTGGGGGGGGGGGGGGGGCTGAAAGAGGATGATGAATTCCAGCGAGACCATCCCGAATACCATAAGCGGTGATGCAATATCCGACTTCAATACTAAAAATTGGTGATGACACGTTGCTCCTAAAACTTTTCCGGTGATGGGAATAGAACCAATATGTAAAATTGCTGAGTGACAAGTAAGTAAATGTTAAGCTATTGTTAATCAATTCCTTGTCAATCTAGTTAGGTAAATTGTTAACCGTAGATATTGCATTTGTCATCCAAATATAACAATTCTGTGTTGTAGCCATCATTTGGAAAAGTTGATTTATTTAGATTTTAAAAATAGCAAATAAGTGCCAAAATATTTCGTACCAACCCATCTGAAAAAGCCATTGATGAAGATCAAAACCGTGTTATTGTGCCAGATGCATGGACTCGTTCAACAAAACTGAAAGGTCGACGTCAAATCCTGGTCAACGTCGACAACTGATATGTTTGGTCCCAACACCTAATGTCCGTCTCCGTCCAATCCATTCTGCATAAGGAAATAAACAACCCTACAGCTGAAGGTCACTGACCTTACCCATAAGGCCATAATCGATTGATTGTTTCCTTCTTTAATCACAACGTTGTGGCTCGATCATAATTTCCAGAACGAAATTCACTTCGTGGTTAGTCGTTTTACAGGACGAATTGACTCAACCAGAGTACACGTTCAAAACAGGTAGACCAGACAGAAACCAGAAAAAAATGGGCACCAAGCTTTGATCCTGTCAAACCGCGGGGGGAAATGGGAACAGTTAGCGAGATTTGATTGATTGGAAACTTTCATTTTTGTGACTTAGAACTAACAAACAAAAACCAGAACCAAAAAGGCAGGCAGCCAAAGTTCTCAATTCATGTACGCAATGTCCCCAGCCAAACTAAACTCTTATTCATATGAATGAACCCACCAGAAGAACAACAACAAGACCACAGAACTTTCCCTCCATTTCCTACACACACATGCCAGCAGAATCTTCCTCATTCCGAAAACGGGTTGCTGCTTCGTTAACAACATTAGTTGAAGGAGGCTAGGAAGAAGGGGAAAAAATGCTGGAAGGGAAGGCCATCGTGAAGGACACAGACATGCCAGAGAGCATGCAGATCAAAGCCATGGCTTCTGCTTCAGAAGCGCTCGACACATTCGACGTGCTCGACTGCAGATCCCTGGCTGCCCACATCAAGAAGGTAAAACCTAGAACTGTTGCTCATCTATGGGGGTGGAGATATATGATTCATGGGTTATTGACTTATTTACATTTTAAGCTGATAAAATCACTCTCTGCATTATGTGTGGGTTGGCAGGAATTTGACAGAGCTTATGGAGGAGGATGGCAGTGTGTGGTGGGTTCGAGTTTCGGTTGTTTCTTCACTCACAAGCAAGGGACTTTCATCTACTTTGCTTTGGGATCCCTCAACTTCCTTCTCTTCAAGGCTACCTCTCCCACTTGAATTGACCATTATCACTATTCAGTAGTTCATCACATGTAATTTTGCAGCTGTGAGTTAGAATGCATGCAGAGCAAGATCTGTTGGAGTAGTTATAGATTTCCCTTGATAAGTTTTTTTCAAGTTAGCTTGTGTGTATCAATTTGATTTCTATAAATGTCAATTATTTACAAAGAAGACAGAAAATTGAAATGCTTAGGAGCCCTCTAAATGGACCTTCCTACCTCTCTCTTACTATCTCTATACATAGTTGAGCAACAATCAAAGGGAAATAACTCTAGAAACCTGAGAAAGCTAAGCAGTGAATACCTCATCGATCAACTGATCTAGAATCAACGTCTCTAAATCGATCACAGCGTGTTCAGCTTCTTCCATGGAGAATCCATTCCTCCAGCCCAATTCCCACACACCACTCACAACTCCTATACTCTTCACATCCTTCTCCAGTATTGCATTCACACTATCAGTAGCTTGCCTGGGTTGCCTTCCAGAACCCAGAACAAGATAATTGTTATTGTACCCCTGGAGTGTCTCGACGCCATGACAGACTTCTTCTACAAGCTGGTCCAAAGAAACATGCTTTCTCAATGCTCCTCCTGCGCAAGAAGTAAGAAGAAGCAAACCATCTCTTTTTGCTTGTGAATCCGGATCGCTTTTGCATTTGATGAGTTCATTTGCATAGTCTAGGGACAGTTTCTCGTTGAGTGGATCGAATGTAGTTGATGTTGATAGTATAGTGTTTGGAGAAGGGACAGTAGTGAGAGGAAAGAGCTCCTCTACACGAGTGAGAAACTCTTGGCTGCTTAAAAGGAAGGTCTTGAAATGGATTCTGGCTTTGGATTCAGCAGACTCAACATTCTCTCTGGAATCTGAGGTCTCCAAAGGGACAATTTTCTGAGGACTGTGGCTTTCTGTACAATGTTGTACTGCAACAGAAAACAAGAAAGAAAGGACATGTTAACGAGAAAGCCCTCTACTTCATGTTGTGTCAATTAAAAGGAAACAAGCTATACCAAGTGTAATATTTTACCTTCAAGTGGAATTTCAGATGAACTTGTTTCTTCTTCTCCTCTACATATCTGCTCTACTGTTGCATTAATGGAACTAATTTCTTCCTCAACAGGTCGAATTTCACCTACTAGATCGAGCTCGTTACAGTCTTCTTTATGTTCTTGCAAATCTGTGCTCTGTGTCAAAAATCAAACAACATTAAGTTTCACCATAATTCAAGCCGATGTACCAAAGAGTGAATCGAATGTTCCAAGGAATTATGAAGTAAGGAAGACTCACATCTGGTATTACTTCTGCAACCTCATCTACCATCTTCTTCTCCATCTTCTTGCCTTTGGCATTATCACGGGTCGCATTCTGCTGCTGAGAACTCTGACTCCTGGAACCAATTCCACCAACTTCAGAACTCCTCATCTTTCTAGAGGTTGGAACGTTACCCTTATCCTGAGTTCTTACTCCATTTCTGACCTTAACAGTCTCCTTTGCCACTGGTGCTTCTTCATTGCTAGCCACCACCTTCTGAATCTTAACCACTTTCTTATCAACAATCTCCTTCTTTCCCTCTTGCTTCACTTGTCTCCCAGCTCTAATCTTACTATTATTACTCTTATTACCCTCTTTCACTCTTGGAACTGAATCCTTTTGTTCCTTATTACCTCCATTTCCGGGGCTAATCGATCTCCTTTCAGCTTCTTCTGCACTCAGCTTTCTTTCCATCATCATCCTGTTCTTCCCATTCACAATTCTTTTCACTTCTTCCTGATCAATCCTCTGACTCCTTCCACCATTGTCTTCTTTGACTCTCACCTTCCTCGCGTGCAAATTTGAACTAACAACCTCCCCTTCTTCATAAACCATTGGCTGCTGAAATGGTTTTTCTGATTCAGGCACATGGAAAGGCTTAATAAGCACAATAGGTGGTGTGCTGCCAATATCAGACAACAACTGATGATGACTGGATTGAGAATGAGCCTTGAAGTCCTCCTCCTTCTTCGCGGAACTGCCCTTTAGAAGAAGCCCTCTGAATTCCATTGTGTCAAGCAGCTCTTTCAGGCTCCTTTGCTGCTGCTGCTGCTGCCGATGTGCCTCATGAACAGCTGCAGCTGCCTTCACCAGCAAGGCATCGTGCTGTTGTTGTTGTTGCTTCCTCAACTTTGGCATCTCAATGTCCACCCGCTTCTGTGGGATTCGAGTAGGCGATCCAGGAGGATGGATCTCTTCCAATCCCATCAATCTAGCTATCAAGTTGGAACTCCTTTCCTTCTTCGCTACCTTTGACGATTCACTTGGATGAACAACAATAGCGTTGGAATATTGAGCCACCATGGAATCAACCCCTCTTCTCCTTCTCTCAAGCCAAGCCCTTTCATCATCCGACAGCAAATTCTGTCTAGCAAAGCTGTCTGTTATTGCACTCCTAAGCTCATCAATGTAATCCCCCGACGAAGAAGCTCCATCATAAGAATGTCGTGGCTTCTGATAATCACCAAAACCACCACCATCACCACCACCACCACCTTCTCTACAAGAACTCACCCTCCTCATCAAAGGAAATTCAGCATCGGTTCTAACCAGATCAGGATTCTCCTTCTGCTGCTGTTTCTTCTTCAACTTGGCCATGTACTTGGAAGCCTCTTGCAACTTTCCAAGCATAACCAGCGACTCCTTCAGATCAAGAGCCCCTTTCAGCAAATCCTTAGCCATCTTCTCCTTCGACCCGCCTTCACCATCGTAGCCCTTATTCCCTTCTCTAGACCAGGAATCGACCACCTTGTTCAGCTTCTGAGCTCCCTTTGAGACCTCCAGCAGCTGGAATGAAGATGGATTGTTGGTATTGTTGTTGTAATGTTCCTTATCTCCCCTTCTTTTCCCCATTGCTAATTTTGCCGCCTCAATGGAACCCTTCTTATTTCCCTGCTGTCTATGACCTGCCATCTTCTTGTTATGCTCTTCCTCCATCTTTTGGAGGACATGCTTGGACTTTCTGATTGTCCCACATTCCACTACCCCTTTGGGATCATCGCAAGTGACAAATGGTCTGTACATTATTCTGCAACCAACAAATAAAAAAGAAGGGGAAAAGCTTCAGTATGCCTTGCAAATGGCTACCTTGAACGAGAAAACAACAGCTAGCTTCCAGCCAAGTGCCAACTACAGAAAATAACAAGAAACCCATGTCCTGTTTCCCTTTTGTGTAAACCTTCTTTCAAAACCGAATCCAACTCTCTTTTGTATTTTTCTCCAATTTCCAAAACTGTCAACACTTTCTGGGTTTTAGAAAGAGACCTCAGGGGCGGAAAATTGAATTAAACAAAGAAACCAATTGCAATTGTGTACAGAATTTTTTTTTGCAGGCCTGGGACTGCAGTTGTAAACTAAATTTTCCTGAGACGGCGAAAAGATCACCATCACCGAACCTCAAAGTCTCCAGCTTTCATCAGCCAATGAGATGACAAAACAGGAAACAGGGCCAAAAAGCCAGGGTACCCAGATGAAGAAAAGGAAAGGAAAAAGCTTGGGAAGGCTTCTAGAGTCAACAGTCAACGGAATAACAGAGAGGGGGAAAAACAGGGGAGTGTATGAAAGCAAAAAACCCAGAAGTTAAATTTCTCACCCAGAGAAAGCGAGTTGCCGAAGGAGGGATTTCAGATCCAAAGGGCGGCCGCCATTGACTGGAGAGCTCGAACGGCAGGCGGAGTGATGAGATCAAGCCGAAAGAGATGGCGCTGAGTGTGTGTTAGTTATTTGGAGAATCTCTAAGTTGAGGAAGAAGAATGGTGCGAGTATTTTTTGCTTGTATTTTGTTGATTGTGAGTTCAGTAAAGATCAATAATGGCGGAAGGGAAGGGGGTAAAGGGAAGGAAGTGTGATAACTGCTTGCTGAAGCTAAAATGGCGCCTGCTGTTTCTTCCGTTCTGTTTGTGGCAGGCAGAGGGAGGAGCGGAATAATAGAAATATTAGAAAAAAACAGAGCAAAAAAAGAAACTCCCACTTATCGACGTGATAGTTTTCTCCTCTTTTTTTTCTTTTCCATTTAATATCCAAAATGCAATCTAACTACTCCTTCATTAGTAACCACTTAGGGCAAATCTAATATCGACAAAATACGAAAAAGATCCATGATATATATAAGGAAGAATTCAATCTATCTTTAATCGACAAGGCACAATTTGATCCAAAATGTAGTTTCGAACTTAAATGTGCTCTGCGTGAAACGAGTACAACGATGAGTGACTCCGCAGGAAGTCAATCATGACACAATTCCGAAGTATAATCGTATTCGTACGTGATACGTGCAAAGCATACAACATCTTAATCATAAAAATGTCGGGGATATTACACCATTACTTTTACAAAAATGTCACTACGTCGATTCGATACTGGCCCGAAACTAGCGAGCAATTCGACAATACAATGTAGCAACCATGATTGTAAAATGACGGTTGAGGAAATCAAAATTGAACGTGGTGATTGATGTGGTGGGATCTGTGCCCCCACTAAAGGTTTTGTCTGTTTCACCTTTTTTTTTTTACCATCCCTCCGAATTAAGAAAATTCTTTACAAAAGGGTAAAAAATTCTACTTTCACCGTTTTATGTCAAACAAAAGTAAAAATCCTTAGGTGAAAATCATCCTGTAGTTGACAAATTGTTTGGCTTCAAATATGATAGTTACATAACACACCACCCCCACCACCATCAACAACAAACTCTCTGAAGGACAGTAAAAAAAAATCAATGAAATTTTTTGAAAAAGAAGGGTGAACTAATAACTTCAACATTTGCATTTGATATTCATGTCATATTTATGTCCGGTCGAATTCGACTCTGTTGTTGAGGAGCCATGGTGCGCGAGCATGATGGTTAACGCTTTCTCGGCCATCCCATTTTGCGATAGATGATTGTAGACTCCACATATAAGATGTCGGAGTAAAATGGATGGGTTACGTAGCGTATTCGCGTCTTGCCACACCGCAACACCGTTTGATCCTACAATGAACACGAAAACATCCAGCAGCCACATCAGATTGTCTTTCGTATTAAATTCTCCGGACTAATAATGTTAATCAAATTGACTCCTCACCTGCTGCGATAATCAAATATTTAATTAAAGAATCAATCGTTTTTTAATCATGCATGTTTTAAATAATCACAAGAATCTTGTCTTGGAGTTGGAGTTGTTCAGAAACAGTGGCGTAGCAGTCTCATGTTATGTTTGGGCCGGCCGACAGTATTTATTTGGCAAGAAAAATTAAGTACTTGACATAACTTCTGCTTCACTTCGTAATTTCTTTTCTTTGTTGTACAAATTAAACAAATGTTCTACCAATCAAACAATATAACTTTGACTTAACATCACTAAACCCTAAAATCGGTGTGATTTTATTAAGATTGTTTTACATATGCTCGAATGAAGTGATCGTCGTGTCTTCTAATAATTTCGAAGAGTCTCATGATAGATTTAGTTGAATCTCGGGGTCGGTTAGCATGCTAACCCCCCTTAGGGGTTGGAAAAATGACACCCCCTAGTATATTAAATACAACTATAGAATTTAATACACATATTAAATACACATTAGGAATTAAATGTACCATATTAATTAGGAATTCTCTCACTATTAAATACACATTAGGAAATAAATACACACATTAAATACACATTAGGAATTCTCTCACTATATTTGATTTTTCCTTTTTCAGCAGTCTCCGACCACCAGACTTCCTCCGACCGCCACACTTCTCCGGTGAAAATCCCATCGGCAGACTCCCTCCGACCACCTCCAAAAAATATACCACTGCACTGATACGGTGTACCACTGTACTGGTAGATATACCACTTCACTGATACGGTGTACCACTGTACTGGTAGATATACCACTGCACTGATACGTTGTACCAATGTACTGATAGATATACCACTGCACTGGTAGCGATATCAGTGCACTGGTAGCAATGTCATATCTGAGTATCAGTGCAGTGGTACAAATACCAGTAAAGTGGTAATTAATGTGGTATATTTAATGCTTACTTTGTATTTAATAACAGAACATTTATTATGTTTACTTTCATTAATACTTGTCAATAATTAATAAAAAATTGACCAATTAAAAGGGGGGTGTCAAAAAACCAACCCCTTAAGGGGTTAGCATGCTAACCCGTCCCGTAGAATCTCTCCTGCCTTTTATCAATGCTCTTTTGAAATGCTCCTAATTGAATCCAAGTATCCAACTAAGTAATTATATCAAATACCACAGAATCAATGATTTATCGCTCCTCTCGGCTTCATTAAATTTGTTGGTACTTGGCCGAATTGATATATGTAATCAGCCACATAATCGAACCAATTAACCAAACAGATTTGGATTGTGCCTATATGAAACAACTGCCACAACTGAACGACGACCCAATTGCTCGGTTCAATTTTCTGCCCGAATCAGTGACATCTTTCCGCATGCACCTCTTCAATTTATATAAATACCATCATTATCCTTATCTTTTTTACTTTCTATAGAAATATTATACAATATTTTATCTTCATCAAATGATAGCAACAAAAGCAAGTATGTGCTAATAAACCATGATTATATTTAATGACCAACGGTTTTGCTATTTTTTTTAGGGTATACGGCAGAGTCGGCAACCAACTTATCATTGCCGCCGGAGGAGTCAATCATTTGTTCCCATTTTTGGCCTAACTTGAATTTCTCTGGTTTGACCAGAACACTTATGATCGAGTTCTATTGATTTATTAAAAAGCCTTCGCTTGAGTAATTTCTATTAACACTATAGTTAGTAAAATACGATATGAAAAAGTTATGGATAAAACACGTACGGGTATTATATTTCTTTTTTAAGTTAAAATTACGTTTAATAGTATGTTAATAGTTATTAATATATAAAATTAATTATTTCAAAAATAAATAATATTAAAGTTAACAATTTAATTCATAAAATATGGATAATAAACGTGTTATACGGGTTTAGTACGGGAGCCATCAAATGAACGGAAAAAAATAAAACGGCTTGACAATAATACGGATACGGAAGTTTTAAACGGATAAAGTATGTACTGGTACATATACGTGTATTAAACGGAGTATTTACTAAGTAGCGAGTCTAAAGGGGTTGCGGATTGCGAATTTATGGATGTGTTGAAATGAATTTGTGAATTGAATTATCAATTCAAGTGTCAACTAAAGTTTGGATCATATGAAATTTTTGAAAAGTTCAAGTACTATCAATATCTTAATAAGAGTTTAAATACCAAAATGTAAAATTTTAACAATATTTTCATTAAAAACTCGAAGTAAAATGTAATTTTCAATAATCCATCATACCATTACATGAATTCACCATATCATTAGATTCAGACTGAATTAGTTAAATATTTAAATGAATGTATTGAATTGAATTCAAATTGTCAAATTTAATTTATATTCGATATGAAATTTCATTAATGGTTGGTTTGAATCACACTACTTATGCACAAAAAGTGGGTGCTCCACATTTTTATTGTATCTTATTTGTATTCTACGGTTGTGTAGATCAGAAAATAATGCACATGGAGAAGTTGTTACGAAAAATGATTAAGGGAGGAATCCAATAAGAAGATTAATTAAATTTCTCCAATCTTAGCGTCTCCAATGAAGAAAACAAGTAGTATATCCAATTGTAGAAGAAAGTTGCTGGAGCGTGGAATTCGTATAAAAACCAAACCCCCGATCTAATCATTTGGATTGTTGACTACAAAAAAAAATCTATTAATGTATAAACGGAACAATCGCACAAGAAACAAACGACGATAAAACTGGGAATACCGCATACTTTTAATAAACAAAATAATATCTCAACATTAAATAAATTAAAGTTTGGGTATACCAAACCCTAATGAACTAAGCCTAAGTATTTTTCTCTCTCTAAATTTACACCTTAAGATCAACTTGATAGAAACCATAATCGAAGATATTGATTTATCGGAAAAAAAATAAAGATACTAGATGCATCATGTTAGGATATAGAGTTTAGAGAATTAGAACCTAGGATGTACTCATTAAAGGTTAGGATAAAATACCATGCTCTATAGTCAGGTAAATTCAAGGATTAGGTAAATGTTTTTTGCAAGAGTATGTGATGTTCCTAAATTTACCAATGCGACTTTTAATTGTTCTTTTACCCGTTGGTAAATGGTATATGATATGTAATTAAACCTCTTTCAATAATTGAGTTATTGGGACCAACTGATTTGTGACATGGTATCAGAGCTTTCTGTGGCTGAGAGGTCTTCTATTCGAATTTTGATGATCCTCATATGTTCTATTCTACACATGATATCCAGACCTGTTCAAACTTCAAGCTCATATGTGTCGGCTTTCTTTTGAAAGAATGTGTTAGTAAATTATAGGTTTAATTCACCCGTGTAGCCATAACTTTCACGGTTTTGACAGATATAGCCACTTTTTGAATAATACACAAATGTAGCCATTTCCGTCCTATTTTTTGACGGTCCACTTAACTAGCTGACTGGACTAACGGTTGCGGCTGATGTGGCGCGTTTTGGTTTTCGTCTTTGCCACGTGGAATTTTTTTTTCTTATTATTAAAAAGTAAAACGACATAGTTGGAGACGAAAAGGGGATTCAGATCACTTTCCCCTTTTTCGTTTTAGGGTTCCCAACCTACTCTTTTCCTTTTCTCTCTACTCTTCCCAATCGTTCGCGATCGCCGACAAAGGGAAGCCATGCATTCCGCCGGTGAGTAGCATCGGAGGGTCGCTCTTTTGTCGGCGGTACGGACTTCGGCGGTTCGGCTGGCGGCGGCTAAGAAACATCGGCGGAGGAACCCTAAATCGCGTTGCTAAGAAACCCTAAATCGTTCGGCTGGTGAGTGATTCTGGTTTTCTTCTCTGGTTTTCTTCTTCGCACGGTTCGAATGAATGAATGTTTTGTTAACGGGAAGTGGGTGTTGTGTATTTATAGGTTGAAAGGTGGAAAGCGACATCACAACTTCGAGGGACCAGAAGAATATTTTTTTCACGAGATTGCCCCTGCAAAAGACGGTAAACGCCATAAATCTCTGGTTATAATCGTCATTTACTATTTAAGCTTCCCTTTTTCGTGCTTTTCTTGGCTGTATGTAGAGTTCCCCAATTTGTTTAATCGCTTATTGGATGTGTGTGTCTGATTTGTTTATTAGCGATTAATCATTAATTAGTAGTTAATCGAATAAACAATCAATTTCTGCAGAGAGATGGCAGATTCGTGGGAGGAAGGAAATGGTGAGAATGTCACAAACCAGGAAGGGGAAGAAGATGATTTCCTGTCAGTAGAAGATGGGGTAGCAGCTTCTGTTGCAAAGGAGGTGTACCACGTTTACGATTCGGATGATGCTGATACTTCGGATGATGAATATCACGAAGCACGTGACAACTTACGAGCATATGGCGAGACGAGGAGGAGGAGGAAGGTGCATACAAAGCGTGCTGCTGATGGGGAAGAGGTGGACCAATTGGATGAATTTGAAGATGTTGAGGTTGAGAGTGGAGAGGAAGAGGAAGCAGAGAATGATAATGGTGCACATGGAGAGGATGTAGGGGAGGATGCTGTCGGGGGAGATGAACCGAGGAATGAGGCTACAATTCATTCTATATCCAATCAGGAGCCCCCTATTCAAGAACAAGCCGTTGGTGAGAATTCTAACGACTCATTTTACAGATTGTCTGAAGATTCGGATCATGTTCGTCCGAACTTATCTGATGAAGAAGCTAGGGAAATGTACGATGATGCTCCACATTATGATCCAAAATGTGATCATAAGAGCTTGCAATTTGTGTGTCGGATGAAGTTCGCCAGTGCAGAGCAATTCAAGGAAGCTGTTGTTAGACATTCTGTCGCAGCAGGTGCAAGTCTGAGGTGGCTTAGGACTAACCCTAAAAGGAGGGAGGTGAGGTGTAAGTCTCTGAATTGTAAGTGGAAGTTGTATGCCAGTTGGTTCAGGAAGGACAGGAGCTTTATGATCAGGAAAGTAGGGCTGCCACATTCGTGTTCAAGGCAGCTTAGAGTGAATCAAGTCACTGCTAAGTGGATAGCAAGTGACATGTTAGATAGATTCAGGATAAATCCTGAATGGGCTCCGAATCAGATAATGGCCGAGGTGAAGCTGAAGCATAATATGGAGGTTAATTACAGAACATGTTATAGGGCGAAAGTTGAGGCTATCAAGCTGCTCAGTGGTTCATTGGTTGATGAGTATGTTAAGCTCAGAAGTTATATGGCTGAATTGAAGAAACGAGATCGAGAAGGACATTTCTTTTTGGAGGTAGACCCCCATCCTAATGGCGACAATGTTTTCTTTCAACGTATGTACATCGGGTTCTCAAGTTTAAGAAAGGGATTTCTGGAAGGATGCAGACCGATGATTGCGTTGGATGGATGTTTTCTGAAAGGAGAGGTTAAAGGGATGATATTGATAGCAGTTGGGAAAGATGGAAACAATCAAATGTTTCCTATATGTTGGGCTGTGGTGGAAGGTGAAAACACCAATTCATGGTGTTGGTTCGTGCAAGCATTAGCTAAAGACCTAACTCTAGTTGATGGAAGGGGATGGACTATTATTTCTGATCAACAGAAGGTAATGTCCAATACCACTGACTTTATTAAATGTCCACTTATGATTAATTTGCTGACTTTATGTGTTTCGACTTATGTCTTTCTTGCTTATCTGTCCTGTTGCATGTATGTAGGATGTGATACTTAATGTGGCTGATAGAAGAACAATTGAAAGGGAATTGAGAATTGCAACATCTGGAGTTGGCGTTTATGTTAATGAGAGGACAGGGAACCAGTATGTTAGGGTGTGTTTCCAACCTGTCTTGTAATTGTAATAAGTCTTCTTAATGTAGTTGTATTGAATACTAATATGTTTGTTACTCATTTCAGCTTAATGGAGCTGCTGGCAGGCCAGTTCGTGGACCTCAGCCAACTGTCGTGGACTTGCATGGAAGTCAGCCACCACCTAGTCAGCCTTAGATGTAGGAAGAATATGATGCTTAAGTCATCTTTTGTGTAATGTCCATAGTAGACACTTATGTGCACTTTGCTATGTAATGACGATTACATGACTCAGGAAGCAGTTGGTAGCAGATTAGTTTGCAAGTAGTTTTGGTTAGGGAAGGTTATGAACACACTTTTAATGATGATTACATGACTCAAGTGCAAGTTGTTAGTTGCAGGTGTATGAAGTACTCTTCTAATCGACACCATTTTGATGTGCACCCTTTGCACTTGCTTAATATATGTGTCTCATTAGAGAGACCAAACATTTGTTACTCGCTTTAGAACATTACATTGTTACTCGCTTTAAAGAAATAGAGAGACCAAACATTTGTGTCCATTAAAGCTTGCATACATTTGTTCAACGTACTCAAACAACAACTCGTACAAATTGCCTAATCCACAGAATGCTAACTACATACCAGACTCTGGCCTCCAAAGAACAACAACCAATATAGCATTCATAAATACAGCACCAATCAACATATATCGAATAATACGGACATCATCATCCAATCGCTTAACACGAATCGCCATAACCTCATGAGCAAGCATCAATCTGCTTAGTTCTTCAGCCAAGCATTCATTTTCCTTCTTCATCTTCTCTGCCTTCCTTTCTGCTAGCATCAGACTCTCTTCCAGATTCTTAATAGAACCCATTTCATTGGTCCATGAGCCAGTTTCATCATCGTTTGATTCCACCCACTGAAAAAATCGACAAGTTTTTTTCCTATCCTGCAGCGAAATAATACGCATGAAACTCAAAAAATCGACAAGTTTGATTCCACCCACTGTTAAAACCCCTGTATTGCTTACCTTCCAATAAGGACAATCGTAGAACTGCCGCCCTGGGTTCGTATAAGTACCCGAAGTTTTAAGAACACATGGGACGTTGTGCTCGCATCGAACAACAATCCTACTATTGGTGCTTGCTGATCCGGAATCGGCAACATTGAAATCCACCTTCTTTCCAGACCTATTCGACATGGATTCGGAGATGAAGGGTTGACCGGGATATGGAGCGGCTGCGCTGGGATTCGGAGATGAAGGAACGGTTGGGCGAAACTGTCTCGGTGATTATCTTGGTGTATGGAGCGAAAATGGAATCGGGAGAGGAGTTGGGGTGGAGAGGAGGTATCGAGGGAAGGGATTGAAAATAGAGAGGAGTCTCTGTTGTGCGAACCCTAGAAAACAAGAGAGGAAGGGAATGAAAACGACGGCGAGGCCAAGAGAGAGAGAGAGTGTCAATTTTTTTTTATCCGATGTGGCGTCCACGTGGCTAAGTCCACCCGGTTGGCGATGACGTGTCATCCATTTGGCGTACAGGTCAGCTAAACGGACACTTAACTGACGGAGACGTTAACTCCGTCAAATCTTTTAACGGAAATGGCTAGATTAGACAACGAACTTTAAAAAGTATGGCTACATCTGTGTATTATTCAAAAAATGGCTATATCTGTCAAAACCGTGAAAGTTATGGCTACACGGGTGAATTAATCCTAAATTATATATAGTCTATAATTGAACTTCTTCCAACAACTCGAATTATTTACATCAATTGATTCTTGACACATAAAAGCTCTCTCTTTTTTTACAAAAACATGAATTTGGGTCACCATAAGCATTGATATATGTTCATAATAATAAATGATTCAGTCACACAATTTAATCAATATATATTTTTATGGACGATATTCTTTACAACGGTGGATAACCGGACAAGGAGGACTATCACCTCCTTTCTTTAAAAGCTAGGTCCAATCATGAAGGTACAACTTTTTTTCTTCGATTCCTCTTCGCTGTAAAATTTGATTTTGCAATTGAAATCGTGCCATAAAACATGTGGTATGACATGAATTTTACAATGCTTATAAGCACCAATGCTTACACGAAGAAGTTGAATTTGTATCATAACGTGAAAATACAAATTCAGTTTAAAACATAAATGAATTTGTAGAAAAATATGTAAGTACCAAGTACAAATTGAATTTGTACCATAAAGTTAAGGTATATGTTCAGTTTGTAGCATAACAAAAATATGTGCACAAAGTTGTTTGAACAAGCGCATGACAAGAAGCTTTGTGTAGGGGTGTAAGCTTGGCCTTAGAGACTCACTGACCCAGCCTGGTCGGGCTAGGTCACTTTGTCTACAGGGTGAGTTTAGGGTCGGGACATCTATTACGGTTACTTCTAGTTGCTTGTCGTCGAAGTAACCGCGTGTCCTAGTCCTCGTGGAACAAGACTTACCTTGTCATACTCACCTTGTCATTAGCCACTGCATCCGTATCCCAGTAGGCCTTGTTATGGGCTGTCAACCCTAGTCCTATATATACTTAGCTACCGTGTGTGTGGTATGCAAGTACGAGAAGTCAACCAATAATATTCTTAGCCGTGAGCTCGTTCCGAGCTCACCGTGGATTAGTCTCGTTCAGTCAAAGAACGAGGATACCACGTAAAAGTCTTGCGTTGTGGTTCGATTACGTTTTAGTATTATTGTTTTTGTTCATGGTATCAGAGCTACGGCATTGATTCCAGTCTCTCCTTTGTCGTCTTTATCATGGCTGGTGGGGAAGATTCCGCATCGAAATCTGACGTCACGGTCGATGTCAAGGAAGGGCCAGATTCCTCGTCGCCCTACTTCCTCCATCCATCTGATCAGCCCGGCCAAGTCTTCGTCGCCGAGGCTCTTACTGAGCTCAACTATGGTGAATGGGAATCGGATATGCGCACCGCTCTTTTGGCCAAGAATAAGCTCGCCTTCGTCACCGGAACCCTTTCACGTCCTTCGTCCGGTTGGCAGCTCGAGTCTTGGGATAGGTGCAATGCCATGGTTGTTGGATGGCTCAAGAACTCCATGAGCCGAGATGTCAGGCTCAGCGTCCGGTACGCCGAAACAGCCCAGCAGATTTGGTCCGATCTTAAGGAACGTTTTGGTACAGGCAGTATGTCCCGCTTGTATCAACTTCGTCGAACTATCGCTCTTCTTCAGCAAGAGAAGGATAGTGTCTCGAGTTTTTTCACCAAGCTGCGGAGCCTCTGGGACGAAATTCAGGCGATCGCCCCCACTGCCAAGTGCACCTGCGGCGGTTGCACTTGTGACATCGAAAAACGCATGCGCGACGCACAGGACAGCAATCGCTTGTTCGATTTTTTGATCGGCCTGGATGACGTTTTCAACACCGTTCGTACTCAGGTTCTCTCCATGCGCCCCACACCTACCTTGGGCGAAGCTTTTCAACTGGTTGTGAACGATGAGGCTCAACGGAACATCACTAATTCGCGTCGCCCCACTATTGAAGCTGCTGCCCTCCAAGTTCAAGGAGAACGTGGTGTTTCTAGTCAGGGGGAGCAATCATTGTCCGGCGACAGAACCCCCGAGGGACGCCCACGCTGTACCCACTGTCAAAAGATAGGCCACATGAAGGAGACATGCTACGAGCTGATAGGCTGGCCTTCCCAGGAGTCCACTCGTAGCGGCAGGGGTCGTCGAGGACGCGGTCGCGGACGCGGGGGAGGCAGGTCGGGCAATCGTGATCCCCACGCAGCTCAAGTAGAGTCACATGACTCAGTCATTCCTGGTCTGACCGAAGCTCAAGTTGCCCAGTTACGAGCTTTCTTAAATTCAGAGCCAACAACGTCAGCAGCGCCAGTCTCCAACATGGCAGGTAATTTTTCCTCGTCCGTTAACTCTTGGGTCATTGATTCGGGTTGCAATGAACATATTGCTAAAGATATCAATTTATTTTTGGGTGAGCTCGAATCGAGCAAGGGTTTGCAGGTTAAAATTCCCAACGGTAATGGCGTACCAGTTCGTGGAATAGGGACGGCAAAATTGGATAATGGGATAATTCTTAATCATGTTCTCTATGTCCCGGATTTTCAATGCAACTTATTGTCAGTAAGCCGACTCACAGCAGACTCATCAGTCGCGTTGGTTTTCATCGATGATTTCTGTGTCGTTCAGTATTACAAATCCAAGAGGATGATTGGCACAGCTAGGCGTGTGGAAGGCTTGTATCGCTTGAGGTTACTGCAACATGATCGTCCAATAGCTTTGGCAGCAACTCGAGCGATACGTGAGACGTAGAGGTGGCACTTAAGGCTTGGGCATCCATCTTCGGAGAAGTTATTTCAATTGAAGTCTTTAATTTCTGGTTCCATTATTCATCATTCGGCACCTTGTGTTTCATGCCTTGAGGCAAAACAAACAAGATTACCTTTTTCAGCTATTGGTATTAAGACAGCTGGTTGTTTTGAATTAATTCACATCGATATTTGGGGTCCATATCGACAGAGTTCTTTTACTGGTGCTCATTATTTCCTTACCATCGTCGATGATTACAGTCGTTGTGTTTGGGTCTATTTGATGAAATATAAGTCAGAGACAGCGCGATACTTGATCATGTTCTGTCAACAAGTCATAACTCAGTACAAGAAGCAGGTTCGACGCATACAGGCAGATAATGGACAGGAGTTTATCTCCTCCACCTTACGCAATTATTATGAAACCACGGGCATCATCTTACAGACAACGTGCACTGATACGCCCCAACAAAATGGAGTTGTGGAGCGAAAGCATCGGCATCTTCTCGATACAGCTCGTGCTCTGATGTTTCATGCTAATTTACCGCGGAGGTTTTGGGGAGAGTGTATCTTGACGGCTGCCTATCTCATTAATCGGCTACCCCTTGTCTCCATCAAAAATCAAAGTCCGTATCAAGTTCTCCTTGGCGAAACTCCCAAATACAGTCATCTTCGTAGTTTTGGGTGTTTGGTCTATGCTAAGGATGCGCATAGTCACTTGCGTAAGTTTGATAAACGAGGGTGTGCCGGAGTTTTGGTTGGATACCCTGCAAGTCAACGAGGTTATCGTATCTATGATCTACAGCATAAGTACATTTATACGTCACGCGATGTGCTTTTTATTGAGGACACTTTTCCTTTTAAGGACCTAAGTGTTGCGAAGTCACCAAGTCACCATGCAGGGAATGATGGCACTCCCATGCACGTAATCACACCTTCAAATGACCCAAGTAATGGGGTTTATCCCAGGGAATCCATCGATGATGACATTCCCCAAGATGGGGCAAGCTCTCCTCAGGATCAAGCACCGCGTTCCCCGCCCTTGTCTTCAGGGAGTGATGGCGCGCAATTCAGCTCTACAAGTCCCAATCCGCCGCCTGCCATTTCAAGTCCACCAAATGAAGTCACCAACGTTGCTCAGCAGCCAATTCCTCTTCGGCGCAGCAACAGGCAGACGCAAGGTCAGCTGCCAGTGAGGTTTTCAGGATTTGAAGAGCTGGTTTCTTCTAACCAAGTTTTATATCCCATGAGTAATTATGTCACATATACTCGTGTGTCCGACAAGCATCGAGCCTATCTCACTCGCATCTCTGAACTTGATGAACCACGTTTCTTTTGGCAAGCTGTTCGATGCAAGTACTGGCGGGATGCGATGCAAGCTGAAATCCTCGCTTTGGAAGCAAACAATACTTGGACTCTAGTCGTTTTGCCACAGGGAAAGAAAGCGATTGATTGCAGGTGGGTTTATAAGATTAAGTTTAATCCCGACGGTTCAGTTGAACGCTACAAGGCACGACTTGTTGCAAAGGGTTTTACTCAAATCGAAGGTATAGATTATCATGATACCTTCGCCCCGGTTGCCAAGCTTGTCACCATTCGTTGTCTTATCGCTGTTGCAGTTAGTAAAGGGTGGCATCTTCATCAACTAGACGTGAATAATGCTTTTTTGCATGGGGATTTGAATGAAGAAGTGTACATGAAAATTCCTCCGGGATTCGGTGCAAAGGGGGACACTCGTGTTTGTCGACTTAATAAGTCTATATATGGACTTCGTCAGGCTTCTAGGAATTGGTATAAAAAATTTTCATCAGCACTGCTTGAGCTTCGCTTCCAATAGAGTCAAGCAGATCATTCATTGTTCATTTATCGATCGGGTACTTCCTTCGTAGCAGCACTCATCTATGTAGATGATGTCATCCTCGCTGGTAATGATCTGTCTTTTATCCAGAAGGTTAAATCTTTCCTTCATGATCGCTTTACTATCAAAGATTTGGGCAATTTGAAGTATTTCTTGGGTATAGAGGTCGCCCGTTCTAGTAAAGGGATCGTCCTCAACCAGCGAAAGTACGTCTTGGACATACTAGCGGATTCAGGACTTCAGGGTACACGGCCTTGTCATTCACCAGTCGAACAAAATCATCAGCTGGGTCGCCTTCCTTCGCCGCCAGCTGCTGATCCTTCCGGTTTTCGTCGACTGGTTGGTCGTCTTTTATACCTGACAGTCACTCGTCCTGATATTGCTTACGCTGTTAATCTGCTTAGTCAGGCTGTACATGCGCCTACACAGGCTCATGTGGATGCTGCCAATCGAGTCCTCCGCTATCTCAAGCAATCGCCAGGCCGGGGGTTGTACTTTCCCGCTCATGATTCACTTGTTC